ACAACTGGGCTCTAGTCCAGCCCTCGACGCCTGCGTTTCCGCCATGGTCGCATTATACAGATCTCGTCAATACCAGCAATCCAAGGTGGATGCTCTCTCCAAGTATGGCGAGGCTCTGGCCGCGACTCGAAAGTCAATACAGGACCCTTTAGAACCTGTCGTCACAAAGATGCGCACAGTTTCTGTCATGTACATTTGCCATGTGAGTACCTGCAAGCCACAATATGCACCCATCCAGCCACTAACGGCCTCAGTCTTGGCTTGACCGCAAGCACGCGGAACAGCATCGGGAAATGATATCACATCTCTTCCGTGAAGCCGTTGAAGCTGGAAAGGCAGAGGATATTGAGCCAGAATATTTCCAGGGACTGACTCAATTAGCAGTAAGTGTCCTTGATTTTATGTATTCTTGTACCGCATATTGACATCAAGGCTCTAGGTTCTGGCAAATATTCTCAACCCAGGGTTCGAGCTGGGCCCGTGGTTTTGGAATGCCTGCAAAAACACTGGCCCTCGGCCTTTTCGGTACCATCAAGGTACATTTTTGAGTCTGGAGCCCACGACAATGGCAGAAGCCGCAATCTACATTCGCTCGCCGAGGCGTTACCAGTATCAGCTTCGGTGCATGTACAATCTTGTACAGTCCGAAAAGGCGAGAATCCGCCAGCTCGTCACATTTGCAACAATGGCCACCATGACACCTAAAGCGCCACCCATGGCCATGAGGGTCCTCTCCTCATACCGATTTGCATGGGGTTTGCTCTTGGGTCTGGGTTCCATTTTGAACCACGTCCTACGGATATTCGACCAAGATCTAGACCTTGTTATGGAGTCACACCAATACGTCGACGAGGCCATCGTTTTGACGGAGCAGACTGCCCCTAGCCGACCCAATGGTGCTGCATTCACACCAGACTACCTCAAGATGGTTTGGGCATCCATTACAGATTCTTACCGATCTGCCGAGATCGAGGCAATTTTACTCGACTATGAAAACGACGTAGAGGGAGCTGAGTATCTAGAAGAGGCTCTGGCCATGAAGAGAAGGCTCTACCGGATGGCAAGACGCGAGGCACAATTTCAAACGCAAACACCACCAGAAGTGCCGATGTTGGGATGCATGCAAGACCCATTGGACGATGTGCGGGTCCATGATATTGGAGCGCCGAGCGAGTGTGTGATACTTTAGCGAGAGCTTACGTGAGAAAGAATGCATGCAGTAGGGTGGTTGTTCAGCTGGACAGGGGTACAGGAAGAATGGGCAAGCTTGAAAAGGAACCAATGAGCTTTGATGACAATATTTGTCACTTTCAAACACACAACTGTTGGTGGAATATAATGATGAATTAATTTGGACTTATGAGACTATGAATTAGGTAGACACAAAAAATTTCAAAAATAGGTAATTATATGAGTTAAGCAGCCCAAGCAGAGAGATGTTGGTCAGCCCACACAAAACATTGAAGCAGTCAGCGAGCCACATCCCGTACTTGAAACGATAAAGCTTACCGTCCATTCCCGTGCGGCTGACTTAAGGTTACTTGTATGATTTACCCGAGGTAACGTTACCAAAGACTACTCTTAACCCATCGGATGCCTTGTCAAGATAGGCATTTTCGAGTTCTCGAGTTGCAGCTCCAAATTTAAGCTCTTTCAGGTTTCAAGTTTTACCTTGGAACTTTGATGGGAAACACCTCTCCTAAATTTAGGCTCTTGGCTTTGCCTTGGGTTGCCTACTTTTCAAGTTGAAAACGCTTAGAGGTTAGGTACCCGTTACTTTCAGTCATATGATAAACTGCATCTGTAGTCAAGACCTCTATATGAATTAGGATTTGTTCCTTTTGTAACTTTGTATCGAAATTACTGCGAAGACTTTGTCGCTGAGCCTTAAAGGCCCAGGAAACTAGTTATGCTGTTTAATCTCGGGACTCATAGCTCAAACGAGTTGCAGACCAACCTGTAAACTCAAAGAAGCACCCTTGATCCCGAAAAAGCCAGGAAACTTGCTAATTATCCATCCAGAGGCTTTTGCTATACAGAGCTTCCAGAGATAGGAGTGCAAGAAAACAGTGGTCGAAGCGAGATCGACATCAATCCCAATGCAGCAACACACTGCGACGCCGCAAACCACGGCAGATAACGCATCGCATCCGTGCCTCATTGCGCCACAAAGGAAGGCACCCCTTGCAAACGGATCTTTGGTTCCATGCTTGAAGTGAGTTTTTCTGGCTAAAAGTGAGTGGTCAGGCTGGAGGATGACAAGCCTGTGAAGCTTTCGGATGCTAGGCTTCCGGCTTGAATATGCTTCGGTACTTTCTGAACCCGACGCAAGCCAAGCCTTTCTATGGCCAATTACAGGAGTTATTCTTTGAATGAGTTGTCAAGTTCTATTTTGAGGGTTGTAACCACACCAGTTTTAATGGGCAGCGTCTTGAGGATGGCATGCACAATGGTATTGGACGGACGAGGGATAGAATCGTAGTAGTTTAGAACTTAAGACACCTCTTGTATGAAACTACAAGCCAATAAAACGTGCGAGACTAAAGTCATGGTGAAAGGCCTGGTTCTTTGTTGTTCTTCCCAACATGGATTGATTCCCCGATGCCGATGGACCAGACAACACATTGATGGAAAGAACGTCGATAAGTAACGACGTACCAAGGGGCAAGAACTTGGCCTTGGTTCCAGAACCTAATTCACAATAGGCATGAGCTAATTTCAATTCCGGTTTGCAAGAGACCTTGCGTTCTCCGATGCCGGCTCAACTTACATGACAGAGTTTGAGCTAGATAGAAGAAGACATGCTTCTCGTTCGGGGAATAAGTAGTGGCATTAAGAAGTTGGCAGATATCTGGATAAAAGATACATTGGGCATAGCTTAATTTGATGTACTTGCTTATCACCGTTGTGGCTAAAGACGGGCACTAGTCGAACAACGTTCCCGTCCCTCGGCAATTGTCCAAAGTACCATTTGACAGCTACATAGCCGACTTCAGTTCACGCTTCCACCTTTTGGGTGAGTTTGTGGCGCATGTAAGAATGTTGCTTGTAGTTTGCAGTGCTCGTCCAATTCAAGCACTATACCTAGCCACCTGGACGTTCATTCTACCGAGTGAGTAGCATAGAAGCAGATGGGACTTTTATCGAAAGAAGAAAAGATGGTTTAGACAAATAACTGAAGAATAGTAGAGTACCAATACTATCATATGATTTAATCCCTGCTTTTACTTATTGCTAATTAAGTTTATTCTTTCTATTCCCCTCAGCATCCAAGTATAGGTGCATTACAAGTTGTAACTACTTGCCAGGCTCACCAGCATACCTCATCCGCCAGGTTGACCAGAGTATCGATCCGGAGATGAAGTACCAGACTAAAGTTCTTTGAAAACACTCAGATACTAACCCAGTTCTCGTCTTTATTGAGGTTTCTAAGCATCAAGTCTTTTCGGCGTCTTAGGGACCTCCTCAAACAATCCCCCCTCCCCCTCTGCACACACACACACACACACAATGCTGAATGGGGGACCGAAAGCCGGCTGGCGAGAGTCGTAAGATACAGCCTTACTCACCTGAATGGGTCATTGATCCCGAGACGTTTTCAGCTTGTTAATTTGATGCCGTCATCATGTGAAAGAGGGGAAACCAGGACAAGAGTGCCAGGTCGGATCATCGGCTCCTGATAGAGTCTATTCATGTGAAAGTAGCATGAAAATCCGATGGCTTGAGCGTCAGCTACCTAGACGGTGCAGCCATAACGCTTCGGTTTGGAACAGGATTGTTTCTTGACGCTCGCCAGCCCTCATCCACGTATCTCTGGTTCTTCACATTCCTTCCAGATTTTGGCTCACTTGCCTGATGTCTCCTAGGCCCTGGCAAGGTTTCATCAGACTTTGGAGTCGTCAGCTGCTCGGGAGAAAGGAAGACGGAAGAGAGGAGGGTTGTACGATGGCGACGGGCGTTGCTCGTGAAGGAGGAGGATTGAAGCCACCACTTTTGGTAACATGGCTGACGACGGTTTACGTGGTTACATGAGTATGACCTCCTTCTAATATCGCCTTTCGGGATCTGCAAAGTTCATGGTCACAACCAATAGTAGGGCTGAGTGACGAATTCACACTCTTGGAGTCAAAGAACCAGATCTTAGGACATATCTCGGGCTTGTTGATGCGGGGAACGGGAAGTTATGGTGTGCAATATGTAGTAGGTTCCTGACTAGAGAAGCTCCATTCATCCGAACGTGAGTTGCACACACTATATGTGACGAGTTTCTTGACTCGTTTCATATGACGACTCAGGCTGCATCGCTCATATGCCTAACCTGTTCCAAATTAGACGAATGCGGGGTATCAACATGCCGAACTGCATGTTGTGCATCATGGTCGAGAGAGTTGTCGAGGTATTGGATGCCACAATATTCAGCTTGGACACCGAGGATGCCGAACTATGCCCGCACGTGCTGGGTGTGACAACTCATCCCAATTGAACGATAGCTTCAATCAAAGAAACATCCTCCAACCGGTGAGTGAGCATCAGGCTTTTTCGTCCACCACTCACCGTCGCCTTGATGACCCTGCCATTGCGGAGGAAATCGGGTGGATCCGGGCTGGACCCCGATTTGACCGGGGAAGTGCCCCTCTAGCGGGCTCAGAAGCCGAATTCTAGTGGCTCGGGGTTGGAGTCCGCTATTGCTCAGTGGGCCGTTCACCTAGAAATATGGCCCGATGCTCCCCGCAGGAATGGCAAGACACCCGACCTGGCGGCAGGAGAAGAGAGACACTCACCGAAATAACCGGCGACCGATGCCGCTCACCTGCCATCCACATCCGATTCGATCCATGCCCCAAGCCCAGACCCAGGGCTTGACTAACATTTCGCTCAAGTCAACGCCTCAACACCACGAGATCTCTTCCAGCCTCATCACCACTACCATCGCCCGCCGTGCTGACCTCTCCCCGCCCCCGACGAAGCCCGCGCCTGCGGCACACAAGAGGCGATCGCAAATGACGGGCCCAAACAAGATTGTGAAACGCACCGGACGAGACTCTAGGGGAGTTTCGCGCCCTTCGTCCGGTGGCGCTCTCTGCAAGACTTGCACGCCATGTCGCCAGAAAAAGGTTCGCTGCGACGGCGCGCGACCCCAGTGTATCGAGTGCAGCACAAACAACCTGGCCTGCGTGTACCCTCACGATGCCCGACGTGAGCCCCGTCCCTCTCGTGCCCGTGTGCAGAGTCTGGAGGCGACCATCGCAACCATGCTCGACCACATGAAGGCTGCCGGAATCCTCACCCCCGAGATGCAGGCTGCGTGGACTGCTGAACTCATGGATGCCGATCATCCTTCCCGCGCATCTCAGGACTACACCACACATGGCCTGAGCCGTCTGGCTTCGACCGCCGCCATCGCGAGCCCTCTTCCGACCCCGACGGCTTCCACAGTGGCGCAAGAAATGGGCGCCAGCTTCCTCTCCTCGCCGCCCCGAAGCAGCGTTGGTCCGACCGACAGTGAAACCAAGCCGCGACTCGACAGCTTCAACACTATCCTCTCGCGAACAAATGCACCCGTCGACTCGACCGAACTTGCTCCTGCAAAGTTGGTACCTCGTCCCATCAGCAACGACGGCAACGGCGATGGCACCGGCTTGTCACCCAGCGAAGCCCGAGTCGCTGGCGTCTTCCACGAAAATGGCTACGTTTCTGCGGTCCACGGTCTCGCCAGTATCATGAACCCCACGTCCCGCGCCCAGCACCGAGAAAATATCAATACCATGACCCGCAAGGGCGACGATGCCATTTCGGCCTCGAAAGCCCGCCTTATTAGCAATGCTGCGCTTCAACGACAACGAGAAGCGCGCATGTTCCGCAACCCACGAGACTTGATGGACCTGGACGGCGTGGATCCTGAGCTTGCCAAGCATCTTCTCGACCTGCACTTCAACCGACAGCACTACGCCTACCTTATCTCGTACCGACCTGCTATCATGGACAGTCTTGCCAGCGGCGGCGGACCCTTTGCAAACAAACTCCTTCTCAATGCCATCTTCTACTCGACTTCTCTATACAGCGATCGCCTGTGCCTACGCGCCGACCGGGATGACCCACAAACCGTTGGCAGACGCTTCTACGATCGATTCCGCGAACTTCTCGTTGACGAGCTGGACAAACCTAGCATCCCTTCGGCCCTCGCGTTGCTCTTGACCAGCGTGTCGCTCGTGTCGCAGGGTAGACCGAGCGCCGGCTGGAGTTTGTCAGGAACTGCGCATCGCATGATTATCGACTTGGGTTGCCACCTGATGCTGGGTCCCGACTATGAGAGCACGGGCGGTGTCACGACTGAGCGGGTACTGCGACGGGACCTGGAGCAGGAGATGCGCAAGCGCCTATACTGGGCCGCCTTCACCACCGATGCTACCCAGGCCCTGTACCTCGGACGCCCCTGCATGTTCGCCTCTGCGCAGGCCAGGGTGCCACTCCAGCTGCTCGACACCTTTGAGGAGCTCGAGGAGTGGGAGCCCTACGTCGATCCCAAGTCTCCGGCTTCGGCTCCACCTCCATATGGACGTCAACCTGCCCACGCCGTGTCAACGTTTAGCAGCCTCGTGCGTATACTGCAAATCTCTACAAGGATCAATGACCTGTACGGCATCCAGTGTGTCAAGTACACGACCGAGTACCTCCTCAACAAGAAGGAATCGATCGAGAGGGAGTTTGAGAAGTGGCAGAACAGCTTACCCAGCCACCTACGATTCGACCCCGATGATACTACCACCATCACGCCTCCACCGCATCAAATCACCCCACAGTGAGCTTACCCCAGTGCCCCCACGTAGGGGTCCCTATTTGCTAACGGTCGGTACAGTACCACGTTCCATGCGCTCACCATCTTGCTACACCGCGCGTTCCTTGAGGAGGGTCACCTTAGGAGGCACACCGACGAGAGCTCCAAGCGACGCGGTGAGGAGGCATGCATCCAGAGTGCTCTGATGATTCAGAAGCTGGTCCGGCGATATCGGGAGTCGTTTACTCTCCGCCGCGCGCCATTCCTACTCTCGTATGCTGTCTACTCGGCTGTCATTGTGATCCTTCGCCAAGAGCGTCACGAGAGAGGCCAATTCACCGAGCCCATCTCCTTCTTCTGGACATGCCTCAGCGAGCTGCAGCTTGGATGCAACTTTGGCCTCAAGAAGCCGCTCAGCGTGCTCCAAGATATGGTCCGTGAGTTCCAGACCACTCTGAAGGAGAGCAGTTCCGCAGGCCCGGAGCAGGGACCCCAGCCGGCAGGCCTTGACGAGAGCTTCTTTTTCCCTCTGGCCATGACCCCTTCGGCTCCTGGTCTCGCGCCCACCACGACAGCATCGACGGGTACGTATGTTCCATCTGATTACATCCCACATATGGACCATTTCGATCCCGCTTTTGGTACATCACCAGGACTGCTCGACTTCTTGAACGATCAAGAAAAGGACATTTCTCAGGACGCGCTGTATGGACTGTTTGCGCCCTCGCAGCCGTTCCCATGACTGGCGGGCGAGCCTGGCGAAACCTTTGGTGCAGGACCAGCCCCAGCGGCCTGACATTACTGTCTAGCCCAACGTTGTCCTCTGAGACTGTCCTCCCCCGTCAGACATCGGCACGTGTCGATGCCTCGGTTCGCCGGCTTGCTGAGACAGGTTCGGTGCAAGAATCCGAACGTTGAAAAACTATATTCGCAGGCCTCGTGCAGCCGAGGCATAACACAGCCTTGTAGCGGGTTGGCGCCCGTGATGTCGAGGAATAGATAGCTGCCCTTTCAAAGATTGGTTGACAAGAGCCGTCATGGGATGAGGCTCTGTCGACCACTCTCTGAAAGTGTTTCAAGTTGAGCTGTTGCTGTGAGACAGCGAGGCTCGACTAGCCACCCTCTTTCCTAGAAACCTCCATTGTCGTGGCTGTGGGGATGTACGCCCCATCGCAGGCAGACCGCCAAGGCATGTGGAGTACATTGGGAGGCTTCACATTTAGATGCTGTGAAGCTTCTTGTTTGACGGATTATTTACGACTTGATGAGAGCCGTTTTTTGTTGGCAGGGCCTTTTTTTATTCCTTTGCGCATAGACCATCAGAGTTGTTAGAGCGTTATTTGGCCATGTTGAATATTATTAGATGTGTTTATGAGTAAATAAATGACGAAAAGTTGCAAGAGGTTAGTGGAGATCTTGGTGGTGAGCAACAGATGTGTAATAATCATTGACCTTTGAATAATAGCCCAAACAACAAGAAAATTATTATGAGGCCTCGCACAATGACAGGAACTGTAAATAACCATCATCAGCACTGATTAGAGGCTGTGATGGGCGATGCTGGTTGCTACACATGATTCGAATTGTACCACGCTGGCACACCCTCAATTACCCTGAACCACCACACAAGAAAAAATCCGACAACTATCAACCTTGTAGCCTCAGCAGACGCCGATATCTAGTGTAGAATCTGTAAAATCTTTCCAAGGCATATCGGCAACTCCATTCACGCCCACTCATATTCTGCCACTATTTGTGCCACGATCGCCGTGGAGTGAATGGAGGCCGTAGAAGGCAGATTTCCAGCGATGAGTCAGCGCCACTGCACCGCCTTGGGCGCCCTCACGAAGGATCGATAAAGGTGTTTCTCATCAGCGCAGAGTTTGTAGCATTTACATCGAAGTCATCGCATTCACCTCATTTTCGCCAAACCTCATTTATTGGTTCAACACTTTTGTTCAAGCATCTAATCCGCAATGGCCTCAGCTGCACTAAACCCCCGCGTTGGCGTTTCTGCCATTATTTATGGGCCTGACGGCAAGATGGTTACTGGGAAGCGCAAGGGAAGCCATGGAGCGGGTGAGTAACGGTGATACTATGTAAATACACGCAGGCTAATAGGGATATAGGCACCTGGCAACTCCCTGGCGGCCATCTCGACTATGGCGAGAGCATCCTCGTGTGCGCTGAGCGCGAGGTCCTCGAGGAGACGGGCCTCAAAGTCCGAGGCATCAAGATCGTCGCTGTGACAAACGACGTATTCGAAAAGGAGGCAAAGCACTACATCACCCTTTTCGTCCTATGCGAGATGGAGGACAAGACGGCACAACCCCAGGTACGTCAAATACGAGTTGCTGCTCCCGCGCCGCTCACCCGACTAACCCACAACGCAGGTACTAGAGCCACAGAAGTGCGACGGATGGTACTGGAAGACATGGGACGACCTGAAGCAGCTTCTACCAGCCGTGTCGCAGGGCGAGCAGGGAGAGAGCCTGTTCCTACCGCTGGTGAACCTCCTCGAGCAGACGGACAACTTGGATACCCTGAGATCATAGGTTGGAAGTGGGCCGAGGACCCGGTCAACGGGATAGAACGAGAGGGGGATAACTAAGCTGAAGCGATTCACATAAAGCAAAGCAAACAAGGGCGCCACTAGATTTTCCGTGACGCCGAGATGAACAATAGACTTGTTTCTGTCTCATCTGCAGGGGGGGACCCGTCACAAACGGGGTTCGCCCCTCTGTATTGTCTTGGAGCTAGTATCCGTGCCGTCTCACTATTTTTGACCTGTCAGGACCTGCCAGGACCTTTTTTCGGCAGGGTTCAGTTGAATCTAAGCGTTTTTTTGGTGTTTTGCATTGTCGATCATCGGTTCGGGGGGCTGGCAGTATTTGCTTTTGCGGGTGAGGGCGATTTTCAGGGACGAGAACTCCTTGCGTTGGATACGTCATGAGGGAGTTTTGGAGGGGAAGAGGTGAGTGCAATTGAGTGCGATTGAAGCTGACGAGAGGAACTGAAGCGATGGTATTAGGACTATCGTGGACTTGCGATTGTCTATGCAATTGAACAATGCTTCTATCGAGACTGACAACACTCTGAAGCAGCGAGATCCGCCACGGCCCAGCGCCAATGAGACACTCATTGTCGGCTGGAGCTGTTGTCTCGGAGGCACATCTGAGCCGACCTCCTAGCTATCCATCCGGCAGACTTCGCTTCTCTACGATCGGCAGGATTGTTTCTTTTCCTCGAGGAGGCTTTGGTGAAGGATCAATCTCTTGGTTGATCGTGACCCGAGATTGACTAGGGAGTCTATGATCAATCGACCGAGATTAGCTTCCGACGCGGAATAGAGAGGTCTCACCATGGAGGGTCTTTGCGAGGATCGAGTTCTTGTGAGAGCTTCAAGGGGTTTTGAGTTGTAAGATTCTGGGTATATAATGGGATAGTAGTTCCTCCTAAACTCAACTCTCATCATCACTCACAATCATCTCATCTACTCTACTACTCTCCTCTTCATTCACTCTTTAATACACACTTCAGTCACTCTTTCGACTACAAACCAACTACAACTTTTTTAATCTCAAGATGCCTTCCAACATCATTTCCCAGCTCGAGGTCATCAGCCGTGAGACCGGTTGCCTCCTCGACATCTCGACCCTCATCGACCTGAGCATTTGCCCTACCCTCGACATCATCACCAAGAAGCCCAACAAGGTCGAGGCCAAGGACAAGTACATCACTGTCACCCCCACTACTCCTCAGAAGTCGGTTCACTACCGCCGAGGATGCAGCACCGACAACTGCTACCAGGTTCCTGAGAAGGTGTGCAAGAAGAACACTGTCATCCACGACATTCAGATGCTTGTTCTTCTCGGTCTTCTCAGCAAGGAGGATCTTGAGAAGTACCTCCACATCACTGGCGAGCTCCCCGAGAGCGAGCACATCGATGAGGACAAGGATGGCATGACCGTCGACCCTCTTCTCGGCCTCGACGTTGGCGAGGATGGCTCCCTGGCTGATCTCGACGTCATCGGCAAGGATGGCCTCGTGAACCTCAACCTTGGCAAGGGCAAGGATGGCAAGCCTCCTCTGGCCAACCTCAACCTCCTCGGCCCCGATGGTCTCCTCCGCCTTGACCTCAACGGCAAGCCTCTCATCGATCTCAAGCGCCGATCCGACCGCCTAGTCGATGTCGATGTCGGTGGCAAGAAGGACACCGACCAGGCTACTGTCGACGTCGATGTTCTCACCCACGCCAAGCGGGCCAACCGCCTCGTTGATGTCGATGTCGGTGGCAAGAAGGACACCGACCAAGCTACTGTCGATGTCGATGTTCTCACTCACAAGCGCCGTGGTCTCCTGGATGGCCTTCTGGGCGAGGATGGTGTTGTGCCTGAACTTTTGGACGGTCTCCTGGGCAAGGATGGCCTGAACCTGGAAGATCTCCTGGACCTTGACGTTGGTGGCGAGGCTGATGAGGACGAAGCTGCCATCGATCTTGATATCCTGACCACTCCCAAGGACAAGGATGGCCAGAACGGCAATGGTAACGGCGGCAACAACGGTGGAAACGGCAATGGCTCCAACAACGGAGGCAACGGCAACGGCAACGGATCTGGTAACGGATCTAACAACGGCGGCAATGGTAACGGCTCCGGAAATGGTTCTGGTAACGGCAATGGCTCCGGCAATGGAAACGGCTCTGGCAATGGCAACGGATCTGGAAATGGCAATGGATCTGGCAACGGCAGCGGTAACGGCTCTGGCAACGGATCCGGCAGCAACAACGGCCACGGAACTCCCAGCTACGGCCCCGGCTCTCAGTACAGCAAGAAGGACCTCAGCAGCCACTACCAGCCCATCTGCAACAAGGGCTTCAAGAAGGAGTACATCACCCGCACCAAGCAGGAGCACGCCAACGACGTCAACCACTGCCTCGCCATCTGCCAGGCCCAGGGTGCTCTCCAGACCATCCACTCCGGCACCAAGCGCGGCGATATCGCCCACATCCTCGTCTGCGCTGCCATCCAGTTCGACCAGACTGCTGAGAGCGGCAACTGCCACTACATGGTCGCCCCTGAGACCGAGCCCTGCGAGGAGGAGTACCTTGAGGAGAAGAAGGACTGCTACTCCTTCATCCGCAACTAAGCGGTGCACGACTGCAAAAACATGGTGACGACTGACGGCTTTACTGGCTGGGATATGAAAGGTGTACAGGCAAGGCAATTGGGAGGTACAAACACCACATTTGGACAAACATCCAGCCGGATGACATTTTCGTTCTTTCACAAACTTTAGGCACTTACATTTAGACTTAATACATGTTTTCTTTTGTCGATGATCAATCGAGTTCTCTTTCAGACGTGACAATCATGCAGCGACAGTAGCTTCAGTTGTGGTGGATTGAGTCCTTGGCTTTACTGAACCAACAATAGTAAGAATTGTAAGTCGGAACATTCCATAGACATTCAAAGCTACTCTCCAAGACAATTAAACTTGTTTGTGTTGTCTTAACTGCTGTCTCGTGTCGCAATCGCTATAGCCGAGTTGCAACTATCGCGGCTCGTGACCTTGAGTTTAAGCTCCGAGCTTCCCATACCTCCATGACGCCTCCTCTCTTGGACCTCCACGCCAACCACCAAGATATACCCCCCATCTCTCGCCCTCACTCTCGATCCATATTCTTTAATCGCCCAATGTCATAGTCAGCTACACTTATCAGCTGCGCGCACTCGCAGCATGCTATCGTCACCATGTCTTCTCTAGCTGAACCCCGTCGCCCCCGTCTCCTCGCCCGCAATCGCAAGCTCCGCCATTTGCGCGGAGTTTGGCTACGCAACCTATCTTTTGCGCCAACGAACTTGAGGACCGCCGACGATGCCGATCTAAATACGAGTCCCAAGAAGCTGCCCGTGGTGAGGGAGACGAGCCAATTGCATCCATCGCGATCGTCCGAGAGCTTGAGGAAGGACGCTACGCGGCCTGATGCTTTGCGACCACAGCAGAAGAGAAGGACGAGTCTGAGCTTGGCGCATACGAACCCCGTCGCGAGACAGAAGAAGCTTGAGACGTTGATTGAGGAGTCGGTTGGGGATGTATTTTACTCGCTGCACGTCGAAGGGGAGACTGAGCCCGTCTACGTCAGCGAAGTGCGCGAGAAGGCAGCGGTAAGACGTGTGGACACTCTCAAGCTGAGCAGACATCTGACTACCAAGTAGAACTTTAACTTTAGGTTCTTCAGCCTCGAAAACTCCGATTCGACCATCTCGAGAAGTTGCGCCTTGACCGTCCGTGTCTGGGTCCGGCGACCAAAACAAACATCGTGGATCTTCCTGCTCGAAGAATCGATAGACCTTCGTCGACTCAACTTTATAGGCACGCTCCTAGACCGAAACTTTCCCCCGAACGCACTCGTATTCCACCTTGAAGATGGTGTTTACTCGCTCGATTTCCCGAACAAGATCTCGGAACCCAAACAAGCTCCGCGAATGGCCACATCGTCATACAGTACACTTATGAAGCTGGCCAACCTAGAAAGCTCGATCGAGGACGCGATAGAGACTCAACAACGACTCATGGAGGAGATAAATCAGATATTAGCTGCGAGACCAAAGGACAGATCGGGGACAGCGCGCGAGTCAGCTTCACTGGTGGAAAAGTACGTCGCTGTGCAACGGCGCGCAAATCAGCAAGCAGAGAAGAGACGGGATGAACTACAAGAATCGCTCAAAAGTCGAAGAGAGGCTATAGCAAAAGGGAGAGAGCTTCAGGCCAAGGCCGAGGAGGATATTACCAACAACAAGGAGCAGTTGGAAGCTTCCAAACAGCTTCTCGAAACAACACAGCAACAGATTCGCGGTCAGCGAAGACGCATATGCTCCGACCTCGCCGAAATATTCCCCATTACTCCTATACCGAACTCGCCAGCGCTTTCTTTCAAGATCTGCAATCTTCCTCTTCCGAACTCGACCTACGATGCTGCGACGGCGAAACAGATCCCCGAGGATGTCTTGTCTGCCGGGCTTGGGTATGCGACAATGCTTACCCATCATCTCCAGTTTTATTTATCCCATCCGCTACCATACCCTCTTGACTGGTTCGGTTCTCGATCATACGCCCGCGACCATATTTCTCAATTGTCAGACAAGCAGGTCTCTCGCAGAGAGTTTCCTCTATATTTGCCCCGGGGTGGCTCAACAGCAGGCCAGTGGCGCTTTGAGTACGGATGGTTCCTCCTCAACAAAGACATTGAAGCCCTCTGCGCCTCACAAGGTCTTCGAGTTGTTGACATCCGTCATTCGCTTCCAAATCTGGAGTACCTGCTCTACGTGTGCAGCGCTGGCACCGACCAAGTTCCCGAGCGCAAAAAGGGTGGTGTCCGCGGTTTATGGGCTGGCAGACTGAAGGGTCGGATGTCGACCATGTCAGGTCAGACGGATGGCGATGGAGGCAGTATAACAGAGAGCCGAAGGGGAAGTGTCGACAGTGAGATGATGAACCAGCATAGCGACGCTTTGAGGACAGCCCTGCTGAAGACAAACGGACACAGCAGGGATAATTCCATCACTGACAGCCCTGTTGACAATCTCTCGTTGCCGTTTGGCGAGGATGATACCAAGTTTACGCTCAGGACCAAGGGTTTGAGGGAGAATGTGTCCCGTTGAGTAAGGGAGAGTGCTTCAATTATATTTTAGAGCTGGACATGGCAACATGATGTCTCCGTGATCGATGATGCGTTTCAAGAGCTTCAATAGTGATAGGTATAGCTGTAGGCTATAACCTCACAGCGCATTAATTACCAAGTTTTGCTACACTGCCGCGACTGACCCTGCCATTAATCTACGACCTCCAATGCTTTTCGAATGATCAGTGACAGTGATTATTAAAATACTTGTTCAATGACAACTGGCTAATTAATCTCGTATTTCGGGTTTACTCCGCTGTTGGGCATTTTGGAAAAGCCCGACGGGACGGATCTATAAGTTAATTCAGCTCCGTTTGGCATCTCCAAAGATGGAAAGGAGCGAGCCCCGGCTGGAACTAGGAGTAGCTCTCACCGACGGAGTTTACGGTCCTACATTCACACGTTTCACGACAAGAAACCGAGATATAAAACACCAGCTCAGTCGGGGCAGTGAGTGAGACCTCCCGATCAACATCTATCATTCCCCTTACTACACTTCTCTTGCCTTCAAGAATTGGCCCACGGCTCTTAACCACTGAAAACATGGCGGAATCGAAACTGAACATCATCATTGTTGGCTCTGGACTTGCGGGCCTCGGCGCGGCGAGTGTTCTCCAGGAACACCACTGTCTATGAACGCGGTGGTCCTGAAGCAGCCACTGGCGGCCAAGGCATTTGCCTATTCTCCAACTGTGTCAAGATCCTTCAGTCCATGGGCCTCGACGCTGATCGCAGTGGCGGCGTCCCCTGCCACGACTATCGTCTATTCGACAAGGCTGGCAAGCGGCTTAAGGATTTCCCCATTGACTTTAAAGGCCGCTATGGAGTTGACACTTTGACTATGAAGCGGTCTTACTTCCGAGAGGAGTTGCTCATGCTGGCAACTGCGCCGCCTGCGGATGGTATCAAGGGAGAGCCTGTCCGCATGGTCTTCAACACTGCTGTTGCTGAGGTTAATCCCGAGGCAGCTTCTGCCACGCTGCACGACGGGTCAGTCGTAAGAGGCGATGCCGTTATCAGTAAGAAGATTTCCATGAGAGACCTAGATCTTGAGTAACTAACGCAGGGTTTAGTCGCGGATGGCGTTCACTCACGTCTCCGTAAACGAATCACCGGAGACGAGACCCATCGAGCCAAGAAGAATGGCGACACTTGCTACCGGATTGCCAGCTCCTTTGCCAAGCTCAAGGAAGCTCTCGGCTACCTGCCCGAGTGGTGGGATCCCGAGACGGCCGACAGTCGTATCAGCGCCCTGCAGACGTTGGACGACATGAACCGCCTTGTTGCTGAAGAGTCTTGGTATGCAAATGGTGATCGCAAGGAGCTGATTAGCACGTTTGCCGACTTTTACGAGCTCATCCGAAAGATACTCAGGTAGGCCTGTTCCGTTAACCTTCAACTGGAAGCAAGAGAGCTGACGGCCATAGCATTGCCAAAGAGGTCAAGGTTTGGGACCTTCAGGACATGGGTCCTCTCCCAAACTGATACAGAGGACGTGCCATCGTCATTGGCGATGCCGCACACGCCATGACGCCCATGCAAGAATAGGGAGCTAACATGGCAATGGAAAATGCGGATAGTATCCGTTTGTTGCTTCCAGGCATGGACGAGGATGATATCAAATCGGTGCTCTCCAAGATCGACGCAGTTCGGCGACCACGTGCGGCAAAAGTGCTGCAGGACACTCGTCTCCAGGCTGATGAAATTACCAGGGAAGAGCGATTAGCTAATATGGATTACAACTGTGGTTACAACGGAGTGTATGAAGCTCTGAAAGAGCTGGAGTAGAGTGCTAGTGATAGCAGCATGGGGGGATTTAGGGAGAAGCTGGGTGTCTTTAACCTCGCATTTGAGGTGTTTCACCTCACCAGACTTGCTGTACTCTTCTTGTAGGACACAGGTTAGAAAGGCTTGGTAGAATGGCAGGTTTCAAGATGGATTGTGCAGCTACGTATTGCTCATGTGGACGAATTGAACAATCTCTTCTCAACTTTCCAAGTATCGATCCGTTTGATATCAAGAGAATCGCCCTTCCCGCCTATCTAATTATAAGACTCCGTCTAACAATAGGCAGATGTCTGAAGAACCGCCGGTCTCTACCACATGTGGCTTCAGAAGTGATGAAGTCGTCACCATAGTCATACGAGTCTGTCGAGGCCGAGTCGCAGTTGGAGTTTGTGTCATCTCCATCGTCAAAGTTAATATCGAGGGAGTTCTTTTCGGGCGAAGTTGCGTCGGCCTTGGTGATGACCTCGAAAGTGCTCTCGTCAAGTCGCTCAGAGTTCTTGTCTTTCCCCTCGCCAAGTGCTTGTTTATCAAGCGTCGCCCGCTTGGTCGCATCAGGAATAGCTGCGTTTGACTTGGCAAGGAAATCAAGGAAATCATCGTCGTCATAAGAGATGTCTTCATCCTCGTCAACAGACTCTGCACACTCCTCACCAAGGGACTCCTCTTTCTCGTCAAGAGGCTCCTTAACCCCCTTACCTGGCGTGGTAGATTCCAGAGCACTCCGTGCATTGCCGCTCACACCATGTGGCCGCATAGGATAGGCCCAGGAGCCATCCCAGGCCTGTGATGATTTCTCTTGAAGCCTCTCCGCTTTCTCTCGAAGTCTTTTCGCCTTCGCGGCTCGACATCTCTCCACTGCTTCAGCCTGTCGTCTTTCTTGATCCAGCTCAAGTTGCCGGACTTCCTCGATTGCCCACTTCATCGAAGGCTCCGGAATGGCCTGGACCTGGCGGGCCGCCTCTCTTTCTGCTCTCGGCATCCTTTTCACGTATAGTTGGTGTACGTATCCCACTCTCTCGTAGATATCGCTGTTGGGACGCTCGGGATCATCCAACTTGACCAAGACGACTACAAAAGGTGTTTTGTAGAAGCTTTTCGGTATGTGAACTATGAGAGCCTCCCAGCGCTTCTTGCCGTTTTGTGTCTCAGATAGTACAGCGCAAACCTCTTTTCGGTGTTCCTCCGAAAGGGGGTCGAATGTGAACGAGCCTTTGAGCCTGTACTTTTCTTCGCCGAACTCCACCAATGCCTGTCCGCGAATGGGGTCAATAACCATCGCGTCTCGGAGAGACCAGCCATCCACATGCAGGTACCTCGATGGCTCAGAGGGATAACCTTTTCTGAGATACTGAGAGATGGGTGCAACTCGTCCATCCACATCTTCGATAGAGACGGCAAGTTCTGAGCTGATCCATTCCTTTGAAGTCTGACTTGGCCATTTTGCGGCCAGAAACTCAACTGAGCCATCTGCACTCGCCCACGACCATGTCGGGAAGTATGTGCGTCGCTGCGATGTCTTGGTCGTGGTTTCGGAATCGTGCCTGGAGGCTTTCCAAGCTAATCCGTAACAGAAAACTTGAGAAGCAGACTCAATAGGATCCTCGCAGAGTCTGGATACGTGAGTACGAACTTCCGAGCTGTCGAGTGGACGTGGAGATTCTGCAAATGGAACTCCCCACAGGAACGCTGCCTGGCCTCCCGAACCGTGCGTGAATGTGCTCATTGTAGCCTTGATGGCGTCGAGGACGTCATAGCCGTGAGCCAAGTCACGCTTGGAGAAGGCTTCGATGTGGTTCCAGACTGACAAGTCACGTATGGGTCGTTTATCGACTTGCCACGAGACTGGCTCGGTGAATATCTCGGATTGTTGACCTTCGGTGCAGTGAAACAGCACTTGATGAGGAGTGAAGATGAGCTGGCGGGGTGAGAAGAGTCCCTCTTGGTACCTATGGGTGGTCAGCATGTGCTAGTACTGTCAGAGTGATTCACTTACGTCCATCCGCGAGTGTTCCACTTGCACTGCGATGTGGGCGGGAATGGCTCAACTGCAGAGACAAGGAGATGACCGTTGACCTCCGCATGCGTCTGCTCTCGTCGATCTATCCACCAGACACCGGGCAATCCATGCCATGCATGTGTACCAGCTGCCGCCACGATGGTGAACAATGCGTTTTGATAGATGAGGTGCATCTGATAGAGATGCTCATGGAGGATTTTCTCGTCGCCTTGCGGGAGGCAATATCTTTTAAATCGTTAGTTCAGGCAACGGATTGTTGATAGGGAGATGCATACTTGTCTACCCACAGGTACCGATAACCCATCTGAGTCACCACTCGCATGGCATCCTCGACGACCCAGGGGGTAGGTGGAAGCTTTCCCCTCCGAAGCTGACTGTCATCGAAGGGCTCTTCATCGCGCTCTCCCCAGACATAACTCAGTGCAACAAAGGAATCTTTCGGAGCAGCCTTCTTGAGCTTCCTTGTCTTGCAGTCAATAAAGCGAAGACCCTTGATCAGAACTCGGTCGACAGTCCAATTGCATGCTGAATGGTTCTTCTGGCACTCTTCCAGGAAGATGCGCCATAGACTGTAGTTCATCCGGCTGCGCACTCGACGGGCTGGCGATGGAATATTGGGGGTTGAAAAGGCTGGGTAGATGCTTCCATAGTATGAAAGCACTTGTGCGTCTGGGGTTCTCTTTCGTGCGACCTTGAGGGCGATGAAAGTCCCTTTCTCAAGTTCCCTAACTGGGAGGGCAGTATGCGTTTTTGTCTGGGATTTCGATCGCGAGGGGCTGACCTTGAACATATCCGCTGTGTCCATGTACTCGGAAGACTCTGAATGACCGATGGAGTCCCTATTCTTCTCCAGGGGGATCTCAACGGCAACGAGGAGGTATGGCTGCGGTTCGTCATCTTGCTCAGGGCCGACCTGCTCACAAAGATCGCATTTGTCGTGATACGAAGCAAGATCCTCGTTACAGAAAGGTCTGTAGATAGCTTCGGCGATCAAGCGGCACAGGCCGCACGATGACTTGCACTGCTCCTGAGGAACATCACCAAGCTCAACAACCAGATGGGGCGTTTCGTATCCACCAGAAAAGACCTTGTTGAGGTCAATGCCTGAGCATCTCTGGCAGAGTTGATCCTTCTTTGACGCCATGGTAAACACCGAATTGGGAAATTGTGAGGTATGAGAGTAGTTGGCAAGCTGAGAGACAGGGCTGGGTGAACTGTGAAGTTGTGTTTGGTGGTGTAGATGTGATCCTTGCAACCCTTGCTCTTTTTATGCCTGTAAACAATTGGCCTTGCGGGCCCAACATATTTGTGATATGCAGTATTCATTAACTGGACATTTGAGCATTAAAGTTCACTCTGGTCGGCCTGACTCACGCCGGGAGTAGAGAAACGTAGTTGGCTTAAGGCAAGGTTCAGGAAAGATCCGGCCGCATACCCCGAAAGGGTCATAGAAACCTAAAATTGACTACCAAGACAAGAGTCTCGCATTGAAGCAGACAAAGAGTTGACTAGAACGAGAAAATGTGACTATCATAGCTTCAGGAAACCGAGAACTAGTCCTGACTCCTCCTTACTGCTGTCCCTGAGAGTTGGAAGGCTGGCTTTACCTGGCCCAAGCCACCGCATCAGATATGTCGTACTGATAGCAGACACTATTGTTTGAAGAGCTGTGCTCGAGTTGCAGCGAAACCGAACGGTAGACCCACGGTTTGATGACTCTGTTATGTAATTGAGCCATGTCCATTTAAATGCAATCTCGCCAAGCCTGAGGTGAACCTACAAGTTTGGGTGCGCCATCTAGATGCAATCCATGATCAGGCTTCCAACCCCTAGGGCAATACTAGCACACGTAAAGAGGGAATTCTAATAAGCGATAATTTAAACTCAGACAAGTGCCCGCCTTATCGGCATTCACGTTATTCAACTTCACTTGGTGAACCTCTCTTACGGGCTCATCTTCAGCACAGCCACCTGTGTGCTGGTGGTAGGTAGGCTCTAGGCGTACCCACTCACCAGACCTTGGCAAAGCATCCAAGGTCCCCTATGAGCAAGCGGCAAAGTGGCAAAGCATGGATTAGAAAGGTACTGCGTTAGTCGGGCACTGGATGTGACAAGGCATGCAGGTGGTGTCCTCGCGTAGTGGAGGTGGTTTGCCGTCGAAACATGGCGTAACCTGATTGACCCAAATGAGATGTGCATACAATTCCAGGCTGAACAGAAGCAAATAAGCATTTTAAACTCTCAGCTATTGGACGAGGGCATGAAGCGTGATACACCAACATGCATGTTGGGCTGGCCACTTGCACTCTTATGTCCAATGGCATGACCGTGTCTGGGTGCTTGGAAGCAGGCTGTGAACAACCCAGCGAACAGCCCTGGTCTCTGCTCAGTCATGAACCCCGCAGCTGAGTCTACCTTAACTTCTCGCGGCTTGCCACTTCCCAGTTCCAGCTTGTATCCTTCCTTGCTCGTCTTCATGACCTACTTGGCCTTACTATTGTAAGCGTAATATATCCGAGGAACATCCCTCTTATTGCAGGTATTGCGAGCGAAAGACAGTTGCCTTCGGAGTACAGGTAGATGTCGGAAGATCGGCCACAGTCGGAGCAAATGCTCCACAACAATCCCTTCCCACAGGATGAAAGAGTAAGGCTGAAGAGAGATTTTGGCAGAAGAAAATGACTGAAATGATCAGATGGGAACCCAGAGGAATGCCGTCCATCAACTCACTGCCAGAGACGAAGCTAGGGTCGCAGTTGGGAATCATTACACGATCAACACCTACACTAACAGGCTACCGGACAAGCCGTCGAAAGAGAGTGGGTAGGCACCAACATAACTTGAATCCGTCGTCCACTAACAAGAAACACAGAGATTATGGGATGGATGAAATGCACTGACTTCACCAAACTGTATAAGGAACGATATTTGCCTAATCTCTTTCCGAACGTTGGGGAGGAGCCGCTGAAGGGGGAGGAATTCAAGAACTGGTGTAATGGCACCAACAAATGGCTTTGGTGTCATGGAATGCGTGAGTGTCGTTCCAAGATCTAAAGGAAGGGAAAGGGTGGCTGATGAGTAGCAGCCGGTGCTGGAAAGTCGGCATTGGCGTAAGTAATGCAATATCTGGCATCAAGAGAGGCTAAAACCTACTAGAACTATTATCATTCGGCACATCATCAAACTGCAGAAGGAAATGACTCGTGAGAAAAGTATCGGTTTGGCATATATATACTGCGACTATATGGCCGAAGACCAGTCAGCCCTTGATTACGTTGGGGCACTCCTCCGTCAACTTGTCAATCTATCCGAAGAAGTCTCACCTGAGGTCGTCACTCTGTACAAAGATCACCAACCGGGCTCCTCGCCTCCAAGCACTCTCCTCGAAGGATACGGATTGGCATTGGAAACCGAAATACGTCGGTTCGAGTCGGTCTACATCGTCGTGGATGCACTCGATGAATGTAGAGATGACGACGAAGGAGAATTTCAGCCATGTACAAGAGCAAGAGTATTACAGACTCTTGGAAGTCTCGGGGACAAGATTCACGTTCTATTTACATCCAGAGATGAGCGTCCTGCAGTCAGCCTACCGGATCCTACCATGCCAATTGCCATTATGAAGGTTTTGGCTACGGAAAACGACATTCGCACCTATGTTCAGGCGCGTATTGAAGGCAGCCAGTCGCTCAAGCACAATACAGATAGCGGACTAAGAGAAGATATCAAGAAAACCGTGGCGAAAAAGGCTGCTGGGATGTAAGCGACTGCCCCCTACAAAAACCATCAACTAAAGGAAACTAATGTTGGGCATAATCACAGGTTTCTGCCAGCAAAACTATACATGCAAATTTTGGTCAACACAGCTAACGGCCATTCGAGGAAGAGCGCTATCAAGAAGGCATTGAGGACTCTACCACAGTTCGACCACACCCAAATCTTGGAGAGCTATCAGAAGGCGTACCGGGCTATCCTCAAAAACATCTGGTTCCAAGGCCCTTTTAAAGTCAACCTGGCCCGCAGAGTGTTGTCTTGGGTCATATTTACCCGAGAACCTTCGGGTCTCACTCTTCCCGTCCTTCAACAAGCATTATTACTGGAAGACGCAGAGAGCCCCGTGGGCCAGAATGAAACTGCCTTGAGCGGCTGGGACTATGATATTAATGACAGGGATGAAGATGAACAGGACGAAGCTTCTATATCGGATGATCCCAGTAATTCCTCGGCGTCTACTCATGGAGATGTGATCCTGGAGGAGACCATTCTCTCAGTTTGTCGAGGGCTGATCACGATAGACCAGGTCAGCAAGCATATCCGGTTCGTTCACTACACGGCTCAAACATACTTTTCCAACGAGAATGTTCGCGCGGAATCATTCCCTCATGCTCAAAGCCAACTCACAGAATCGTGCATTGCCTCTCTTCTTTCCAAGGAAGTCGACCATCCATTTTCCCGGTACTCATGCAGGCATTGGGGACACCATGCTCAGATGGTTGAGGAGCAGTTTCAAGACAAGATCTTGGACCTTTTTCGGAACCGGGAGAAAATGTTGAGTTCCTTTCAGCTCGTTGTTGATTCCCTGTCTCCTGCTTGGACAACAGAACCACACGAGCCGAACAACAACTCCCTTCCACCTCTTTACGTGGCTGCATATTTTGGCTTGAAACTGACAGCTACACATCTAATGTCTGAATATGGCACTTTGGATATCCTGCGGAAGGATTGTCGAGGCTGGAATGCAATGATGTGGGCAGTCGTCGGCGGTTCGCTAAACCTGGTACGACTACTGTTTCGACGGGAGAAGGACCTTCTATCCAACGACATTATTTTCTCGGCTGCCGGCTCTCGGGTTGACGAGATACAGATCTCGAAGGTCTATATTCCACATGGGAAGATTTCTCTTGCTGCAGCCTTGGTCCCAAAAGCTGGGCTATCCTTCACCAAGGCGTTGCCAAAAGCTATCAGACCCAACACCAGTGACGATGTCATCAGATTTCTGTTGGACAACATTGAGACTGAGCGCATTGATTTGAAAAGAGAAAGCGACGGGCGTACACTTCTGTCTGTTCTTGCCGGAAACTGGCAGTGGGATTACGTTCAGATTCTCCTCGAAAGAGGAGCAAGCGTCGACCTGAAGGACACAAACGAGAGAACACCATTACTGTGGGCACTCCAATGCCCCAGATGCAAGATTAAAATCGATTCGATCATCGTCTCTGAAGAATCCTCCTTAAGCATTGGCGAGATACAGTGCCTTGAGTTTCCTACTACTGTCAGCATCAAGGACTACCGAGTTTCCGAGATGACAGTCGAGCCTTTTATCTGCAAACTGATTGGGAACGACCTGGAGTCTACGAATGACGACGGAAGAACCGCGCTTTCACTCGCGTGCGAGTCCAGATTCCATACCGTTGTGGACAAGCTTTTAAGCAAAGGAGCGCGCTCGAACACAAAGGACACCCTTGGGATGACGCCGCTGCATTATGCATGCAGTTTGCCTTGCTTCAGAACGGTTGTGATTGAGTATCTGTTCTGCGTAGGAGAGTCAAAAACACGCTTGGGGACGGCTGAATTACCGAAGCTACATCTTCGAAAGAAAGACAACACAGCCAAGTCGCTAGGGAGGACCGTGGACTTGCTTCTCCAGGTGGGAGCGGAAACTGGTGCTCGAAACTACCTCGGCGAGACGCCGGCGTCGCTCGCCGAATCAGATGGGCTGGTGAGCTGTCAAAGGCTGCTTGACCCTCTCAAGTTTAGTTCTGATAAGCAGTCCGGCACAAAATCAGGCTTCTGGCAGGAGGAAGAGGATTGTGCCAAACTGTTGGTGGCATTGTTGGATTACCGAAGCCGATTCCAAGTGCGTACATTGAGGGTCATAGATCACTCGAGACTGATTTCACATTCATCGTTGACCGCTGAAGTTCTTTTGATTCAGCATGGGTCATCAGTGATCCTCTCAAACAAAGCAAAAATCGACAAGCTCACTGTTTGTGACGATTCAACCACTGAGATCCGGACAGTGTCGGTCATCGGGGATCTCAAAACACACCACATTTCTCGAACAGTCATCTACGGACCATCAAGTATCCAGAGCCTATCTGGCTCAGAATTTTCAACGTTGGTCATCAAGGGCCAGGTTGAGATCAAGGACATGACCCTATCTGAGCGCTGCGCTGCCTATGTCAGTGGTAACACAAAGGTCAACAAGATCGATGGGCTTGACAAATCTAGCTTCACCATCACAGAAGAAACACGAGTTGAGCAGATTCGCCTTGATAATCATTGCACCATGTTTTCCATTGGGGAATCCCGCGTCAATATGGTTCAGGGGTTTGGGTCATCAAGAATTGTGTTGATGGGATCGTCTTTTGCTGCTCGCATTTCGGTTTTTGACGCGTGTGTAGTCATTTGTGGAGGTCATGCTCACGTAGAGCGTATGAGTTGTACGGGCCAGTCTTTCGTCTCGTTGAAGGAAAACATTGAGATCCGTCGCATGGACAGGGAGGGTGGCGCCAGCATCCTCGCCGAGGATCGTGTTACAGTGAGACTAGCTTTCAGGAGAGATGGCTCAAGTCTAAGCTTTCATGCTGATACTGAGACTGGAGACGCTGAAGCATTAGCAAAAGGTCTTGCAGACTTACGGAGTCTCTCGGGAGTTGTTACGACGAGTAGTTTGGGTCACTTGGTCGTCATCTTCGATGAGGGGGATATCATTGTGAAAATCCGCCAAATAGCCCAAGATGGCCCTCCCCACATTCTCACGGACTTAGACAGTTCGTCGACGGTGGATGAAAAGGAATCAAGGTCTTTCAAGGACCGAGTCAACAGGTTGATCGAAGTTGACAAACAGCGATGGTGCCTAGTGCAGAACAAGTTGGTTAAACACAAAGAGCGCCAGAAGGAAGCTGAAGATTCCCAAGGCAGGGAAGAGGAGTGGAACTTGGAGACTAAAGGGGAAGAGTCCAAAGCAGCATCCTGGAATTGGGGGCACCTCAGCGGCACTGGGGCAAAAAGGGCAGTTGGCCTAAGCCCCATAACGCCGATGGACGGATATACGGCGTTATTGGCTACCAGTTGTGATGGGTGCTTGGACTATTTGCACTTTTGCCAGAGCGGTACTAGTGTGCGACAACAGTACTTGAATGAGACAGTTTGATAGCTCTTTGAAAATCTTAGATATCATTACTTTATGGCACCGGCAATGAGGTCATGGGGGAAAGTACAGCCTAATCCTAGTCCACCAGATCGTATCAGAATCCCGACTCATCTTTAACGTTGCTGCTATGTAATAAGGAAACTAAAGCGGTCGAGCTCTTGAGGCTGAACGTTGAAGGAATATTGAATGTTGTCACAAAGACGCATTAGACTTGGGGAATTAATCCTAGTAGCCCCGACATGTCGTAAATGAACGAGCTGCTTCCCTTTGTTGATTTGTATTTCCTCTTGCGGTGTCTACACCGCACTTTGATGCTACTAGGAGAATAGGATCGTCCCAGTTTCACTTGAAATGTGAACCACGCCAGGAGCTCCTTGATAGATCGACCGCACTCCATCTTTGCCTGCCACAGGCACTTCCGTAGTGGGAGTATTATCACGCCGAAATACCGCAGCCTCGGTTTTCTAATCTCCAGTGACTGATCAAACATGGTTGGTAATGTTGACGGGTATATAATACCTGTATCCCGTGAAAATCTTTTGGCAGTTGTTCGGACACTTGTATGGTCCCGAGCGACATGGGAGTCCCGACTTTTAACATGATGAGCTACCCTTTTGTGGGACGTTGCCTCGTATTTACCCCTGCTGCCCAGAGCTACAGTAGCACTCCCAGGTATGCTAGACGTCATTACGTAGTGGCCCAAACTTGATGTATAAATTAGGCTTGGAATCCTTCCACTAGGGCTTCCCTATTTGCAACCACCCTCTTCTCGACACAATGCGCGGCCTCTTTGCTATCTTGACTGGACTAGCTGCTGCTCTTATGGCAGCTGAACCAAGCAGCGACCAAACGCACGTGCGATGTAGGAGTGAACCAAGCGAGGCTTTCCTTGCAGAGTCGCAGACACCCCATGGACGCGCCAAGCGAGAGTCCCCCGGCCACACGCTTGCCCCCCGCAACGAAAGTAGTCTCCTCCTAGATGCCTACTTTCACGTCGTCACGGCTACCCCGGATGAGATTACCGAGGACCAGCTGCACCGACAGATTGAAGTTCTCAACGACAACTTTGGTCCATATGACATCCAGTTCAAGCTTCGTGGCATTGACTGGACACTGAACGCTACCTGGGCGAACAACACGTACGACTACTGGATGAAAAAGGAGCTCCATAAGGGCGACTATAAAACCCTCAACGTTTACTTTATCTCTAGAATGTATGGTGGTGGTCTTGGTGTAAGTAATGCCGGTTGTCCTGCAAGGCCGTGTTGACATTGGTATGCAGGAATGCACGTTTCCCGAGAACAGCACTATCCCTACATTCGACATCACCAGGTTCATGGACGGCTGCACCGTCGACGCCCAAACTGTCCCCGGCGGCAAGAGGAAAGACGCCAACCTGGGTAAGACAACGACACACGAGGCCGGTCACTGGTTTGGTCTGTATCACACCTTCTACGGAGGATGCGATTTCGGCGACGCCATCGATGACACGCCTGCTCAAGCCGAGGCTGGAAGCCCAGAAATCGGGTGCACGGAGCCACGAGATACTTGTCCTGACCAGCCCGGCAACGATCCCATGTTCAACTACATGGACTACACGGGAGATGCTTGCTATCGAGAGTTCACCCCTGGTCAGAAGGCTCGCATGTTTGAAAACTTCTATGTATATCGTGCCAATGTGCAGTAACTGTTCTCTTGGTACCTCACTATGCATTGATGACTTACTCAATAGTATTATAGTAAAGTTCTATATATATCTAAGTTGCGATTGTTAACCCTCAATTCATGTGGCCTAGCATGAACGTGATTCAACCCAAACCTAGTTCCTGAGAAATTTCAAGGTCCCGTTACGTCCTAGACGTTGCGACTATGCAACGAGAAACCTGAAGTACCGGGATCCTCAAGCCCAGGCTTCAGAGTCAAAGCCGGTATTTCGTAGTCTCCGCCATTCTGTCGCCGATAGGCAATAGGCTTTGCGGTGGACAAGGTTCGCATCCTCTGCCGGAGCTCCTCAGCTGCCTCTTGGAACTGTTCATCGCTTGCTCGATCCGTTTTATACATGGCAAACGACGGCAGAACCTCGACGCCGGTGTAGTAGAGGGTTCCATGGGTTACAGGGTATAGAAGATCCTCGAGCGGTCCACCGATTCCTCGGGCAGAGTAGTGTTCTTTCATGCCTCCGACTGTTAGGACTACCATGCCGCGCTTCCCAAGTAGGACGCCTTCTCCGTATCGATCGCCCCAGTGCTTGTCGCTGTGCTCCCCAACACCATATCCGAATCCAAGGGAAAGGACCCTCTCAACCCAACCTTTCAGAATGGCAGGCATGCTGTACCACCACAAAGGATATTGAAAGATGATAAAGTCGGCCCACTTCAACTTTTCTTGTTCTTGCTTCACGTCGTCGGTGAGTGTGCCTCCATAGGTTGCAACGGCTGATGCCTTTGTCACCCTGAGACGTTCATCGGCAGGTTGTTGGGGAAAGTCCTCGCGGTCAACTTGGGCCTTCCATTTCATGGCATATAGGTCGGAGACCTTGACTTCGTGGCCTTGGGCCTCTAGTTCTTCGACTGCGACTTTGAGCAGGGAGCCGGTGAGGGACTGCGGCTCAGGATGAGCAAAGACGATAAAGACCTTCATTTTGGCGATTTTTGGCGTTTGGGTCTGTGTAATAAGGTTGGCGTTCGCAAAAAGAAAGGCAGCACCTAAGCATACCAAGCCCTTCCTTTTGTATTCATCAGTTGTCATGACGTGAGAGCAACCCGTGGGTCTCCAGTCAACTCCTCAATCAGCCTATCACCGACCTGTCCGAACGAGCCTATCAGGTCTGTTGGAAGCATACCAAAACTGGAACAGCACCCAGCTGACAAAGGATCTGGCACAATATTTGTGCAAATTCTTATAAATCATCAGATCATGACGGAAACCGCGCAAAGATGGCGTGATCTGACAACAGCCTATTGCGTTTAACATTGCAAGATAAGCTCGCTTAGGCGAAAAGGATGGGTCAGGCTTGCGTTAAAGAAGCAGGCAGACGTTTTGCTCGCAAGTTTATTTCCGAATAATGTACGCGTCTACAGGGGGTTAATTAGAGCACATGATAGATCGGCTCAACGATTCGACCGATCTAACTAATCGGGATTGGTCTGCTTACCGCCTGCAATCACCCAAGGAATCTCAACTCTGCATCAAATCTAGCGCCCAGAAACACTGGTCACGTTTCAGCCCCGATGGCGACAAATGATACCCCAGAACTAACTGCGTGTTCCGCATCAACGCCAACCGCTGAGGTCTTTCCCCAGAGCAGCTTCTTCCAGGAGCGCAGAGCGCCCGCGCTACCCTCGCCAAAAGAGATCAGGGCCCTGAATGAGGCATCAGGCCACTACCGTGCCAGATCCTTGAGCCATCCGCCCCCCGTTCTTGTCCCATCCTTGGGACTGGCCGTCAAGTATGGAGCCGACGTGACTATCGCCGAGGCTGAGACTCAGGTGTTGATGCGTGAGAAACTAAAAGACCGTGTCCCAATTCCCGAGGTCTTCGGCTGGGCTGAAGATGGCGGACAAATGTTCATATACATGTCTTTGGTCGAGGGTGATACTCTACAGGCAAGATATAGTACCATGAGTCAAAGGGAGCGGCAGGCTGTCTGCAAGGAGCTACGATCTATGGTGAATGCCTGGAGGGCCATAACCCAAGAACGAGACAGATATATTGGTTAGTTGTCACGATCAGCTTCTTGACCTCTATTCATCCTAACACGAATACACACAGGGAGCATAAGAAAGCGCCCGCTGAATGACATCTTCGTCACTGGCCAACCAGATCGCGTAGGGCCCTTCCTCGGGCCAGATGCCGTCCAAGAGTTTCACAATACATGCGGAATCGATATTAGCAGCGAGATTCCGATCGTCTTTACCCACAACGACTTTTGTCCGCCCAATATACTCTTATCACGTGGTCCTAGCCCGAAGGTCGTGGGCATTATTGATTGGGGCCAATCAGGATGGTATCCTTCATATTGGGAGTATTGCAAGGCACGGAGAGTAGGTGTCGTGGATGAGGCATTCACTTCTGCCCTTCAAGAGGAATGGCACACTACTTATCTGCCTCAGATCATGGATATGGTGGATGATGAGAGTTTTTACCACCCTTGGCTGTATTTCATGTTGTCTAACATCTGAGACTATTGCTCAATTAAGTATAGAGGCAGGTACCAGAATTGTTAATTATCTATGCTCTCGCCGTTATGGCAACACTCTCAGCGTGCCGATCATAAGGTATTATTCTGTTCTAACTGAGTTAAGAGATATTATAAGCAAATCTTATACCAGTTTTTTCATCCTCCAGTGGGGATATTAACCTAATAGTATGAAGAAAGTTACGAATCATACTGTCCTGGTCCCCTTCATCCGTGTAGGCATTTAATTCTCTGCTTTAGCTATACCCGCTTTTCCTCCAATCGTTCAAGGCGGCTAAGGATCAAGTTGGCGGATAGGTAACCCGAGATATCATAGGCCTTGGGGAGCAAAGGCGCGAAAAGGTCGCCATGATTTCTTTCAAGACAAAGCTGTCTTTCCAAGGACCCAAAGACAATCCATTTTGTTCTGCCAAGATTCTCTCGCCTGCTGAGATGTGGCGACGTGCACTGTCGCCGCGGTTCTGAAGGTCGTCGCAAACGGTGAGCAAGACACAGGCGACGAGAATGATGATGACGTCGACATTCTGAGAGCGACTCAAAATCTGCAGTGCCCTGCTGTAGTGGGCAAGGAACGGGACGTTGTTACTCGAGCTCAAGTTTGACGCTGCAATGACCAGGTGCTTGATGCTTTCGTCAACGTAGCTGGCCTGTAACACGACCATGGTCCAGAAGCCGTCTGTGCCGTAGCTGGAAAGCATCGGAGCATACAGCTCGCTAAACATCTGGAACGACTGCCTTGACTTGGCAGGGCATGCACCAGGGGTTGAACAGGACCCTGAGCTCATGACAACTACCGAGACTGCCTCCAGCCTGGGCTTGGGAGCAGGATAGCCGTCACATTTACGACCCGTGGAGGTGCAACGCTTGCACGATGGCTTCTTCTCATCGCACTTGACACGTCGGATCCTAGAGAGGTTAGATGCTCCGGAGTTAACCTGGGGTGCGTCTTGACTGGCCGCTTACCTACAGGTGATGCACCCGCCGCTGCTCCGCCTGTGCTTCAACGGCCCGCCGCTGCATTCCGTGCCCGTTGAAGCCATATCATCGGCTGCCAGTTGAGGGAAAACTGGCTGTAGGTTTTCACGTCAGCGGTGTACGATCCATTATAGCCGTGTGGTCGAAACTCGGAGATAATGTCGTCCTTCCGGGCGCCCACAACTGAACTCTGATTGGCCTGCTCGGTAACTAGCGACTAGCGTTAATTGGGGATGCATAAAATGATTGGCCAGGGCTCTAACAAGCTGTCCGTCGTGATTGTATCCAAGGCATGAGATGTACTTGCAAAGATGATTTTGTAGATGAGAGCCCGGATTTTACTGTTCAACTGCCCTAAAGCCGTTATGAGATTACAAATGCTTCGTGCTTGGTGGATGAAGCTCAATGAACTGCCTGGGGAAGTGACTATAAAGAGGACCAGATGCTCATGGTCAAATTGTAACGTCGACCATCATCATCCTCAGTCTCACAGCCTCAAACTCTAACACAAACGACTCAGCTCGAACCATTACCCCCGTTCAATCTTCTCCCTAACACCATGGCCTCTCAGGATCTTCCAATTTCCCTCAAGAGCAGCTTGGATGCTACCAAGGTGGACTATGCCCAGCTGGGAACATCCGGACTGCGCGTCTCGGTCCCGATTCTCGGATGCATGTCCTTTGGTTCCAAGAAGTGGCATCCCTGGTTGATCGAAGAGGAGGAAGCCCTCGAGATCCTCAAGGCTGCCTATGATCGAGGTATCAACACCTGGGATACGGCCAACATGTATTCCAACGGCATCTCTGAGGAGATTCTCGGAAAGGCAATCAAGAAGTTCGAGATTCCCCGCCATAAGCTTGTTCTCATGACGAAGTGCTCCGTCTTTGTCGGCGACGATCTGGAGGTCGTGGGTCCTGCTCACGGGCAGTTCATGGCTCAGAGCAAAGACTATGTTAACCAAGGAGGTGAGTGGCCTTTCCACCTAGACTTTAGAGCTGTGTATTAACATATTAGGACTCTCTCGCGCGGCCATTTTCAACGCCGTCGAAGCATCGCTCGCTCGATTGGGAACTACCTACATCGACGTCCTTCAGATCCATCGCTACGATGAATCCACTCCACCTGAGGAGACAATGAAGGCGCTCCACGACCTCGTACAGAGTGGCAAGGTCCGCTACCTTGGTGCCAGTTCGATGTGGGCTACGCAGTTTGCGAACCTGCAGCATGTAGCTGAGCGCAACGGTTGGACCAAGTTCGTGGCGATGCAGAACTACTATAATCTATGCTACCGCGAGGAAGAGCGAGAGATGAACCGGTTCTGTAAGGAAACTGGCGTGGGCATTATCCCCTGGTCTCCTCTATTCGGTGGTTTGCTGGCTCGTCCGTTTGGTGTGCAGGACTCGGAACGCTCCAAGATTCCGTCTCCATTTGGCTCGGCAGTCACTCCAGCCGATGAAGAGATTGTTAAGAGGGTGGAAGAGGTAGCCAGCAAGAAAGGTTGGAAGATGGCCCAGGTGGCTTTGCTGTGGCTTCGGAGCAAAGGGGCGATTCCTGTTGTCGGCCTGAACTCCATCTCCAAAGTTGAGGAGGCTGTCGAGCTGCACGGCAAGGAGCTGAGTGCAGAGGAAGTGGAATATCTAGAGGAGCTGTACATTCCCAAGCCTGTTGCGGGACACTTTTAGATTTTCTCGTCTCACTCCCTACCTAGGTAGTTAGGTACTACTCCGGGCAATCGCTTCCCTTTGCACGATATCTATCATAGTCGCTCATAGCTTAATGCTTCGGGTCACATATTAAAATATCTTGCTGAGTCTGACGTGAGATTTGAGCATTGGATTGGCTTTGGCGCGTCTTGTTGCGTCTAGGCAGGGAGCTGGCCAAGAAAACCCATAACCATGGTTGCAAGACATTCTTACAGTACGTCTCTATTGGCTGCCAGTCCCGTTGCTGCCTGCGATGACCCTCCCCTTTTTAACCTCACGGCCCAGCTTCTCCAATCTCTTTTCTTGGCCAAATTTTCCCATTTTCTTTTTTTACACTATGAGCATCCATTATCTTGAACGCATTGAATCTGGCAACCGAGATGGCTTGTGTCTGTGTATTCGCTGGAACAAGGCACGAATGATTGTGCACATTGATCCATCCCCAGCTGGGGACTTGATGCAGGATTCTCTAATCAAGGAGTACGAAGACGCGATTTGTAACAGCCAGCGAGAGGAAGACGCCATGGCGGATAAGATCTTGGACACCATCGTTGAAGTTGGGAGATCAACCTTTGACCAGCTTATCCCACCCAAGGACAAGCCTGCTCCCCCGCCATCCCTGCATTCTCTCCTTTTCCCAGAAGAATTTACCTTTCTCCTTCACACGCGACACAAAGATGGAAAGTGGATGCTCGAAAACAGCGCCCAGGGCCCCGATCTCTCGTTGAGAGGGGCACTGCCACTCGATCTTGAGCTTATTCAGGGGGCGGGTCTGCCCACATTCTCTACCAAAGACATATTTGTGGTGGATGAAATCATCAGCGATGGACGCGTCTCTCGTGTTATTGTGGAAGATCAAGAAATGTGCGCCAAAACCGCGATTCATCTGCCAACCGAGTCTCTTCAAAAAGAGCTGGAAAGTCTTTTGAAGATTCGGGCCTCCAAATATGCCGACACTATCCGGGTACCGAAAATCCTCGGTTTCGTCAAGAGTCCAGTCCATGCCAAGATAATCGGCTTCTTAAGTCAGTACATTCCACCACCCGACGTTCTCTCCCTTGTCAGTCTCGAAGATGTCAAGGCTTCCTCGTTTGCCGCGAGCAGGAGAAAGAAGTGGGCAACACAAGTGCGAGAAACTGTAGAACGGTTGCATGAAGTCGAAGTTGCATGGGGACATGCGGCGCCTTCAAATGTCTTGATTCATAATGATACTGATGATGCGTGGGTCATTGACTTTGATGGTGGATGGATGTATGGCTGGACGAAAAGGATTGTTGAAATAGACCAAGAAGAGGTTGACAAGATTTTTCAGTTGTTGGAAGTTTGATGACACTTTTGCATCGTAACTAGGTCAATATGCTATTTCTGAATGGTAGAGAGCTATGGATTGCCGAGCGGTATGAACGAATCAAGACATCGCCTATGAGCTATGCAGGGGAGAATATGAATTGTCCACTATATACTTCATGGCAGCTACGTGTTAACCCCTTCGAGCTTACATAAAGCATATTCCATGTTCTTAATACTTGTTCTGCACCTCGACAAGGCGCTGGGTGGCTGTCTCGGTCTTGTGGAACCTCCAGGCCTTGATCTTCCTCTCAAACAACTCATCCAGCTCAGCGGCAGAACGACTACAGTATCCAATTAGTCAAGTCCACATTGAAGATCGACAATTCACTTACCCTTTGGTCTCGGGGATCAGAAGCCACATTCCAATCACGAAGGGCAAACCGACTCCGGCGTAGAACCAACCCGTCTTGAAACCCCAGTTCCACTTGTGCTGGTTGACCATGTAAGGAACAAGGACGTTCATGACAATTCCGACAACGCAGGTAATGGCGGCACCGAAGCCTGCCGTATAAGGTCGAAGTCGCTGGGAGGAGATTTCGCCGATGTAGCCCCAACCTGCAGCTCCGTTGGCAGTCATACCAATGTCTGTCACTGTGGTTAGTTTCGAAGACGCAGATAGATGGAACATACTCACTCCAAAAACAGGCAAATAGCACAAAAATGTAGTCCATTGCCTTAGTCTTCTTAATGAGACCAAGGACGCCAATGACAGCGCAAGCGACCATCTCCACCGTGGTTGAAGTACAGGCGATCCATCTTCGGCCAACTCGATCAGCAACTAGAATGATAATGATGATGGTAGCGATGTTGATTCCAGAAGTGATGCACTTGACAGTGAACGGCTTGGCAACACCGGCCTGCTGGAAAAAGTAGGTACCAAAACTGGAGAAGAGTGTAAGACCGAGGAACTGCTGCGAGAGGTTGGCCCAGAGAGCTGTCACAGTGCGTCTGCCGTCGGTGCCTCGGAAGATGGACACCCAACTTTGGCGTTTCTGCTCAGCTGCGACAGCCTCTTCGTGTTCGGCGGCTAGAATCAGGACCTGGAGTTGCTGGTCGATGTTGTAATCGGGCACTCTACCGTGCAGTTGCTGCATCGCTTTGCGGGCTCGCTCGTAATTCTTCCTTCCAACACACCAGGCTGGCGACTCAGGCAGGAAGACATAAATGAGAAGCATGAGACCGATTTGTGCCCATTGGGTGTAAATCGGGACCAGCCAGTCCATCTCATGTGTTTGGTTCAAAACGTTCAGTGCAACATGAGCAAAGAAGGTGCCGACAGTCCACCAGAAGCTATAGCACATGAGAAGACCACCGCGGATTCGTACTGGTGCAACCTCGGAGATATAGATGGGCAGAGTCGACTGAAGGCAACCAACACCGATGCCGGCGAGTAGTTTGCCAGCTAACCATACCGGCCAAGTTCGTGCGAGGGATTCAGTCATGACGCTCATGGCCAAGATGAACCAGTAGGTGTACATGGCAACCTTCCTACCAAATCGACTCGAGACGAAGGCGAGGGACGTCATGCCGATGACTTGACCGACGGACATGATGGAGCTCCAGGCGCTGAGGATGGGAGATTCGAGGAAGGGGTTTCCTTCAGCGTCGTGCTTGGTGGCGAACTCGTGGACGAAGCCCTTGTTGGCGACAATACTGGCGTTCATACTATACAGTGTCAGTTATTGCTTTTTAGACGTGAGTGATGTCTTACCCGACCTGGAAGCCATCAGTTGCAGCGCTGAAAGCGGCAAGGAAGCACACAGCCGTGGCGACCTTGAAAGTCTTGACAGTCTGCCACGGCGTAAGGTGTTCATAACCAGACGCTGCCTGACCCTTGCTGGCAGCATCTACAGCGGCTTCAGACTCTTTGAGGCCCATCTCGATTGGAGCCTCTGCGTGCTCCACGTTCTCTGTCTCCTTGAGGGGCGCCATGGTGAAGGATGCGAATGCGGGGAAGGTTGATGCAGAATCCGGGGAGTTGGAGACAAGACTGGTTTCTCCATGGTTTTAATAGTCAAGAACTCGGTCGATAATAGAGCGAAGAACGAAGTGTCTAGCTGAATGCGGAGGTGACTTGGGCATAACTGCCAAGCGCAAAGTGGAGGATCACCCAAGTTCCGGGATGGTCACCGAATGAGATGGTGATCCGGTCGGAAGTCAAGCCATCGGGGTATGGACCTTGGCTTGAGCCGGAGAGTCTTTCCCCAGGTTAACCCACTCCCCGCATCAACTGGCTTGCGGGAAATGGCGGAGAACCGGGGGGCGGCTGGCTAGACGACGTGGGGCAAGCTCTGCAGGGTGTCAGGAGAGAGCAACTCGTCTATTGTCATGAACTGATTGGATAAAGACGAATAGCTTCGCTATTGTTTGTCCCGAGGTTTGAGTTTTCTGATATAGTCGGCACAAAGCTGTGGTCCAGCCGTTGGCCCGATAGTTGGGAGCGGAATCGCGAGGACGGAATAATATCACGGAATAAATGCCACGGAGTAATGCCGCGGATTAATGAGTACGTAGTGAAATTATAAGAAACCACTGTTGGAAGTGAACCGGGAGAAGTGAAGTTAATGGATCATGGTTCTCTTGAACGGTTCTCCAACTGTCTTCTCCTTCAGACTTCATCTCCGCTGTCAATGGAGTGTGGATAGCCTCGGTTAGGATGTGGCCCAGGAGTTGACCAACTTGGGGTGATGGTTGCACCACAACTTGGATCTGGGGTCAAAGAGCGGGGAGAAATTTCGCAATGAAGTGGGCCTGCAATAGTACCAGGTACTTGTACGAGATGCCCAAGTCAAGAGACTTGCATTGTGCTTGTCCAGGAGTGACCTGGTAAGCTCCAACTGAACCCGCGTACTCGTACTGATCGCGAGACTTGGCGTTTAGTGCGTGTCATGGACTACTGACCATCAAAACAAGCGAGTTTAGGGGCGTGATGGCTTTACAAAGGTCCGTTACTGCAGGAGCAGCGCTGATAATTGAAATGTTACTGGAAATCGGCTTCTTGTATTCTCCCTATCACGGTTACTTCTACCAGGCCGGAGTAACTCCACGGGAGCCAAATCTCTAAGTTGTAATTCGTTTCTATGTGCAAATCCTAAGCAAATACTAAAAATTCCCTGCCATCAGCTTCAAATCTTTCCGTTCGTCTTCTGAGACCGACGTTTGCGAAACGTTTCGCAGAGGTAGCGAGACGAGTCTTTGGGCGTGCGCTTCAACGTTGAAAAGTCAACGTGAGTAATTCCGAACCGTGGCCCAAAGCCAGCTGACCATTCTTCAAATTGTCAGTGTTGGCGATGTTTTAGAGATGGGATGCAGAAAACGTACCAAAGTTATCCATCAAAGTCCAGACGTAATACCCTTGCACGGGCACACCATCCTCGTAGATAGCTCGGGAGATGGCATCAAGATACAGACCAAAGTATCTCGTACGGAACTTGTCGTCCACGGCTACCTGGACGTCATCTTCGCCAGGACAAGGGCAACCATTCTCTGTAATGATGACGGGAAGTTGGTATCGGTTCCAGACCCAGTTCAGTAGCTTGCGGAATCCTTCTGGCGCGACGCGAAGCCAATTCGTGCCTGAGACTGGACCAATCTCAACGCCCGCATAGTTGACGGAGCCTTCTTCGATGTTGCCGGTCCAGTCATCGTCAGCTGGAGGATCTGGGAGAGCCCGGGCGTACTTTGTTGAGTAATGGTTCATGCCGTAGAATGCGTTGATTCGACTCGTGTCTCGCAGTAGCTGGCGTTCCTCAGGTGTGAACTTGGGTAGTCTAGAGCCGAGATATCCTCTCATGGAGGCGGGATAATCTTGGCCGAGGAAAATAGGATCGCCGAACCAGCCGATGTAGAACTCTAGCCGTCTTTGAGCAGCGTCAATGTCTGCCTTGTTATCCGAGTAGGGCTCGTAGAAATGTCCGTTCAGTACAATAGAGATGTCACCCTTCTGGGATGCAAACTCCTTGCTGTAGATTTGCACTACTTCAGCGTGAGACAAGATGAGAGTGTGTCCCACGCGCCATGGCTCCGTCTTTGTGTCGTTGCCAGCAGCAGCACATCGTCCTGGAGCGAGAACGCCATTGTGATGAGCAAAGATGGATGTGATGTAAGGTTCATTAAAGGTGACCCATTTCGTGACTCGATCGCCAAACCGCGAGAAGCAGAGTCTCGCGTATCGGATGTAATCGGCCTTAAACTCTTCCGTGTTCAGAAATGCGCCGTATCGATCGTAAATGCCCTGTGGAGTATCCCAATGATACAAGGTCGCAACGGGCTCAATTCCTTTTGCAAGGAGCTTATCGATGAGGTCGTTGTAAAAGGCGATTCCATTTTCATTGATGGGATCGTCACGGCCACCGAGTGGGATCAAGCGCGACCAAGAGATGGAGAAGCGATACACGTCAACGTCAAATGACTTCATCAAATCGATATCCTCTTGGATGCGATTGTAATGGTCACACGCTATGTCGCCGTTCTGGTTGTTTGTACGTGACGGGATGAGATGCGTGTACGTATCCCAGATGGATGGACCCTTGCCATCCTGCGTGACCGCTCCCTCAACCTGGTATGCGGCCGTGGCGGTGCCCCATTTGAAGTCTGGAGGGAGGGGAAGATCCTGGACGGGCAAATCGTGGCCGGTTGACTTGCTGTACGATGTGACGACATCGTCAGCTAGGAACATGGACGCCTCGTTGGCCATTGTGAAAGAGAGGAATAACGTGGTGTGAGTTGACCTACCTACAGGTGACCTAAAAGCTACTTGATCTTTTATAGAGCACAAAAAGCACACCGTCAAGGATCTTTACACCCAAACAGCCTATCTCGCCTGTCTCACACCATGCTGAGGCTGTCATGACTTCTCCACAGGGCTAACGCCCCTGGTCAAGTTTCCCGACAGGTTTCCCGACAGGTTTTCCGCCGCTAATGCACATGGTCAACCTTCCCTGTCATGCGGAGTCTGGAGGATCACGTTGGAAAAGACGGAGTATTTAGCGTAGCCAAGACTGGTTTCCAGGCAGGCAATTACTCCGATAGGGCAGTCCTTCCGATTAATCAGCGCGTCGAATGCGCATTGTCCCTTAATATTGGCCCATTTACATTGCTGGTTCGGTGTTTTTCCGTGCCCGAGTCAGAATCCATGCGTGTGTGCATGAGGGGTTGTCTTTGACACGGGATCACCAACGTCGGTCTACAAAAGAGTCAGCTCGCGTTAATTGCTCCCGAACCTAGTCATATGGTGGATTCCGCGGAGAGCGCCTGCGAGGGATTAAATGAGCGAGGTTCGATCAAGGGTGGCTCGCAACGACTGTACAGCCAGGGCCTTGACACTGTTGTCTTGTTCCAGGCCACATCACAAAGATGGCGTCCGTCATTGACGTTCAGTTTGAGCACTACCATGCCCCAAACACACTGGGTGTCCAAAGCTCTACGCCTAGGATCTCATGGAAGATCAATGACCCAGCAGGCTCATTCAAGCAAGCCAGCTATGAGATCGAGGTCGGCGACGGCAATGCCAACGCACAGCAACATCTTGTCTTGGCTGTGAAACGAGCGTCGAGTCTCTCAAGCCTCGTTCCATGGCCGTTCGACCACAAACTCCGCTCGCGGCAGAAGATATTCATCCGAGTAAGGCTCTATGATGACAAGGATAACATTACTCCTTGGAGCGAACCTGCGCCTCTCGAAACTGGCCTCCTCGAGCGCAGTGATTGGCAATGCCAGCGTATTGCTGCTCCTTGGGGTCCTGGAACTTCTAAACCAGACCCGGAACAGCTATACCGAAAAGAGTTCCAGCTTTCAGGTGAAATTGAGAAGGGCAGGCTCTACATCACATCTCAGGGCGTTTACGAAGCTGAGGTCAATGGGCAACGCGTTGGCGACTACTTCCTCGCTCCCGGATGGACTGCCTATGACAACAGACTGCAATACCAGACATACGATCTCACTTCGTTCCTTGCCGAAGGTTCAAACTGCATCGGTGTTCGCCTTGCTGAGGGTTGGTTCTCTGGTCGGATCGGCTTCGAGGGAGGTCATCGAAATATCTGGGGCCCTCACACTGCTCTTTTGGCACAACTTGAGATTTTCTACACCAACGGTCATTCGGAAATGATCGTCTCTGATGGTTCTTGGACTGTTACCAAGGGTCCTATCAAGCTGGCCGAGATTTACGACGGCGAAAAGTACGACGCCCGGGATGAAATCGCATCTTGGTCGACTCCCGCGGCGGACAAGACAGCCTCCAAATGGGAACCTGTACTGATTATGGAGGACCTACCTCCAGAAATCGAGCTCACAGCTGGTTACGGAGAGCCTGTCCGGCGGGTCGAAGTGATCAAACCGTTGGAGAAGATCACCACACCATCTGGAAAGACCATCCTCGACTTTGGCCAAAACCTCGTTGGGTATCTACGCCTTCGAGACATCAAAGGCCCTCAGGGACACAAGATCACACTCCGCCACGCCGAAGTACTAGAGAATGGCGAACTTGGAACACGTCCACTCCGCATTTGCAAAGCGACTGACGAGTATACCTTGAAAGGCGATGAGAGCGGCGAGTCCTACGAACCTCGATTCACATTTCACGGGTTCCGATACGCCGAGATTGATGGATGGGTTGGCGATTTGAGCCTAGAATCAGTCGAGGCTGTCGTCTGCCATACTGATATGAAGCCCGTGGGTGAATTCGAGTGTTCTGAGCCCTTGCTCAATCAACTGTACAAGAACGTCGTCTGGGGAATGAGAGGGAACTTTCTCTCCGTTCCCACCGATTGCCCTCAACGCGACGAAAGACTCGGGTGGTCTGGTGACCTCGCACTCTTCGCTCCAACTGCAACTCTCATCTACGACTGCTTTGGCATGTTGAAGAACTGGCTGATTGACCTTGAGCACGATCAAAACGTGCTTGGAGGAGTACCGCCCATGGTCAGCCCAAACTCAACTATCCCAGATCCTATTTGGTGTAGGAGAGTACCTTGTGCTATTTGGCACGATGTCACAATTCTTGCGCCTTGGGCTCTTTATCAGGAGACGGGAGATGAGAGTATTCTTGCCCAGCAGTACAACAGTATGACGACTTGGATGAAAGTTCTTCCACGAACAGACCACTTGTGGGATCCAAAGCCGTTTCAACTGGGAGTGAGTACAACACTTGACTTTTCTGAACATTCTTACTGACCTGTCCAAGGACTGGCTTGACCCAGCAGCTCCTCCCGATGCTCCATGGAAGGGAGCGACGGACGCCAAAATGGTGGCCAACATGTTTCTCATTCAAAGTCTAGACCTGATGGTAAAGATATCAGCGATCCTCGGTCACAAAGACGATAGTGTTAAGTTCCTGGCCGAGTCCGAAGCTGCTCGGGGAGCATTCCAAGATGAATACGTCACCCGCAATGGCCGTCTAGTCTCTGACTCTCAAGCGGCGTATGCTTTGGCAATATGTCTTAACATCTTGTCTCCTGCACAGAAGAAACACGCGGCGGATCGACTTGCGTGGCTGGTGCGAAAGAACAACTTTAAAATCGGAACAGGCTTTGCCGGAACGCCGTATCTCTGTGAAGCTCTTGCTTTGACGGGGCATTTTCAAGTTGCTTATGCAGCGTTGCTCGAGAAAGGATGCCCCTCGTGGCTTTACCCCGTGACTATGGGAGCGACTACTATGTGGGAGAGGTGGGATAGCATGCTGCCAGATGGTTCCATTAACCCGGGCGAGATGACGTCGTTTAATCACTACGCATTCGGCGCCATTGCCAAGTTTCTATACAAGAGACTTGCTGGACTACAGCGACTCGAGCCAGGATGGAAACGATGCCGGATTGCTCCCACAATTGGGGCAGATTTTACAAGTGCCTCGGCATCTCACATTACTCCCCACGGCAAGATTTCCTGCTCATGGGAGACGTCGCTCGTTGGCGAGCCTTCAAAGGGGGAGGCTATCAAGATCATGGTCGCGGTGCCCCCCAATACTACTGCCGAGGTGGTTATTCCAGGGAAGGACGGAGAGAGAACGGAAGTGGTGGGGGCTGGCGAGTGGGAGTTTGAGTCTGTTTTTGAAAGAGACGGCTCATGGCCAGTCTTGGCCTTACCACCAAAGTCATAGTGATCACTCGCATAGTCAGGTAATAACCAAGACTGTCATTTCTCATCGCCTACCTGTAAGAAGCCCTAGAACCGCCACTCCATTGGGTCGTCCATCCAGTCCTCCATCGGATCACGATATTCTCTAAGTTTTGCCCCTGACTTATAAAGACTCTCGAGATGGAATCCCAGCATTTCATCGCGAGGCTCGTGAAGTAATACCCATTGAAATGTGGTGAGGATATAGTGTCTTAGTTGCTTGATATCAAGCTTTTCCAGGCGAATCAGAAGTGCATACCCCCCCTGTAAGCAAAGGTATGCCACATATGCAATTCTTCGTGGATAGTCCTCTGGCGGAACTGGCAAACACGGTTGGATTTCAGATCCGAATCCCACAGTAGAGTCTCAGCAGTAGGAGGCTTGCCATTGCGTATCATTGCCGCTCGTAAGTGCCAATCAACTCGCTGAACAAGCCGATGATACTTTGCAGAGATAAAGCTGAGTAGCGATCGCATTTCGATAAGGTCCCAGGGATTGTCGTGAAAGAGTATGAGTCTAGATAGTGATGACCGATTGTAGAATAAACCATGACGATGTGACTCAAACTGTAAGAAGGTGTTCTTGAGCGTATACCTTTCGTCCTCCGACAACATCGAAGAGGTTCGTGGTATAGGATCGCGACTTGTCTCCGACAAGTACCGTGCGATATAATCATCCGTCTCAGATATTAAGCACAATAGATCGCAGAGAATAGTGAGGTTTCCCTGCCACTCTGCCGGCTTTAGCAGTGGGAGCCATTTGATCCGGTTGACTTTGGCATGGACCTTCAGGGTCTAGGTAAGGAAGGAGATGCTGAATAGACCGAAGTCGCGTAATTGACGGTGCCATTAATATCGTGCATTCATCTTCAAGCCCCTCCAGCACCAAGTCTAGGTGTGGTTGGAGGACATGGCGGCGGTGAACATCGAAGTACTGAAAGGCTCCTGGGCAGGCCGAGAGGAATGATCGGAGATCAAGAGGGGAGTTTAGCGTCCGAAGAAGCTGAACCACAAGCTCGGCTGGTAGCTTGTCGAAAAGGGACATGTTGGTGATATCTTGGAGAGAAGCTGACCTGAACTGATCTGGATATAGAGGACGGTGAGTTGGTGTTGATGGTACGTTTCTGTCTTGGAAATGGAAAAGACTGTGTTGGCATTAATCTTTAACCTCATGAGTCATATAACGGCGGTGTAAAAAGCGTCGAGGTGGTTAAGTTTATGCATCTGTGCAGGTGACCCTTTGCCTCACGGGGAAATATCGAGACAGAGTTCAAATCATACAGCATTTTCTGCTATTATGTCTATATACCGACATCTGTCATACCCTTATTGTCTCTTATCACCAACGATTCCCTCCTAGAAGCCGGCAGACCTCGAGTGAAGACTGGATCCTTGTACAGAGACGTCAACGGAACCTGGGCCCGATGCGTGTCGCGTGAAGAAGTCGCAGAGGCCCTGGAACATGCTCATGACGAGGCCGGTCATTTCGGACCAGATACAACGAGAGGAAGACTGGCGGGAAGAGTCCGGTGGCCAAAAATGGCATGGGACGGCGTTCAGTATACCCATGACTGTTTGGAGGTGTGTCCGCTTTGCACCAGCTCTCCCAGCGATCCCCAACCAACCGAGCTATGTCAGCGCCCCCATGCAGGTACTAGGGCTTTCAGGCGTGATTGATAATAACAGTAACGGGGACGAGAACAATCAACACGCATGACTAGCAGAAATCAGAGGCAGTAATAGTATTTGATGATAGGGGAGAGAGTTGGTCATGTTGCCAGTATGAGCACACTTGTCAGAACCTGATGCTTTGAGTGCTTCTCTCTAAGACAAGGATAAGACATTGACTAGACTAGGTGTGACTAACCTAAACCCCCATTTCTATTACCTCATGGGGTAACTAACTCGTCTTTGGAAGATCCATAGTGTATAGGCTGAGTCTCGACTGAATCCACCGTTCAATGAAAGCCTGGATCTCATCACTATTCTTCTCCATAAACATCATGTGTCCATTTCCATGAATCCCAACATCTCCGAGCTCTACATGCTCAGTCTTGGAGCAACCAGCCTGCTTGAGGTAATTCGCTGTACAATAGTCGTAAGGCATGTGATAGGAAGCCTCCCCTGTGACCATGAGAATAGATTTGTCCAACAGATTTACCAACTGGCGGGGCTGTGGGTCGACAGCTTGCAGTGTACAATCGCTATAGCCCTCTCCCTTTGACGCAACGCGCGTCTTGACGATATCGATAGTAGGGTCAGTGACGGCAGGCTCGTACGTGAGGGGAATGTCCGTTAAACCCCATTGACGAGGATTGTCGCCCCCAAAGACAAATATTTCATCGATGAACGGCGGCCCACCTGCTTCAAGCAGAATAAGAGCTTTGGCTAGTGTAGGTCGGGCGTCGGCGATAAGAATAGGCATGAAGCTCCCTTGACTATGACCCAAGAGTATGACAGGCCGGTCGATCTTGTCTAGCAGAGCCGCACCGGCAGCCTGAACCGCAGCCTGTTGATACGTAGTGTTGCCGATAAACTGTACATTTGCACTATAAAAGGCATCAAAAATAGGATCCCCTCGGAGACCTGTGCCGGGCCATTGAGTGTGGTTCACAGCCTGGGGCCAAATATTGAACTTGTGCGTGGCGGTGAAAGCTTTCTCGATCGTCTCAGCTGGGAGGGTTAAAGGTTGCTTAGCCCCGTATGAAGGCATCCACGCTGAACGACCGCGAAAGGTTTGATCGACGATGTATACTTCATAACCTTGACTGATGAACTGAGAAGCCCAGCCGCGCCCGCCGTCTGGCTTGTTCAAGAAATTCTCGGATCAACGTTAGCACCATGACATTTTCAAGGGGGCTGTAATCTAAATATACTCACACTGCCTGTCTGAGCTTGACCATGAATGAGGACAATTGGTGTGTCTTGGGTTGCACCACCAACCGGCAATAGTTTCTCAACATACATCTGGTCACGAAAAATGTGACCCCCATTTCCATCTTCAACATATTCGCCGCCGACATAAAAATAGGAACGAATGGAAGGCACCTCGGCTTCGGATCTGACATGTTGCGAAGAGGCTGCCACTAGAGAAGAGCTGATGGTCAAGGCAGCCACAACCGCGGCCGCAGTAGCGAAATGCATCAGGGACGACTTGATTTGATAATCTTTATCCGGATACGCGGTTTTCCGTAGCGTGAGGGTGGAAAGATGACCTTTCACGTGGATGGAATAAAGTCAAGAGGGGTTACGCTGTCGATCACAGGATATCACATGACATTGAAGTTTCGGCCCCAGAGTTGTTGAGGTGTTTGTCTCACTTTGGCTGTCGTACAACCCGCTTTCTCCGCTGTGCGATGCTGCTGATTTTCAAACCGGCTTCTTACATGAACAATTGAGCTTCTTCTTTTGGCAGGAAACACAAGAGTTTGTGCAATATCGTGCACTATGACATGAGAACTTCTCCAAAAGAAGCAACTCCCTGAGGAACTTGGGTGCCGCTGATGTCAACATTGACTTTTGCACTACAGTACTTTGGTCCTCGTTCATTCAGCCCTGGACAATCTCGACTCGAACTACATTGGAATAGTTACATGGCTGCACCGTTAAGCAACCAAGAAATTACATCTTCAGGCGTTATTCTTAGTGTAGACGAACTTCTGTCTTTTGAGGCGCAAGAGATTACTTCAAATACCAGGCCAGATAACCCTGTGGCGTTGAGACGCTCGGAGTAAAAAAAGAAGCAAGACCAAGACATACACGGAGCTGATCTACAGGACGGAGCCCTAGGATTCGACCTACGGCGTCGATCCCTCATATCAACTACGTGGCGCTTTTGTCACCGAACGTAACACTCCCCCAACAAACGCCGCACGACGACATGTCACCCTGACACCGGGGCCGTAATCATGCAGATACAATGTGACTGCGTCTTGGCACTGGATTGGCCTCCTGTACGACGGGAACGGGGAGGAGTTACATATATTGCTCGCCCCGTATCCACCTCGAGTGCTCGCTCAGTGCTTACTCACGAGTCAGCATAGGAAGCTCCGCGCTGGCTCGGCCGCCGTGCTGACACTACTGGAGCCTCATCTATCGCCAAGGCGCAGCGGCGCCGGGGCCTCTAGTCCTTCCTTGTCGCCGGATGCTACGCTAGGCAGTGCGTTTATACCAGGGGGAGTGTTAAAAGGAAGCGTTTCTAACGTATTAAGGGATAAAACTAGTAGAAGGAATGGCGAATACACGTGTATCTCATCCAGGAGGATGTCTTGCAGCAAGGCTCAACCCTGCCGCTAGCGCTTCAAGTGCCGGCACCGACGGGATGACGCGGGCCAAGGCGTCAGCCCGCGGGAGTCAACGTTGCTACTATCAACCTCCCCAGGTCTCGATGGGACCCTCGTATCTCTCGCCTCTGCAATGGCGAAAAGAGACCCCAATTGACCCCATGCTCACTCATCCCGAACAGTAGCAGATATCATATACGACAAAGTTCTTTTAATACCTTCCATTTGCAGCCTGCATGCATGCGGGTTTATCCGTATCAGACGCGGACGGAGATATGTAAGCGCCAATCTCGACCGCCATCGCATCCGATTCGTCTCTCGCAGGGGTTGACAGATCCTCTAGATGCCGAGGTCCGTCGTAGCCCTATGGACTTTCGACATGTTCCCCCCATGTCAAGGATATCTGCGGGAGAATAACCGAATTCCCTGCTCGCCAAGCCGGGTTTCTCGATCTTTTCCGGCGATCCAGCTTCTAATCCAGGTCAAGTGTCTCTGCGCCAGGTAAACAAGCTTTTCTGCTGTGCTCAGCCCTGGACCAAAACTCAAAGCAGGAGGTTGTCTAGCGTGAATAACATCCCTTGCATATACCCCCCCCCCCCCCCCCCCCCAGGCAGATTTCAAGTCTGAAGAATCAATCAGTAAGCCTGAGACAGCTGTAAGCAAGATGGCCTCCGTGGAGCTGTCGAAACGGCCTCTCCACTGTGGCTCATTCCAGGAATGGTTGAGGGCATAAGCCCATGTTCCTCTTTCGGTCTGCAACGGGACCGGGGGGGTACTTGCATCCGTTAGGCGAGCCGCTGCTACATGGAGCAGTAGAACGTCAGCCTCCGGCTTACCGGTCCTCCACGGCGGGAAGAGAACGAGGCTTGGGGTGTTCGAGGGGGATCTTTATTTGCGGATGATTTGCAGTCCCGAGACCTTGCCCCCGGTGTTCTTGGCCATTGAACTTGCGGATTACTCCGGCGTATACTAAACTATCGGGTTCCCTAGCCTTTGTTGGGTCAGAGAATCATCGAAAACTACCCACACCATGACCATGCTATCTGATCCGTTTCGAGTTATCGACGACCATGCGTCCACCATCACACCACCTGTGCCGCGTCCACAGAAACCTGTTCGACTGAGACTCGCTTGCGATGCCTGCACTGCGGCCAAGGTTAGGTGTAGCAAGACTCACCCTTGTGAGCGGTGCATAGACAATGGGCAGGAGTGCTTTTACAGCGCTTCTCGACGACATGGCAAGAGATCTCGACATAGAAAGACCGAGTCTGATGCTCAACGCTCCTCGTCAAGCGAGATACCAACGCCTGGAGCTATTCCAGTGCCAAACGGGATGAAGGGCATGTCTTATGGCTCCGAGTTCTCTTGGGAAGAGAGGGAGACAAGCCCACAGTTGTCAAGCTACCAAGCATCCACTCTGGGCAACGGTATCGGAAAACTCGACAACTGGGCCTTCCACGACATTGACATGATGTTCGACTTTGACGACACGTCCTATATATCCCTAGCCGAACCATGGAAAACAACACCCGGATCCCTCGCGAGCCAACAAACCCTCAGCGAAACAATCACCCCTCCCGAACAGCACACAACACCTGCAGAGCAACCAATCAATACTACCTCGACGCCGCCGATCGAGCCCCACGATCCCAAACAAGCACACGACTGCGAGGCTCTAGCTCTTGGCGTTCTCCGCTCGCTGCATCACCACAACGCAGATCGCATCTGCAAGGCACCTGCAGCAGCCAGCGGCATGAACCTCGCCAAGCCGATGCCAAGCATCGACACGGTCCTGTTTGCCAACAAGGCTGCCCTGACCAATCTCATCCCCCTGCTCAAGTGTCCATGTGCGAGGAACCCGCATATTGCTCTTTTGCATAGCACCATTCTTTCCAAGACCATCTTTTGGTACCGTGTTGCTGTTACTGCGCGGTATCATGCCGAGGGAGCGGAATTGCGGCCGATGAAGATACAGTTGGGGATGCTGGATCTTGACGATGATGATCAGGCTACTTTGCAGCGAGCTGTGCTTCTTAGGGAGCTACGCAAGGCGGAAAAGGTCATGGAGACGTTTGATGAGTGTTCTGCCAGTGAGGATGAGGTGCCAGAGTGGCATGCTACGGCTATTCAGAACATGAAGGAGGAGCTTCAGGCGATTATTCAGAAGATCAAGAAGGGTCAGGGAGAATGGGCGTAATATGGATATAGCATCTTGCACAGTTGGATGGCGACCTAGAATGGCATTGTTTGAAGCATTTTTGTTAGAGCAACATATAGAGGAATGCATATCACGTATAAAATTGGCACATAGATGTCTCAGCACCCTCAATTGATGCCAATTTCTACAAACCTTCCCTATATCTTCTTTGCCAACTTGACACCTCCAAGTAAAATCCGCGTAACGGCGTACATACAAGCACCCGCCATCAAAATGACCCCAGTCCAAATCTTAATGTTAGTATACCCTCCATCATCGCTCGCAATAAAAGCGCCACCAATAGGGTTGCTGACAAGTGCCGGAATAGCGAGAACTCCAAACTGCATGCCATTCCGCAGTCCAATCTCACGAATGGGCGAAATTTGTGCCATGAGCGTTGGACAGAGAGTAACAAACGCTCCAGAGCCAAACCCGTAAAGAGCGGCGAAAACAATTATGGCAGCGTTGCTTGATGCAGGAAGCCACAGCGCCAGAACTAAAATTGCGGAGAAGAATGCCATTATTGTTTGCGTGTTGTATGCGCCAAACTTGTCAGCAGCGATTCCAGGCAGAATTCGCCCAAAAAGACTGGCTCTTGTCAGCATTGTCTTACTCCTCCATTGTGTCTTAAAAGTCTTACCTCGCTGCGTTGAGAATTGGAATGAGGTACTGCGCCAGGTTCTCGGACATGCCGAGTTGTGCAGCCTGCGCCGCAATGTAATTGATTGGTACGAAAAGGCCAAGAAAGTAGATGAATGCAGATGCGACTGTGAATAAGTACGCACGCTCCGTAAAGGGCTTAAAGAAGCCTTTGAGAGGTAGAGGAGCAGACGATGGTGGCAGACGTGAAACGATGGTTAGGTTGGCGATGATGAGCAAGCCCAAGATCAGAAAAGCACAAGCCCGCCTGTACAAGTCAGTTCAGCTCTTTCAGGCAGTATGTATGGGTTGCTCACATGGCCCATGGAAAACCAATCTGTTTGATCAAGCGGTTAAACATGATGGGTAGGAAGACACCTCCGAGACTGGAGCCACCACTGACAAGGCCCATTGCAAGGCCTCTTCGCTTTTGAAACCAAGTGGTTACACAGGCAACAGCTGTCACTAGTTAGTCAAAGTGGGATAAATACGATGGCCAAAGGATAGGTACCTGGTGTAAAGAGGCAGCAGATTCCAATAGGACTACAGATGCCCTGCGACAGAATAATCTGATAGTACTTTGTGGAAAGCGAAGCCATCATCAGTCCAAAGACATGCATGAAGGTGCCGAAAGCCATTAGCCACCGTGGGCCATACTTGTCGTAGATTCGGCCAACAACAAAGCCCTGTAATCTCGGGTTAGCTGGTGCTCGATGATCTCAATAGACACAACTCACGCCACCAAAGAGAATAGAGAGTTCCAAAGAGGCAATCCATGAGATTGCACTAGGGGAGTAGCCTTTCAGATACTCCTCCTGGTAGTAAGCCTGGAAAACTCCGATGCCTGGTCGCACACAAAATGTCAGCTCTTAAAACCTGTGATTCCGCCAAGTCACACTCACAGTTGATCCATCCAAAACTGCAGATATTGGCAGCCCAAGCCCCAGCTACGACTGACCACGCCCGCAAGCCGCCATCTGGAAAATCGTTCAGAGATACTCCGCGGCGCTGGTCTTCAAGTTTCTGAGACTCCGTCGATGGAAGAGTATCATTCGACGACCCTGACAGGTTGTTCACAGAAATTTGCGATGGATGCATTATTGCTTTGCAAAAAAAGTTGTAAAACTTTGGTAAAGAGCTTCCTGCTTCTTTAAAAGAGACAAAAGGTGATGCCAAGCTATCTAAATGATGGATATGCTTATCCTCGGACACTCATATTCTTTCGGTGACCTCTCGGGGATACACAAATTTGCTCTGCCTCGCTTTTAGGTGTTGTGAGCGAGGCCGAGCGATGATCATTTTCTCAATCTCACACAGCTGACTACCCGGGACCCAGAAGTGAGGGCGACGGTGAGTCGTAAAAATGTGTTACTATGCATGATGCAGTTACAGATCTACTATCTTGGCTATGTATCTATGCATAGGTAGGCTCGGAAATTTTAGATCGCCAAGCTTGCCAAGACATGATTGATCATTGACTACCGGTTAGGTGTGTAAAACTGCCTAGGCGTCATCTTTGCAGTAGACCTCCCATAGCAGCATGTGATTGTTAATTGTGAAACGTCTTATCGCTGCGGTGAGATATCGGATTTCCTATTTCGCGACAATACGAATTGCTAAACAGTGCGTCGCGCAAAGGACCCTACAAAGGATCCAATCCCCAAGTGCAGAACCAACAACCTGCGGGTAAGATGCCACGTCCAACCCCTCACCTGCCTCAAACAGACAACCAACATACACTAACACCCTTTTCAGGCTCTGAAACTCGCGTCTTAAGAACAAAGGCGAAAGAGCCGAACAGAATTCGGCCTCGGCTTTGAGCCAGATTATCGCGATTGGTTTGTGTGGCGGGCACTCATGCGGGGAATCAGCCGGGCATCGTCGGGTGTTGCAGCAGCGAACCGTAGAGCCGAAAATGGAACCCTGAGCCCCTTGCAGCGGGCGTGGCCCCCACTGTAAATGGGCTGAGTTGGTGAGATTCAGTTGGGGAGTCGTCGCACACCGTAATCAAGAGGTTGGAATTGATACACAAGCAGACAAGGTAGTAGACATGTTGCTGTAACTAACAGATGCATTATTGGAATCTTGATCCTTGTTGTAGATGACTGCATCTTGAATACTTAAGTTGACCTGCTCCCAGCTGAAGGTGAATGTCTCTCAATTCACCATCAACAACCCATCGATTACTCCCCAATCCCCCACCACAAAACCACCACAAAATCACAAAATGGCTGCTGCAGTTGGCAAATACGTCTCCAAGCTCGCCGGCAAGCGCGTCCTCGTCATTGGCGGCTCCTCAGGCGTCGGCTTCGGCGTCGCGGAGGCAGCCCTCCAGAACGGCGCCTCTTCCGTCTTCATCTCCTCTTCCTCTCAATCCAAGATCAGCAGCGCCATTGAGCGCCTCAAGAGCAACAACACATCCACCAAGACTGAGGTCCAGGGCTTCCCCTGCAACTTGGCTTCTTTTGACACCCTCAACTCAGAGGTTGAGAAGCTTTTTTCTGAGGTCGCCAAGAGTGGAAAGCTTGATCATGTTGTTTTCACAGCTGGTGACCAGATTGCTGTTGGCAAGCTTGAGGACTTTACTCTCGACGCCCTGAAGCAGGCTGGAGCTGTCCGCTTCTTTGCGCCCCTGGTGATCGCCCAGCAGCTCCGCAAGAACCTCAACGAGAGCACCACCTCTTCATACACCATCGCGACAGGTGGTGCTCAGGAGCACGTGGGCAAGGACTGGACGGTGATGCAGTCGTACCTTGGCGGGATCCGCGGCATGACCCGTGGCTTGGCGGTCGATCTGGCGCCCATCCGCGTCAACGCCGTCGCCATGGGTCCCACCGACACCGAGATCTGGGGCAAGGTCAAGGAGATGGGATACTGGGACCACGTGACGGGCAAGATGAAGGCTAGAATGACTACTGGTGCTATCGGCGCCGTTGAGGATGTGGCCGAGGCGTATGTTTATTTGATGAAGGATAAGAATGCTTCTGGTAGCATAGTTGAGACTACTGGTGGTACTCTGATGTCCATGTCTTAGATTTGGGTGGTGATACAGGGTAGATAGATAATCACGGCGTTCTGAACACACCAGTTTTGGCACACCTTTCTTTCTCTCTCCTCCAGTGACATTATCATGTAAAGTTGTAATGAAGTATTAGCAATAGAATAAATCAGATCAAATGAAATCCTCAGTCAGATCAAGTTGTTATTCCTACCCTCGTGAAGCTGTGATAACACCCACCGGATCTGCGTAATCTTCTCACAGCGGGTCTCTGCACATAAGCAGCCACCCATGCCCGCTCACCATGACAGAACCGTTTCATGAGAATGCTGTTGGTTCACGCATCTCGCGTCTCGGCATCATAACTCAATGCCCGAGATATTCCTCGACATTCTGCATCCTTTGTTCGGCACTTCGCCTTTTTTCGCTTCTCGGATTTTAGCCACCCGAATCGTTTAAGCTCCGGGCGTGAGATGTGATGCATTCCAACCCCCGATGGAACATGCAGATCTACTGCACAGCCTTTGCTTACCTTTTCTTTGTAAAGCTCTGATTAGGTCAAAATGTTGTCTCGTTTCCCCATGTCGGCGTCGAGGCGGCTTTCAGCTTTGTCGGGACAAGTTAGAGCAGCGAGCACCATGAAGGAAGCAATCGTGTCGAGAGGACCCAAGGTTGAGATTATTGACACCACAATCCCTAAAGCTGGGCCTGGGCAGGTCGTTACCAAGATCATGTTCTCTGGCAGCAATCCAAAAGATTGGTAAGAGATTTACTTCCTCAATTGATGCGAAATACTGAGGCCTTTTAGGAAGCGACCCGAGTATTGGGGCGCCAGAGGCACAGGCAACCAGGGCGATGACATTTCAGGCGTCGTCCACGAAGTTGGTGAGGGCGTCTCCGAATTCAGGCCAGGCGATCGCGTCGCAGCCATGCACGAGATGAAGCAGCCGGGAGGGAGTTACGCCGAGTATGGTGTCAGCTGGGCATACACGACATTTCATCTGCCCGACAAGACTTCCTTTGAAGGTGAGTTTTTTGACACATGTGAAACATCGTGACATTCATCACAAGCTGACGGGGCCAATTTAGAGGGCGCTGCACTGCCTCTGACTGCCTTGACCGCTGCGTGCGGTCTCTATGCGCGTCTCGGCCTCCCCGAGCCGTGGCTTCCTGTGTCTGATTCTCAAAAGATTCCACTGGTCATCTGGGGCGCCTCATCAGCCGTTGGATCATACGCCATTCAGCTCGCCAAACGTTCCAACATTCACCCCCTCATCTGCGTCGCCGGTCGGGCGCAAGGGCACGTGGAGAAGCTGATTGACAGAAGCAAGGGCGATACGGTTATTGACTACCGCAAAGGTCATGAAGCTGTGGCTGAAGAGATGAAGGCCAGTTTGAACGGGGCCAAGCTCGAATACGCATTTGATGCTATTTCCGAGGATGGCTCGTACCAGACCATTTGCGAGGTCCTCGATCACCACACGGGAAAGATAACCAATATTGTGCCCGCGCAGTCGTACTCGGATATTCCCAAGACTATTAAGAAGTCAGTCACGACTGTTGCTAGTATTCACGAAGACTTGAAGGATTTTGGATACGTGTACACGAGGTATTTTAGCAAGGGTTTGGAGGAGGGTTGGTTGAAGGCGCAGCCGCAGGAGATCATCCCAGGTGGATTGGCAGGTGTTGAGAAGGGCTTAACGAACCTCAAGAATGGTACTGCGAGTGCGGTCAAGTATATCTTTAGGATCGCCGACACTCCAGGTGTACAGTCATGATATTTTTATTGAGTCTTTGCGCTATGATGGCCATGGGATACGCGCAGGTTGGTCGGGGACTTGGGACGAACTTGCAATTGAAGCTGGGTGTGGTTGAATGGAACAAAATGCAATTCTCAACATTGATAACGAAGGAAACAAAATATACGCCAATTCATGATCTAGTAATAGACGTGATTCAATGCATGTCGGAGGATTGAGATGTGAAGCTAGAATTCTATCACCACCGCCTTGAGGTGTCCACACAGTCATGTGCCATGCCTTTTCGCGCCAACAGAGCTTTCTCGAGTATGAATTCATTTCTTGAGCTCGTTCAAGATTTTCTGCGCGCCGGCAAACTCGAACTCTGCTATCGTTTCTTGCCACAACGTCTCGCGCGCTGCCTCCCCCTCGGGTATGTAAACAAACGCGGCAAAGCTAGTCAACGTGTTAGCCTTCAAGTTATACGTCGAACACCAGATATGTGAACAACGAGAAACTTATGTGGAAGAAGAATGGAATGATGAATCGGGGTACTTACGGCGCAATCCCCCAGTTTGATACAAAGCATCCATGGGACTCCTTGCCCTTGACTGCAACCGCATCGACATATGTCGACGCACCAACACGCAGTGACCGTCCAAAAATTGCTTTAAAGATGTAAAAGAAGGCAAAAACAATCCAAGGTGCAAAATTCTGCAAGGCCGTATCTTTAACCAGTCCAGGGTCGGCAAGATTGACGACGACGTCTTCACTGTTGACGTGGTTGACTAGGTTGACGATAAACAGGTGACCCAAGAGCTTGCTCACGGCATATCGCTCAACGGGCTTCCATGGCCTAGTTCTGTCATCAAGAGAAGCCAGGATTGGACCGCCTTTTGGCTCCGAGAGAGTGGCTCCTCTAGCTGTGCCAGAGCTGACTATAGTCAAACGACCTGGCTCGCCCACCGGAGACTTGGACTTGAGGATGGGCAAGAGTAGGATGGCGAGGAGAGCAGTCGAGAGATAGTTGACCTGGGTCAACTTTTCATGGCCAGTACTGGGTACTGTGACGAAGTCGGCTCCTTGCACTCCGGCATTCAAGATGGCGATATCCAGGCGATCAAGTTCGGCCTCGGCACGCCGAGCAAATGCCTGGATAGAGTCATAAGACTTCATCTCAAGAGACCAGACCTGGATATTGACATCAGGAAACTCGGCCTTGAAGTTGGCTGCGACCTTCTCTCCCCTTTCTTTAGATCGCACGGCTAAGATGAGACCTGATAGATCGTAGGATAGAAGTTGACGAGATGCTTCAAGCCCGAGACCGCTGGTGGAGCCCGTCACGATGGCAACCTTGCCTTTGAGGTTGGTGTCTTTGGGAGGCCATTGGACTGGGCTGCGGAATTGGGACTTGAGAAACAGGGAGCCGGGGCTGTCCCTTGGCGGACCGAGATCAAGAGACACAGACATGAGGATTGTTGTAAGTGTGGGTGATCAACTAGGGGGAAGGCGGTTGGAACGTGGGACGCGAAAGATAGGAGGAGTTAAGAGTCTGACTACCCAAGAAGTTATAGAATTCAGAGTCTACGAGTTGCTTCGAGGGAAACTGGTGCTCTATATACTATTCCTCCTGATCCTTCTCAACTCTCCACGAGTCTTCATCCCAGCATCACAGTTCCAGGGATGTCCTAATTTGGTAACGCTCGAGATCGTTCAGCATCCGCTAAACCAAGATTGGACTTCACTCTTGTCTTGGCATTCTGGCTCGAGCGTCTTCCAAGGGTGGCCCCATATTATCTCTCACTACCCATACTTACTTCCGTCTCTCTCTCCTGACACACAAGTCTACTCTATCTTGTCCCATTCAAGGCATCACTCTTCTTCAGACGGCCCTACTCATACTTGGCTGATATCATTCTGTTGTGTTCCTACCCTTGTTCCTTGCTCTCATCCTTGCAGTTTCCCCGTTTTGTCGTCCCGATGATGCCGACATCCCCATCCAGTGACGGGCTCCCCTTCATCGTCACCACACCAAGTATGCCATCTGTGGAGGCAAACCGCAAAACTATACGAAGTCATGCAATGCGTGGAATAAACCGAAAGAAGCGTCCCATTAGACCTCCATCTTGGATAAATGGAGGGAAAGTAGAGACTTCTTGCGATCTGGGCATGCGTCAAGCTTCCTCCATCGCGCCCAAGGTTGGTAGTGAGTTCTCGTTTACGGCGGTTCCTGAAGATCTCGGGCCGGAAATGCTGGAAATAATCTGGAAACGTAAGAGAGATTCCGATATTAGGTGTGATGGATGTCCCGGGCTAACATATAGATAGTCAGGCACATAACACCTTCCTTGGAGTTTGGCCCAGCATCTAGCCAAGAGGAGGTCAATTGGCTTGAGCCAGTTCTAAGCGACATCGCTTGTTTCCACTTTACCCTGTTCATATCGAAAATGTACCTCGATTACCTTGAGGGTCACACCGACAACACCCAGAATGCTCTATCTCACCACACTCAGGCTTTAAATGCACTTCAGAGACGCCTTTCAACAGGGAACTTGGACATTTCGACTTCCGACTCAACCATATTGACTGTTGTTGGCCTAACTACAGCGGCGTTGGCATTCGGCGATGCTGACATCGCTCGAAAGCACATGGGAGGCCTGCACAAAATGGTCACCCTGAGAGGAGGCTTATCGGCCTTTTCGCACGAAAAAAAGCTGCAAACAAAACTGTGCCGGTAGGCCGAAAGCTTGCCTAAGTCTGAAGATCCTTTCTAACGGCAAGTAGAGTTGATCTTGGGGTGGCTCTCAGTATAGGAAGCGAGCCTCTCTTTTTCTCAGAGGAGCTTTCATGGAACTCCTACCTTTCCCCGCAGGTGCCAAAGAATAATGAAACTGCCGATGAGTCATCCTCAAATCTTTTCAAATTTCTTGGAAGCTTAGATGCACGTCTATGCCTTGTTTGGAACGATCTCAAGGTGTATTCACAATCAGCCAATATGGCAGCACGTTGCAGCCTCGACATGGACACTGCACTTTGTCAAGAAATCATGGTATCTGCCCACTATCGCCTTATCCATCTCAGATTTGAGCCAGGTACTATAGACGAGACAATACGCCTTGCACTACTGGCTTTTGCCAGCTCTGTGTTCCTCCAAGGCGGCGGTGTCTGGATCCGTCACGAGCATCTCTATCGTCAATTGATAGAGTCTTTCTCTCTGACCAAGGTTAGAAGAGGGGATTTGCCTCCCCAGGTGATGCTGTGGCTGTATGGGTTTTGCGTGGCTTTTGATGGCCAAGAGCCCGGCCACAGCTGGCTTAGGTCTGGGCTGGCCGAGCTTTTACAGACTCAAGAGTTGAACACTTGGAGTGAGGCAAGAGTGTGGTTAAAGTCTGTTATCTGGGCAGACACGCTACACGATGCTATAGCAAGGACATTTGTGGAGGAAATGTTGGATGCACAATGACACTGGATGCGAGTTATTCCTGAGCTGACAGTTGAGGCTCTGTCACATGGGTGGATTACTTGAGTCAGGACACTGCGTCAATGAAGTCTAGAACCGGCTGTTGGAGAGAATTCACATGTAATCCGGGGCGAGGTTGATTTAAGCTTGGCAAACTCCTCGGATTGGTGACGGTAATGCTGGCTGGTGTTGCCATGGCTGAACCTAGACTTCCCAGTGTGGACGCAGCGGTTTTCTCTTCTGGTAAGGTCTTTACGTAAAAGCAAGCCAGTGGCTGTACAAGTTTAAATTGGCTGGCTAAAAACACCTATTTGGGAATCCTCTGTCTCTCAGTTTGTACGCAGCCTCGTTTCTCTTCATCACTGTCTAGAGCCTGCATTCCCCTCTGTAATTGCCTGGCCCTCATATGTCAGATGCTTCAAGTAGTCTCGTCAACCTTAAGCTACATGCCAGTGCTGTTCCTAGTGAGCACTCATTTCGCTCCCGGAGGAGACCCAGCTTGGTGATCTCCCGACCATCCCGCAAGCTCGTGAGCGTTCATGCTCTGATGTCCTGGGTGAACTGTCCCATAAGGCTCTGGATGCTGATAGGATACCTGAGGGGGCATTCCACTGTTCGGAGGTTCGATTGGCGAGACCAAAGTGGGGGAATATGGCTGGGTTAGAGTTGTAGATGCCATGGCCTTGGCATCTGGCATGTTCGACTGGGCGGCGTATTCCGGGAGAGAGTCATTTGGTTCAGCTTTCTCGGGTTTTCGTCGCCAGAATAACGTGATTCCAATAAGCACCAGGCTGACGAAGGCCACGGCTCCGATTACGCCTCCAATAATTGCACCGACGTTGACTCCGGAGGGCGGAGACTTGGTCTGAGTTGCCTGGCTCACTTCCCCCGTAATTGTGGTCGTTCGTCTCGCTGGCGCTGTAACCGATGGACCGATAGTCGCGGCATTCGTCCACGACGTGGCAGGGCTTCCATCAACTAGGACGACGGTAGTAAAGTCTCGAGGTTTCATATCACGCGTGCTATAAAGAACGAGAAGGCTCGGGGTTGAGTGACAAAGCCAGTCGCTGATGCTGCCGCTGAACTCGACCGGGAGGCAGTAGGGCAAGCTAGACTCTACGCTATGGACTCCGACGTTAGCAGCAGTCTCGAAAAAAGTATCATGGAAGTTTCAACTCACCAGCGCAATGTATTAATATCTTCCGCACAGTCCAAGCCGCATCTATCCGGGTCCAACGCATCTGTGCTGTCGAGGCAGGTGGTTTTGATGTATCTCAAGTCACAAAAGACATTATTGATTTGGCCCGACTCCCATGAGCAACGCTTCGACACAGGGCACGTTACAACGTCATGCCTTGCGTCGAAGCCGCAGGTCGGATCGGGAGCTACCGTAATGGTGATGGTGCCCGCCGTCAGGTGGGTATTCTCCCGCCTGTGAAGTTCATGGTCGACCTTCAGATATCCAGAGCCGGTATCTCCAAGAGTGTCAGGGAGGGTGCGTGTGCGAGGGGAGATGGAAATCGATTTTTCAATTAGGCCCCCCAATACAGCGATCACCTTTGCGAATCGGCATAGGAGCATTGCGTTGGTTGATGGAGATTGCCGATGGCAGATCTGAAGGTGTGTAAAAGCGATGAACACACGAGTTGTCAGCGCAACACAAGGCCGGCGTTGCCTTTACTAAATAACGAAATGCAACGCAACAGCTTGTCAGTTTTTGCATGATGCGACTCGTCATGAAGAGGCTTGCATGAGCTGAAAGAAGGTCCTCGTCCTCTGTCTATTAGCGAGATAGATGGTTTTAGCCACCGGCAACGTGTTATAGTGTGCATTGACGACTCAAGACCGTCTGGATGCCGTCTAATTGTTCGTTTTGGGTGAAAATCGTTCAACAAGCTTTGGTTGTTGGTTGCGGTGCAGATGTGGCTAGTGGTTCAACTCTTGGCTATACTGTTCGTTGGTTCTTCAGCGTTAGCCACAAACGCCAACTGGGGAAGCCTCGATTCCAGACTCAGCCTGCATGGCCTAAAGGGTTTAAGCTACTCACGTGGAATCGCTCATGTACGCCTGACCGTACCCACTGTTCAAAGACTTCCATATCTTGCCTGAGCCTGACGAAGCCACGCGCCCGGTTATCGAGAGATCTCCCAGCAAAGCCTAAACCATCTAAGATTGTACCGAAGGAAAGATAGAGAGCGTTTTTCCGATGTAACACAATGCATGCTACTAAGACTTCCGTTTTGCGGGTGGGAAGGACGGTTGAGGGATGTCAAATGGCACATCATAACGAGCGATTGTTCAGGACACTATCCTTATACCAACTACAAAACTCCCTAGAGATCCGACAATCGCCTCGATTAATAAGTATAGCGGAAGTTCTTATTCTCCTTATCAGTGAGGTCATCTCGAATGGCATCGAGACCAGCCGTGACCCGAGTGCCCTCGGAGTCTACGGCGCCGCTCTTTCGGCCACGGCGCTTGTTCTCGATAGCGTAGATGATGAAATAAAGAGTGCCGGTGCTCATCATTACTGCGAAACCGCACAGCATTGCGCCGATGCCGATGCTATAGTGAGGGCGTTGGCTGTCGAGGAAAAATTGGGGTCCGACGATGTTACCGATCGCTGGGATATCGTTAGTGATGAGTTCTTGGACATAGGAGATGATAAACATACCGTAAAAGCAAGCTGCTGAGATCGAGACAAAACTCTTCTTTGTCATTCTGGTGACGTTTGAGGACGGGAGACTGAGAGCCATGACCTACGACACATTGTAAAAGCCCATCAGATAGACTCCAGCAAGAGAAGCGTTTCTGTTGGCCACAGGATCCAAAGTCTTGACCATAATAGCGCCAGCCATGGCGATGCCACTAGAGATGACCCAGAAGATGCAACGCATGTTGGGTATGAAAAGTGTGACGGCAGTCATAGATGCTTGAGCAGCCATAGCAACAGCGGCCTGGGGAGTTGCCATCAGGACAGTCCTGGCCTGCGAGAATCCATAACCGGAGATGATGAGGGGGTTGAAGTTTGTGGTTCCGGCGTTGGTGATGGACTGGGCGATGAAGAAGATGGCTAGGCACCAGTACTTGGTGTCCTTGAGAGCTTCACCGATTTGTCCCCAACGGAGTTTCTTGGTACTGGGTTAGCGATGAGAATCTAGGCTATATAGTGCTAACTTACGGCGCTCACTTCTGTTGCGGTTTGGTTCGAAGCGGGTCGGAGCGTAGCTACTGACTTGAGTTCATCGTTGAGAAACCAAGCCTTGGCGGGCGAGCTGGGCAGCAAGAAGAATACCGCGATTCCCACAACCAGAGTAAATGCTCCGTAGATGATAAAGATGTACTACTATTGTCAGTTTAAAACCGAAGACACGGGGTAATAGAATACATACCTTCCAAGTTGACAGGCTTCCATTAATCCGGCCAATGGCATAGCTCAGGATGCATCCAAAGACACCCGCAAAAGTGTTTGCCTAGAACGCAGTTCGTAGCGGCTACTCTTCACGACGGTACCAAGTCGAATTGACCAAGATGAGACACGGAAGCATGCTAGCCTCGAAAGCTCCGAGGAGAAACCGGATCACTGCCAGTCCAGCAAAGTTGTGGCAGACGGACATCAGACCAAGACTGATTCCCCACGCCATGAGGCAGGCTCCCATGTACTTGCGAGCTGGGAACTTGCAGATGATCCAAAGGTTGGGAAATTCCATAAAGAGGTAACCGAAGTAGAAGATGCTACCAAGCCAGCTGTAATCTTGCTTCTTCAGGTTCGTGTCCTCTTTAAGACCGTAGATGGCTGCATAGGCCAAAGCATTCTGGTCAAATTTGTTAGCTTGGGTGGCTCTCAGGAAAAGGGCTGGTGCTCACCTTGTCGAGGAATGCGAGTGTCATGGAAATAGTGATCAAAGGCATGACAACCAAGTCCGTCTTGATCCGCACTTGTCTGCATTTGGCAGGACTCGGAACATCGACCTGACCTTCACCCGTGTCTGAGCTGACAGCCATGTCAATGTTCTTCTTCAGTTCGGCGTCCATGTTGATGCAAGTGGTTCATTTTGAAAGGTTGATGCAGAGGAGATGCCTGGACCATGAACCGTGGGGTATACCACCTTATAACCCCATGAGCCCCGAAAATAATATCATTTCGAAAGATTAAGATTAACGATGGTGGTTGACAGCGTCTGGGGAAGACCCCAGTGAAGACCGGGCCGACATGGAGCTAAGGAGTCAAGGGGTGGCGAAAGGTGGCCCGATACAGCAATATGATTGGACAACTAGCGGATTTGTCGGTCGAATCTGAGATTCGGATCTGTATCATCGGCACGCAATCTATGAATGGTGATAAGCGTCGTCTGGTTGCCGTGTGCCAGATAAGGCGTCGAACCAAGGCGTGATTTCTGAATGAACTAACTCAATACATTATATCTTTGGCGGAATAGAGCTTAAATAATGTGATAGGCTTCTCATTGTCGTTCCATCCAACACCATTGCCAGTTCTGCTGGAGTGATCGTCGTGTTGAATGTCGGGCCGTACCACAAATCAGGGTCGACTTGGCGCAAACATCGGTCCGTTATGGATCGGATGCTATCCCCTCAAACTTGAGTCCATAAATTTCGCCTTTTCATCTACAATTGCGTGCTTGGCCTGTATGCTTGGCCTCTCTAAGCTACGATTGTCCAGGTCTAGTCTACAGACCACTCCGGATACAGCATTTCCGTTGCCCCAAGACTTCAACATGACGGTGGACACCAGCATCGAATGCCATTCCCATGGCGCCATGTCCTGCATCGAGACTCACACTGTCGGCATGCCCTGTCGAATCGTCACCAAGGGCTTCCCACGCCAAACGGGAACCATGCTACGCTGGCTGTTAGCAGGGCCCTCGTCGACATACATGACCCTGAGATCTTTCCTCGGAGGCACCTCGTCAAGAACGATCCTATCACACAAACGTCTACAATCTTTCTCCACACACTTGGCGGCCTTGTCAAGGCAACTGTCCCTACTACTGCCGACGGGCAACGGTCAGACCCGTCGCGTCCTGTCACCTTTGTCGCAGTTCCCTCTTTCGCCATCGCGACGGACCTCGACGTGGCCATCCCTCCAGAGTATCGGTGGCCAGAGCTTGGCACCCGAACCAGCGTCAACGTCTCTCTCGCATACTGCAGCGCCTTTAGCTGTCAGACTCAGTTGCATGAACTGGGTTTTCCACAACATACGTTCCAAGGAGGGCCTGTTCCATTTCAAGACCTGAAATATGCTGTGTCACAGCTCAAAAATGCTTTGGGAGAACCAAGGTACCAAAAGTACTTTAAGAACCCTTCTACTGGTGAATCTGGGTCCTGTTTCGGTGTCTTGATCGCAAATAAAGGATTGGGCCAACGCAGCAAGGGCTCCGAAGGTGTAGAGACGGGGCTATACATATTTGGCGATGGGGTCCTTGACCGCTCTCCTACTGGGAGTGTCTCGGCAGCAAGGAACGCCGTTGCATACGCCAAGGGGGAGCTTGGTCCTGGACAGTCATGGACTTATCATAGTCTCTTGTCCAACAGTCTCAAGAGAAAGGAAGGATTCACGGCTACGGTTGTACGTGGAGAGGGAAGAAGGAAGCTTGAGGAAGGGGGGTATGCGGCGGGTCCGGTTGTGGTGGAAGTGCAGGGCTCTGCGTATTATACTGGCTTTCATACTTTCGTGGTCGAAGACGAGGATCCGCTGGGCAGTGGCGGGTTCACGTACGCACAGCTGGCTAACTGAAGCTGTGCTAAGGTGCTATAGCTGATTTTTCTTGTAATGCGAGCGTTTAGGGTTGAGGTTATTCCGTTTGAGAAGCAGAGACACGCAAATCACGAGAAATAGCTTCAGCCAAGGCCACTATTAAGTCCTCAGTGTATTCAATGAAAAATAGAGACTTTTCTATCTGATTCATACAAAGTTCTGCAAGTCCAATCCCTCAGCTAAGGTCAATAACCCGGACGGAGACACCGTGAAAGAGTCCTGTAGGTCCAACAAATTCCACGCCGCCATGTCGTCAGCAGGAGAATAGTCTTGCATCATGGCCGAGTTATCATCCTGCTGCACGACTCTCGACATATCAAATAGTCTCGGCGCCTCTTCAGACTGCGGCGCTTGATTGTTTGCCTCGCCAGCCTTAACCTGCAGATACGAGAAGAATATCTTCTCCAAGCGCTGCAACTCCATCTTGCGGATCCGAGCACCATGACTGCCCCCTGCTATCATCTTGTTGAGTATGAGGTACGCCACGGGCAGACAGGGCCGATCTTGCAGCCAGGCTGGTACGACTGAAGCGATGACGTGGAGGATGAAAGCGGATGAGAAGGCCTCCTCTAGTTGGAATGGGATGAAGCAATCTGACATTGTTAGTACAGCTGACCTAGCTTAGATGAAAGATGACCCACCAAGCTGATCCGCATCACTCAAGTTCTTGAGTGTGGCGAGAATGGTTGATGCAGAGTCCACACATGTTTGCAGCAGAGAGGTAACTGGGCCTTCGGGTATGGGCTCGTCTGCAACACCCTGGGCAAGATGTTTCTGCAAGACGCACATGACAAGAGGGCGCGTTGCCAATACGATGCACTATTCCTGTTAGGCCTTAGAAGGGCGGGGTTGGCGGAAGACAGTGGCAGACCTACATGATGATAAGACAAAAGTAGACGCGTCGCAATTCTCGATGACGACTTGATGGTGGTACCGTGGACATTTGTCTGCAGGTATCTGTTGAGTTCGCTCGACACATTTGCCGTGCTATGCAGCATTGACTGTGTTTTCTTAACAAGGGTATCGCTGACTTGTGTATCTGTTCCATATACGCCTGCTTTCGTTAGTCCGCCGCCTTTGAGGATACAAGGGGATCACACCTGCTAGAATCTCGGCTGTGAGGCGTGAGAGGCGAATATTTAGAGTCATGGCGAGAGCCCAGGATGAGTCTACAGTCTCCGATGGAAGCTTTGCTGTGATATCCTCGTCGCGGATGGAGCTCGGTGCTCCTACCAGGGTCGAAAAATGGCGGTCGAGTATGTAGGTAGCCCAGAACACGGTGTTGCACCGTCGGGAATGTGTTGGCCCTACCTCAGCCGGAGAGGCGTGTCTGTGGAACCCTTCTAGAGTGCAGATGCGAAGAGCTTGCCCAATCTTATAATTATTGTGGTCAGTAAGGAGATGAAGATGAGAAAGATTAACCCACCGTCTGAAATGCCTCTAGCCTCAAGTCTAGTGACTGGAGGTACAGCGCCGCCAGACATAGCGTCTCAACTGCCAGTATCGAGTTCTTGTTGACACGGAAGAAGTTGGGGATCAACGACATGGCTCGCGATGCATACTGGGTTCCAGGTGTGGCTGAAGCCCCTTTCGAGTTCACAATGGCCTCCCCGAAAGCCAAAACGAGCAGAAACTGCGCGTACCAAAGCCTTGATCGTTGAGCTTCGGCGGCTGGATCGTTGTACAGGTCATTTATCCGGGCGAAGAAGACCTCATCATCAAGAATAGGAGACAGAGTGCCCAAGTGGTACTTCACAGTGTGAGCTAGGAAGGTCGCGTAGTCTTGTGCTGGTAGATCATCGATGGCGGGCGACTCGTCCGCGCCGAGAGTAGTCCAGTTGAGATCAAACTGCGCGAGCGTCCAGGGGTCTGGGGGTACATGATGTTCGGGGAGACGGCTGGCGATCAAGGAGAGGACGCGTCGACAGAACGACCAAGACGAGGTTGGTCCCAGGAACCCTAATCGGTCAGAATACGGGGCGAGAATGATTGGAAGAACTTACAAAACTTTCCGTCTGATCCAATTGCAAACGTTTCATCACCACCAATGAGAGGGTTCGTGTTAAACTCTGCATTAGATGAATCGGTGGCGGGGGTAGGAATCCCGCTCCTCTCGGGCTGTAACGATTGTAATCTCGCCGATGGAAAGGTGCCAGCTCGTGTACTGATGGGTCCATACGTTCGTAACCCAGTCTGACTGCTGCAAGTGTCATCTTGCCCCGGATTTGGTTCATCCGGTGTTGCTCCCTGATCGCGTGAGGCGAGCTCGTCGTCGGCCCGAGGTCTGGGGGATTGGTCGTCTCGTGCTCTGCTCTCCAGCGACCGCAGATAACTAGGATCCGGGGTAAGTAATTCCCCTTGAACATGCAGCATTGAATAAATTACCTCCGCGATATAGAAACACGACTTTCGGTAGACTGAAAGTCGCATGTCTTGCGCTTCCGTTGACATCGGGTGCACGGGAACGTGCCGGAGCAACGAACCTTCATCTCCCGACATCGGGAACATCTAAAATGTCATTTAATTAGTGTTTCTCTCATACATAGGGTAGAAATTTCTCACGCCTTTGAACATCTTTGACTCCTACGGTCGGCATATCAGTTGTCGTGTGGATTGGAAGTTCGGGCCGATGGTTTGGAGAACGGGGCCGTGGAGTTCTATACGGAGAGCCGCTTATCGTATTTTTGCGGGGAACTTAAATCCCTTATCTCAACCCCTGCGAGACAAACTTATCAAAAGTTTATCTCTTATCGGTCCACCACTGGTTAAGATTTAGACGAGAATAGGGTAACTCGACATTGACACCTAGGGCCTTGATGCTCAGCTACCTGAATATCCATTCGTCAGAAAAGGCAAAAGCAATCAAAAGACTAAGCTCATACTACTACTATGCAGTTACAAAATAATGCGAACCTCAACGAGATGAAATAGTCAGGTGACTTCAAAGGTAGCATCTGGCATCCTTGGTGGCTTGGCTTGATTCATGGCAGCCTAATTTTAAGCAACCTCTCCACGTCAACCTTGTTCTCCAAGGACATCATCTCATTGTCCAACAATCATGGTTCAGAACCGCGGCATCACGAATGCAACCCTGGATCGCCTTATTGGATGGTTCCTTGGGCTTCCTTCGGAACGATGCGGCTACACCATCGAGACCGTTTCGATTCCACTCAAAGATGGCGCCATCCTAGCAGCCGACCTTTATAAACCTGACGGCATGGAACCACTCGGAACTATTCTCGCCCAATGTCCGTACGGTAGAGGCATTTTCATGGCCGCTGGAAACGCTCGTATATTTGCACCACGCGGATACCAGATTCTTCTCGTCAGCTGCCGCGGAACCTTCGGATCGACAGGTGACTTCAACGGAGGTTTCTCGCAGCTTGAAGATGGACAAGAAATTGTCTCATGGATGCGCGAACAACCATGGTATACGGGGACTTTCGCTACGATTGGTGCCTCGTTCATGGGCTACGCACAATGGGCACTTCTTCGTGATCCACCGAAAGATATGGTCGCTGCCATCATCACCGCCGGCCCACACGATTTCGCCGAAAGCAACTGGGGAACAGGAGCATTCAGACTACAGCAACGTCTCTCCTGGGCTGATCTTATTATGCACCAGGAAACGGCCACCATCAGTGATCGGTTAAAGATGATCGGGACTACTAGGATTGATCCGATGATGAACGCAACGCCATTGCAGGAACATGTCGATGCATATTTTGGCGACAAAGCGTCGTGGCTCACACACTCACTCACGCACCCGGACATCACGGATCCAAGTTTGGCATCACAAAGGCATTCCGAAGCCCTTGAAAAGGCCAATATCCCAATATTGCTCATCTCGGGCTGGCACGACGTCTTCTTAGACCAGACCATGCATCAGTATCAACGATTACTCGAACGTGGGTGCAATGTCGCGCTCACCATCGGCCCTGGAGCTCATATGGATGTCCAAAACGGCGACAGCAATCGTGACACCTTGGTCTGGCTCGAAAAATACCTTGCAGGCAAGGAGGATGTCGAAAGGACGACACCGGTTAGAGCTTGTCTTGGAAGTCCTGGTCAGGGGTGGTTCGGTCTTCCGATCTGGCCACCACATCTATATACACAAACTACACCTTTAGAGTTTTACTTGCACCCTAATGGGATTCTTGAACGTTCTGAGCCTTCAGAGGAAGCATCTTCCTCCTTCATTTTCAATCCCGAAGATCCTACACCAACTGTTGGAGGTCCTCTTCTAACTGGTGGCGGAAGCGTCGACGACACAGCACTGGCGGCCCGAGACGACACCCTCGTGTTTACGACAGAAGTTTGGGAGAGGGGAATGATAATCGCGGGTCAACCAGTGGTTAAGCTGGAACATTCCATGGATCGACCATATGCCGACTTGTTTGTTCGTCTCAGCGAAGTAAACGCAAAGGGCAAGAGCTATAACGTGACGGAAGCATTCACACGGCTTCCAGTGGAGAGGGACAGTCGATCAGTGACTATTCCAATGCGGCATATTGCTCACCGGTTCGCCGAGGGCTCAAAGATTCGACTTGTTATTGCTGGAGGATCTCATCCCCAGTTTGCTCGTAACTATGGATCTGGAGAGCCACTTGCTACGGGGACAACCTTGATCCCAGTGAAGCACACGGTCTATCACGGTACTCAAGGGATCTCATCCATTGAGCTTCCAACCATGAGTGCTTTTGTCTGAAAGCACGAAGTAACAACGACGGGCATAGTTGGGCTTTCGGTTACAGATTGTAAATAGTAATGACGATTTCAGTGCATGGAACGTATAGGTAAGCACTTGGCGGGATAAGTCAACTCTTCAAGCTTAATATTTTGCTACATGGCCATACATGCCAGCTTTTCTACTAGTGGTTCAATTGATTCTTGGCGTGTTTGAGTGTTTTGGATACCGGGGGGGTTCTCGGCGTGGGTTAAAAATACAGTGAAGCTCGCGCGGAGCTGACACGCGCGAAGCTGTCTAACCAAACAACAACCAAAATAATCACAAGACCCAAAGGTTATAGCATAGTAGGACTAATTCAAAATAACTTCATCCCGTGATAATCGCGTGCCTCTGTAAAGTTCAGACAAGTCGTAACGTTTCACGGATCTATCGAGGTGACAGCGAGTCGGGATTAACTAGGAGATATATTGGTCTAGCTAGACAAGACTACCGTTGCTTAAGTGCTCTGGCTTTCAATAGTAGAGATCGGCAGTTCAATACAGAGAACAAAAAGATAAGAGTTGGGTTGTAGAAACCCGCTGAGGGACTCTTCAAGCCATCAAGGATCGCGCGCGCAACAATCCTTTGTAGGCTCCAAGAAGTCGCTTACTTCTTGACGGCGCAGTTCCACATGTGGTTGGAAAGACCGGGGGTAGTAGTGTGGGCAACCTTGCGCTCGTAGAGCTGGCACTTGGTAAGGAAAATGCCGTGGAGGGCGTAGGTGCACCAGCTCTTGGAGCTGCAGAGCTTGATGCAAGCGGCCATGGTGTCGACGTTGTTATAAGTCTCCTTGGGGGCAGAGGTGTCATGGTCTGTTCCTGGTTAGTCTTGATGATGTAGTGTTTTGGTAAGGTAATACTTACAGCGGGCGCACCAGATGCGGTACTCCCTGCCACCGACGGTGGTGTACTTGGTGTGCTGGACGGGGCCTAGGAGAGTATCAATACAAGGACTCATAAATGTCCTAAATATCATATTGGTAACTTACAGCTAGAAGCAAAGAGGTCCTTGGAATCCTCAGCCTCGGCGTTGGCCTTGGTGAGCTCAGCCTGGAGGTTGCTCTCACGGAGGAGGCAAGCAGCCTTCTCATCATCGCACTCGGAATTACCAAAGGGGTCCTGCTCCTCAGTAAAAGGATCGTAGACGTCCTCTTCAACCTTTTGCATGTAGATGGAGCCAGGACGAGGAACCTCCTTGCCACCCTCCTGACCAACGACGCATCGTCGGGTGGGAGGGTGGTAGGTGCAGACGGAGCGGCCGGCGTTCTTGCACAGCTCAGCACACTCCTGCTGGGTGGCGATGTTGTTGTGGACGTCTCCCTGGCGGACGATACCGCACTTGTACTCGACCATGTAGTCGGGGCCTATCATCTCACGATGGCCGTCGACACATTGGACGGAGTTCTGGGCCTGGACGGCGCCGAGGACAAAGGTGAGAAGATAAGCCGCCGAAGCCTTCATGGTGAGTTGAGTGTAATGTAAAGTGTTGTGTATTTGTAGAGAAGAGTGCGTTGTGATGATGAGAAAAAGGTGGGTTGAGAGGAGCCAGCTGGGGGTTTATATACCATTTTTATCTATCCTTTCCTCTACCTTCCTTCTAGTCTTGATGATGATATCACATGTCTTACATCTCCTTCTTGTTTTGACATTGACAGTCTTGTTCACCGCTTCGTCCGCATTCTGGCTATGACTGGCAATGCTGCGAACGCCCGTAGTGCCAGTTTCGGTTCATCCTGCAGCTTGTGAGTCCGCTCATACGGGCCACCAAAACTTACTCCGCTTTCATGCTCTGCTTTTGGATCAGGACCTAAGTCATTTCAGGGATATCCTGGACGCTGATCAGTCAGTTGACGTTTGCATTCCTTAAGTGCGACGTATATCCCAGTACCTATCCTATTTGTTGTCAGTTTAGTAGTATATGTTGCAATAAGCTGAAATACCCTTAAAGTACTCAGTGATACATACTAGACATTGGAAATAGGCCAGTCTCATCTCATCACACTTGAGGATTGCGGGTATGGATAAAGCACACTCTGGCTTCCAGGGATTTTATGGTATTGACGGTTTGAGACATGGGAAAGCCCTCACAGCTCGAACTCAGATTGCCACGGAATAAAGTAGGTAGATCAAGAAGTGGTAAGGTCCTATTACTGGATTTCGTAAACCAAGGAAACTATGCTATCACAAACGGGAACAGCATTACACGCCATGTCTGAACTCTAGCTTGATGACCCGTGTGACTGTCCACGATCGTCCATGGCCTTATACCCAGAAAGGACTACCCTTGAGGTATTATTCACCGATTGGCCAATGGATACCATGATATCTGCGGAGCTGTCTCGGGGGATCCCTCTGCTGATCCACATGGAAGCTTCCGCAAGGGCTTGATCTAGGCCGAACTGTATCTCTTCAGCTGCGCCTCTTCCAGCCATTTTACCTTGAGAACCGCCAATTGATTGGTAAGATTAACCTGTAAGAGAGCTATCACAACGCCACATCGTCGTGCCGAAAGGTTCAGAGACACTGTCTTGCAACGGCTCTGGTCTCCTCATGTCGGCACTGGGAGACGCAGCGAGCCGTTCCGCAGGCCGATGAAAAAAGCCCGCAGCATTCCATTATCTCTAGAGAAAGATCATTCATAGGTCACTCGGCACGTCGGGGCATGCATGGCTTGTCTTGCCCGCAATGTCTCTGCAGGCTGGGAATCCAAGTCCTTAAAACAAGGGAGAGCAAATCTTAGCGACATCCGGGCCATCCCATTACTAAGAAAGGGTGCTAGGGAGGACTTTGCGGGGAAAGCCACAATACCACCTTTTGATTGAGTGTCTGGGGTTTGTCGCGGTGACATTTGCTCGGATTAGATACCATAGAGTTATGGGCATGCGGAATGGTCAAGGGCGTGACTGTGTCTTGGCAGATCTTGCAATTCGAGATCCGTGGACGCGGGGTAAGGAAAGCTTTTTCGAGTGATGGGAGGAGAGATGTGAGGATTGGGCCATGGAGATGTTGAACCATGCGTCCACCGTGGACCGGAAGTGAGACCGGAACAACGAAAAGCTGCTCAAGATTTGCACCGGGTTTCATCAATAGCGTATACATCTCTTATCATTATGCTAAATGGAGAGTTGATATTATCGGCATTAAATTTGCATAGACTAGTGCATAGATGAATGCAAGATGAATGCATAGGTAGAAGAGGTGATATACGTTTAGCTTTATTCCTATCAAGTACTTCTTTATCCGGCACCCCAAGCCAACTTGAATTGTTCGGATCAGGGGCCCCATGATGGTAAAGGTGTACCGATACAAGATCAGACCTCTACGCTTTCCACTTCTATATCAAATCTCCCCTGGCTGGTGCGCATCACAAAGTCGCCATTTCGCATATCGTTGTTGAGCGTTCGCTCAACAGCCTTCTCCATCGTATTCTCAATCCCGGCTTTTAAATGGCGATTGGCGACTCTCCTGATGGCAATATCATGGTCTACCGTGACTAGCTATCTCTCATCGACGACAAGTCCAGCAATGGCATCCCATGGTGCTTCGTTGCTGAGAAGGTAGTTCCCTTCCACAAGGCAGACCTGAATCTCAGGTCCTATCATCAAGCCGTCTGGGGCTGGATCCTTCTTCTCATGGTCAAAGGTTGGTGCTGTGATGATTTGGTCAGGTGAATTTTGAAGCCTCCGTATGAGCTTGACGACTGCATCCCCGTCGAATGTCCAGGGGGCTCCTCTCCGCGCGATGAGTTCTTTGCTGTTGAGAAACGTGCGAAGAGTGTCGAGAGAAAGATGGAACCCATCGGCGGAAATCGATGTGATCAAAGGGCCATCAGGTAGAGTTGCGACGGTACGGGCAACTTCCTGCGCAATGGTCGACTTTCTAGATCCCGGAGGGCCTGCAATGGCAATGATGACACGGCTGTGACCATTTGCGCGATTCTCTTCCCAGATTCGCTGAACGCGGTTTGCCAACGAGCGGTAGGTTGACTCCATTGTAAGGATGGCCTGGTCGAATCTGGGCTGGAGTAATGTCAGCTCTGGAGGGAACAATAGGGGGTTTTCTCGGACCGAAGCCTCTTCCAAGTCACTGCTCTTGGTTCTAAAGGGTTGCTATTGAGAGGGGGTAGAGGGTACCGATGGGAAATATATCCCCACACGGGCAAGTCTTGACACAGGCGGAGAACCTAAACTCGGAGGACTGTGCTCCGATTGAGTCGGGACTTTAGGGTTCTAAATCTAGCCTGTTGACCCATCTTAATATTCCGGATTATTTAACCCAGAATGTGCGTTATGTTTCTACTCAGGCATTTAAGCAACGGCGATCTATGACGATGAGACATGCGTAGCCAAGACAGGTTCTATCAGACTCATGAGTGGCCCTCAAGGTAACAATCCTTAGAATCACAACCAATTCTACTCGCTATTCAACTCCAACGCGACAACAAGTATTGAATTTGCCTTTCAGGATAGCCTTCATATTACGCGTCACTTGATGAGATTATTTCTTCTGGCCAATGCAGCTCTCCAATGTCCACGGTCTTTGCCCATTCTTCAACGCCTCGAGTTCATCCTTAAAGTCTTGCTTCCAAGCTTCTTCCAACCTGGTCGGGTTCCAGCCCAACAGCCTCTTTGCTTCTGTCCCCTTCATCAACTTGGTGCCTGCCCAGCCTCGCTCAGCCATGTCGGTAAGTCCAGCCGTAATCTCGTCAGCGAGCTCCTGCAGGGACACCTGCCGAATCTCTTTTTCAGAAGGCGTGCCTTCACGGGGCAAGATTCCCTCTGCGAATGCCACGTCCAAGCAGTTTTGCATAATCTCCAACTGCAGAGCTCGTCCGGTGGCCGGGAAGATCATTCCGCTTGTTCCGCTAGGAATATAACCAACGCCGCGGTCCTCCCTTTCCAGAACAGTGCGAGTCAAGAGAACAAAGACATCGGCAAGATCCTCAACATGGACCCAGTCCCAGACTGACGTCTCATTGAGTTTAAAGCCGTGCCCGTGCTGAATGACGTAGCGCATGATAATTGGAATAATAATGCCTTGTTGATTGAACAGTCCCGTTCCGGTACCGAAAATGATTGGTGTATTCAAACTGACCGCCTGGACGCCAGTTTCTTGGGCTGCTGTAAGCACAAGGACCTCGGTGGTCCTTTGAGGATATGGCTCGCGTGCATCTTCAGCCTTCAAGAACTCATAGACTGCGTTGCCGTCCGTGTCATTCCATTCCCTATCCGGAAACGCTTCCTGAGTGAGAGGTCGATCAGACAGGTTGCTACAGCCAGATATATGGAACATCCAAGGCGGTGAAGCACCTGGCTTGACACGACGAGCAAGTCCCTTGACGAAAGCTTCAGCTCCCTGGGGGATGAAGCCTGAGCCTGTGCTGATGATAATGTCATAGTTGGAAGCAAGCTCAGTGATGAATTCGACATCGTGAAGACCTGCCCACTGAATAGGATTGACGCGGTCACCATAAGCTGAGCGAAGCTTATCAGCAGCCTCCTCGCTTCGGACCGGGAGGTCAAAAGTGAGGTTCTTCAGAATCTCATCATCGTGGGCTTTGATGAAATGGTCGAGAACAGTGCCGCCGACATAGCCGGTTGCGCCTATGAGAAGAATGGTCTGACTGGACATGATTACTGTGATGAATGAAGAAATAAGATGAGATTAAAATCACTGAGCGAATTTGGGAACTGGAGGGGTAAAATTGTAACTACAGGGATGAATATCAACCGAGGCCGCTATGATACGATCACGACTCGTTCATTGGGCCTCATTTCGCCATTGGACAGCTTCGACAGGCCTTGTGCGGTACGCGTATAACACGTGATGAACGGCGGAAGATAAGTATTGATGGAATCCCCGACGCCCCACAAACTCTCGCCTGTTTTTTATATTGCGCCTTTTACCATGGCCAATGATACTAGCCCAGACCCGGGCGAAAGCCAGGAACCGACGGTTTCGCCTCAGCGATTACCATCAGAAGGCCCCCTGGAAGTTGACGTAGGTCTTGAAATAGGCATTATGTCATTTTCTCTAATGATTTGACAGGATGATGACGTGCTTGATAATGACTCCAGTTACAATCCTTCGTGAGTTATTCCCACGCCAGCCCTCCTTAAACCGACTCCTAACCTCTATGAAGAGAAGGCTCTGTAAGCGAAACTTCTTCGATAAATTCGAGCATTCTGGACTACAGGTGAGCACCCAGAGTATCATCACAGTTCTTAGCTCAATGAACATCTGACACGATCTTCTCCACCAGATACAAGGTAATATCTCGTCAACTCATTAACTTATTTCACTTACTGACAAACTGCCAAGAATGGGCGACGTTACCACGCATTCCGCGAGGGTGCATACTTTGTTGTAAGTGACCTATACACGACGCGATTGCCCGATACTAACACGAACCGCCCCAAGCCTAATGACGAAGAAGAGCAAACGCGGATGGACCTGGTTCATCACATCTACTCCCTTATTCTCGACGGCAGTCTTTACCTAGCACCCATCGGCGATCACCCTCAACGTGTTTTGGATTTAGGAACCGGCACTGGCATCTGGGCGATAGATTTTGCCGAGTGAGTTTATACCTATCTCTCCACATTCTTACCGATAGTACCAGCTCTGACATGATATTCTTCAGCGACTTTCCGTCAGCCGAAGTTCTTGGAACTGACCTAAGTCCTATTCAACCCGAGTGGTACAAAAGCCCACCCCCTTGGTACGAAGAGATGCCAACCATGAACTCATTGCAGGACACCACCCAACTGCGCCTTCGAGGTGGATGATTTTGAAGCCGAATGGCTATACCACACTCCCTTTGATTTTATCCACGCACGCGAACTAGAAGGATGCATTGGTGATGACGACCGGTTTTTCCAACAGGCACTGCAGCACCTAATCCCTGGTGGTTACATAGAGATGCAAGCTGTCGCTGCTCCTTTCTTATCTGATGACGGCACAGCAGAAAAGGCAGTCAACGCGCAACTATGGCTTAAGACTCTTTGCGAGGGATCTGCCAAGTTTGGAAAACCAATTGATTGTGCACCTGGGTGGAAGGCGAAAATGATAGCAGCAGGGTTTGAAGAAGTGCAAGAGGAAATACGCAAGGTACGTGATCCCAAGTAACATACCCTCCCACGCAACACTCAACTTTTCTATCAGATGCCACTCGGCGCGTGGCCTAAAGATCCAAAGCTCAAGGAGATTGGCAAGTATCAAGCTATCCAAGAAGCCCAGGCAATCGAGTCATACACACCTCAGATATTCTCTAGTGTTCTTGGGTGGTCTCAGGAGGAGATTCAGGTCTTTATGGCAAAGGTGAAAAACGAGATTAAGGATCCTAGTATTCATTTGTATCTTCCTGTTCACTTTCTTTGGGGAAGAAAACCTAGACTGTAGGGCTAGGCTAATAAGCATTATTTGAGCGACATATTCGGCTGGATGTTACGCTATCTACTCCGTTATAGGCTCAGTATGGCCGGGAGGCTCAATACAACTCAGGATAAATTGCAGCATAAAAATCATCCCAGCTTATCGTGCTACCACAGGAGCTCATGAGGTACATATTCTCCCTAACCTAGCCAGACCTGACCGCTTTATCCTTGTGGCCCTTCTCCTCGGTGAGAGTCTTGGTGTTCTTGAATCTCCAGGCGGGGATCTTTCTCTCGTAAAGTTCGTCGAGCTCCCAGTACGTTCGGCCATAAGTCTAAGATTTGTTAGTCAAAGCCTGATTTGCATCTACGTGACGTACCTCGGGATAGAAGAACCACAACAGGATCGTTGTAGGAACCAACATGCCAGCCCATACATAGACGGCCTTGATACCCATATTTCCTGCATCAGGGCTAATCATGTACGAAACGGACCACTGAAAGACAACACTAGTACTTTGTTAGCTCGAACGGGAGCGTTCATGTAAGGGCAACCCACAAGCCGAGGCCATAACAGCCCAGGTTGAAGGACGTTGTCTGAGCTCGGAGACGAGGAGTCGAGGTTTCTCCGGCTGCGACGAAGCCAATGGGTCCAGCTGAGCAGCCGTAGCAGATTACCCAAAGCAACAAGAAGGCAAGAGCTGCCTTGTCTGATGCGTCTGATTTGAAGAAGCCGGTCGTTCCAAGTCCGACATTGAAGACCATCATGAAGAAGCATCCACTGAGTGCAGACGTTAGCACTTTGAAAGAAAAGTAGGCACAGATAACAGTTACCCAATGAGAAGGGGTCTGCGTCCGATATACTCGCATGCAATCAGTGACGCGGAAATAGTGACGATGAGGAGAACAAAACTAGCAAGATTTAGCGGGACTGTTCGGGTAGGTTGAGCCTCTACTCACGTAATAATGGTAACAACAAAGGGGTCTTTAAGGCCCGCAACTTTGAAGAAATACTGTGAACTGGGTCAGACTCCGCACCGCCAGTCACTAGCCGAGTAAATACTCACTGTCGAATACCCGAATACGATCGGGGCACCCGCAGCCCACTGGCTGCAAATACCCAAGCAGCCTGCGAATGTCCTGCGCCAGTGAGCACGCTGGAAAATTTCCAAGAAGGAAGACTCCTTGACTGTCTCGTTGAACGGCTTTTCAGCCTCGAGACCATGCTGAATAACACGATACTCGTGGTCCTGAACGAACGTCATCAGCAAGCTTCAGCAACTCTCTTCTTTCGAACACATACCACATCATAGCCGGGCGCAGTCCCATACAGTCTGATCATGCAGCTCTTTGCTTTCTCATGGTCTCCCTTTCGAGCGTGGTAGAGGTGGGATTCGGGAACGAAAAAGATGAGAATGACGAGGAGCTGTCAGAACGGGACAATAGGTTAGCCGGAGGGAGAGAACTAAGGGGTGACAATCTCAGGTAGAGCATACTCCTGTAAAGATGAACTCGGTAGCGATCAATGGCCTCCACTTGGTTGGCTGGTAAACATCAACGAGCTGAGTAGCGACGGCACTAATGAGCTGACCCAAGGCGATGAAGAGCTGGTAGGCACCAATCATCAAGCCTCGAATCTGGAACGGCGATAGCTCGGAGACGTAAGTGACAAGAACGGACTGAGCCAGACCAACGCCCAAACGAACGAGCACGGCAGCTCCGAGCCAGCTCTTCCAGTCGAATGCTACGATCTGGGCAACCGAACCGCCAAGCAGAATCACGACAGCACCCATCATGGCCAGCCTTGAAATACCAGTCAGTGGAAAGAACGGATTCCCTTTTCAAGTGGATAATATACTTTCGGCCAAAGCGGTCAGCGAAGTAGCCCGCTGTAAACATGCCCAGAGTCTTGGACATTTCCGCAAAGCCCTGCCAATACGAGATGACTTTGGCGCTGATGGCCGGTTCGCCGTCGAGGGTCGTGTCGGCCATCTGGTTGATGAAAGCCTGCATGGGAATGACGTTGCCGGGAACCTGCTGCTGGAACTGTAGAACACGTAAGTTAGCTCTGGATTTCACCGTCTGAACTGAAGTGTACTTACCCCATCGTTAAGGGCTGCCCAATTTAGGATCAAGCAGAAGATGGTAGTCCTCCAGAAGACCCTGGCTACCTCCCATTTCCCGAGAGCTGAGAGGGTTGTTAGACTCGCACCGTAGATGGTCCGGATGTGTTAGTTCAACTCACAAGCATACTTGGTCTCCAGGACCTCGCCTCCTTCTACGTTTCCCACCACATGTTCAACGTGACTGCTTTCTTCAAAAGGCTTGACGGTAGGTCGGTCTGAAGCTTTGGGACTCATTTTGGCGATTTGGATAGATGTGTGAACAAAGGATCGTGATAAGGGATGGATTAGTTGGAAGGTGAATCCACAATGGAGAGGTTAGAATTACAAACGTTTCAACGTCTACTTATAGGTACTGTAGAAGGCTACATGGTGAGTAGCGTCACCGAGCTTAAATTGCCCCGGATTTGACCCCATGGGCCTGGGGAAGAGGAACTTTTCACCCCGTGGGGGATAGACCTTCCCGGTTACCGTTAGACCGGAAGCCGGTGAGCTCTGGGGCTAGGCAGCCATCGGAGCACTGTACTCCGAAAACTCGGCCAGTGCTTAACCCATTTCCGAGGGCTTTCTAGCTTGAGCTCCGTACTAACTTGGGATTTTCACTCCATAATACTCTTCATGCTGACTCGTGGTTCAAGGGAACCCCTGCTTTGCGCAAGGGTCATAGGCCTCGGGCGACAGTTGTCCGACCTTGAATCCGAATGGTTGGGTTTGGTGTGGTGTACTGTAGTTGACGGGCAAACCGCACCTGAAACTAATTCCCCTCACCCAGAAGCTAAAGCGGCTTCATCACCTTTGCCACCATCGCGCTGCCTCCTTGTGTCTTTCGATCTGGGGTACCGACGAGCTGGGCTTGTCTCATGGAGTGACGTGTTGAGGCTAGTCACGGAACAGCTACCGGTGTAGTCATGCTCAACCTATCTGATATTTTTGATCAAGTAGAAGGACCGATAGTCACCTATGGGTCGAAACATATTCGTCTGAGATGCAAAGACGGACCAGTTCTCCCGACAGCCGTACGGACACTCACTCTTTGTCATGCTCTACATACGATGTTGGTATTATTCCAAGCAATCGTCTCGAGGGAACTGTTGGATGGTCTGCTATGATGCCTGGTAGCTCTGAGAATGAATGTGATGTACCGTGCCGTGACGGATATCACGCTATCCTATTGTCTCTTGACATGCAACCCAGACCAGAACTTGCGATCTCGGTCGGTGGGGCCCCGACTTCAACCCCATGCTACCCCGGCCGGCTGTGCTCCGAGCCGGAACAAGAGAGGAAAGAGAACAACGTCACTGCAAGATCCAGTCTTGAAGACAGGCCATAAATCATACCTCGTTCAAACCTGAGGTGGTGCTGTCATCTACATGCGACTTTCCCATCTCCCTTTCAATCATTATCTTCGTTCCATCCCAATCACACTCAGCATGCCTCCAAGCGCAGATCTGGATGCCCGCGAGGCCCTCGCCCTTCGCACAGTCCCGATGATGATTTTCAGCGATGGCAGTGCTTCCTCCATGACCCCGCCACCAAAGTCAGCACTCGAGTCTGACCCCGCCGTCGGTGCACAAAGGAGGTTCTCCGTCACCGGAAACGCCGTTGTTACTGGGGGCGCCGGCGTCCTCGGTCTCCATGCTTGTGACGCCCTCCTGGAGCATGGCCTAGAGGGTCTCATGATCTTGGACGTCAACCCTGCCCAGTCGCAGGGGCAAATCACCAGCTTGCAGAACAAGTTTCCCAGAGCCAAGATCATGGCGCTAAAAGTCGATGTCACGGACGAGAATGTTGTCAACGCGGCCATGGAAGAAACGGCACGGGTTCTAGGATCCATCGACACTTTGATCTGCTTCGTTGGTGTTGTAGGGTGCGTCGAGACATTAGACATGCCAGTTCCTCAGTGGCGAAAAATCCTTGATATCAACACCACGGGCTCTTTCATCTGCGCACAGGCCGCGGCTCGACAGATGGTGAAGCGAGGTAGAGGAGGCTCCATCGTGTTTGTGGCGTCCATCTCTGCCCACCGTGTCAACTATCCTCAGCCCCAGGCAGCATACAACGTGAGCAAATCGGCTCTTCTCATGCTCAAGAGTTGTCTCGCTGCCGAGTGGGCTCGGTATGGGATTCGGACGAATAGCATTAGCCCGGGATACATGGACACTATCCTAAATGAGGGAGATGGGATCGCGGAGCACCGTAAGATCTGGGCTGAGCATAACCCTAGTGGGAGAATGGGCGCTCCTTCGGAGTTGACGGGGACTGTCGTGCTTCTTGCAAGCTCGGCAGGAAGTTACATCAATGGTGCTGACATTGTTGTTGATGGGGGTGGAATTGTTCTGTAATTAGAGCGAGTAACTAGGTGAAACATATTGCCAAAACCTTGGTTGCTCAAACAAACCGTACATTTTGCATCTGCCATGCTTGTAGAGAACTTGACCAACCTCGGACATGTTATCTCCTTGCTTGCGCGGGGACTACCATCGCGTACCGAGCTAGGATCTAGACCAATTATGATTAGACTGTTCTTAGGCTCACTAAATTACAGATAAAAGATTAACAAATTATCATATAAATTATATAGAGGCTTAGATAGTGCTTTAATAGTGGAGGTTGATACGCTCTGGCAGCCCTCGCGCAAGCAAGGAGATCCTAGATCGGCCTTTCGCATAAGAACTGTCCAGGATCTAGAGGATGGTGGTGAGGGGAAGAAGGGCGTCGATCCTCGTTCGGGCGACAGTGCTCCGATGCGGGGTTGGGTCCCCGCCGGAGCCGACTTCTTACTCGAGGATCTCGGTATTTCAAGAGCTGGCAATGTATAGTCCACCAACTCCAGTCTCGCTAGCCTTTACTACCATCTTGACTTTCGAATCAAGATGAGCCAAACAGTGAGTAAACTATGAGCTCAACCGCCACTGAAGTTCAGAAGTCTCATGTCCTGTCAGAATCTCTCTTGTCCTCTATGGTCCCGGCAAAGCCCGTTTTGAAAATCGACCGGTCCCATCCCTCAAAGATGCCCACGATGTCATCATTCGTATTTCCTACGTCGGCGTCTGTGGCAGTGATGTAAGTTGCACCCAAAAACATGACATCGTTTCGATGCTCACCTCTTTAGGTTCACTTTTGGACGGATGGCGGCTTTGCCAGAAAGGTTTCCGAGGACCAACCTCTCGTCATGGGCCACGAAGCATCCGGCATTGTTCGCTCGATTGGGCCTGACGTCACGCTTCTCAAACCTGGCGATCGCGTAGCCATCGAGCCTGGATTCTCCTGCAGAAGATGCAAGCAATGCAAAGATGGAAGATATAACCTCTGTCCCAAGATGAAGTTTGCCGCAGATCCTCCCCTTACGCAGGGTACACTGTCTCGCTTTTTCAGCATCCCCGAGGACTTTGCGTACAAAATTCCCGATTCTCTCAGTCTTGAAGAGGCCGTTCTCGTTGAGCCTCTGGCAGTTGCCGTCCATGGCATTCGCCTTGCAGGACTCGAGGTTGGGCAGCGTGTCCTCGTACAAGGCTCTGGGACCATTGGTCTCCTCACTGCTGCGGTCGCAAAGGCGTACGGCGCGAAGCAGGTCTACATCACAGATGTTAACCTGGACAAGATCAAATTCGCAAAGAAATATCTGGAATGCTCCGCGTTTATCCCAGATCTCGGGTCAACGCCAGAGGAAAACGCAGCGAGGTTCAAGACTGAGACGGGACTCGACGATGGCGTTGACGCAGTCATAGAATGCACCGGTGTTGAAGCATCGACTCAGACCGGGCTTCTTGCCCTCTCCGCCGGTGGTGTTCTTGTTCAGGTGGGGCTGGGGAAGCCAGTGCAAGCGATTCCTATTCACGCCATGTCTGAGAAGGAAATCGTTCTCAAGACGTCATTCCGTTATGGGCCTGGTGACTACGAAATCGCACTCGAGCTGCTTGAGTCTGGTAAAGTCTCTGTGAGACCATTGATCAGTAGTATTACGCCGTTTGAAAAGGCTACCGAAGCCTGGGAGAAGACTAGAAAGGGTAAGGGGATTAAGAACTTGATCCGGGGGGTACAAGATTGAGTCCGTGGCATAATATCAGCACTCCGTAGTCTTGTTATCATTTCCTACTGCCAAATTGAAACCAGTCATAAGCCCTGTTACTATCTATCTATCGGCTTAGTTACCCCATCAATAGCTGAGCTTCTACTATAACAAAGAACACGATGATGCCCTATTAGATTCAATCATGTTCCAAAAGACGCCAGACGTCCAGTGATGCGGTGATGTTGTCAATATAAGCCTGACCCTTAGTAGTCAAACTTGAGCAAAAACAATACTTGCCCTGGGGATTTGAAGGAGTGCGTTGAAGCCTCAAGTTGGAAGCTCAAACTAGAGCTTACCTCTATACGATAAGAATTCTAGAATATTCTCCTCGCAACTCAGGTTACAGAATCAAGACTTGTCCCTGGCGTGCGCTCGTGGTCAGCCTAAGCCTATGCTAATAATAATATTATAGTTAGAAGTAAGGTTAATAATAAATTCAAAGAATGGTTCAAGGATGATAAATACTGCGGCGTCGAGGAAACATACCTATATATATTAAGGAAAAAATAAGATACGAGGATAAGTATAATAATTAATTCTCCTCTAAATATATTTAATAAATTAAAATAAAAATCTATAAAAATCTCCTTATTATTATATTATTTTAAAATATTTTCTATAAATTAAGTACTTTTATTAATAAAAAGTTAGGTAAATCTCTTTATACTCTTATGTCTTATTTCTTTCTTTGCCCGCGTGATACCGCATAAGCATGGAAGCATCGCTAATGTAATAATGGAAAGTAAGATATATTACAAACCTTAATGCCCACGGCACATTTAAAGAAGAAAAAAATACGATCAAAGCTTTCGCTAACAATTGTGTTGGGGATCAAGTGGAGAGGCCCGCCCCAGGAAAAGGGTTATTTTTCTAGTCTTTAAATCGCGTAGCACAGGTCGCTCTTAGAAATTGAACAAGCAACCTTCTTCCCTCATTGCAAGCTGCACACATGGATCTCCGCGACCACGCACTCAGTTGAATTGCCGACACTTCCTACGAATTATTTCCCTCGCGACCGGGTGCACTGCAAACGTTCATTATGTCTGCTTCGCTGTAGGGCTCACAGCTGGAGGTCCAAGAAACTGACTTTTGCCTGCGGGTTACCCAACGGCAGTGCCCGGTTTTGGTTGCGAGTCCAACTCCATCCAACAAACAATAAGTTTTGCAGCAGCATGCAATTGAAAAGTTATCCCGCCTCGCCAGCGTTTACCTTTGCACCGCCAAGGCTCACGCGGGGCGTAGATGAACGGCTCAGTTCAGTCAGCCAAAAGACAACCCCTTGAGTGTAGTGGCATCAAGAAACTGCAGAGAGTGGTAGTCCGTAATTCGAGCAGAAAGTTGAAAGGCTTAAGCCCTCATAAACAAGGTTGTCTCCCCGGGTTTACGAAAAATCTTATGCATCCCAATGGTAGACCTGAGCCCTCGTGCAAAGTTCGACATGCACATTCTAGTTTTTTGATCACATCGCTGTCAGCCATATGAGCAAAGGACACATTTGAAGACACACGGCAGTATCAAACCCTTCGAGATGCGCATGCATAATACAAAAGCCAACTGTACGGGCAACCGCCGTAGCCATATGATGCCTCTAGATAGCAATCCAAATTTGTTACAGGTTTGAACAAAGGGTTATAAAAGGGATGCTTCGCTCCTACTGTAGAGATATCAGCACATTGTTCGATACCCCATTTCCGACCCTCCGCGTGTCGTGACCAAAAGAGGGGGGAAAGGGCCGCGGCCGCAAGTCGGGCCGCACAATCGGACCACAGGCCAGCTGCATAGCATCAATGAAGTCATGTGGAGCAGGCGCAGCTAAGTAGCTGTAATTGAGCCGAGAAGAAGAAGGAATTAGAAGCTGATGGAAGCGGGTTGGAGGCCTCTGAAAGAGGTATATTAAGCCTGAAGGCTCCTGGAGATAGGAGGGCAAGAATCAATAGACTCGATCATCTCCCCTAAGCTAGGTATCTGCTACTAAGCAGCTGCCTTTGTCACTCTTCTTGATTGATCCTTTTGACCCCTGACACCGCGCCTTCAATACACACTCGCGACCGCCGTTTCCATGAAGGCCTTCATCCTCCTTTCACTTGCCTGCTTGGCTGTCAGCCTACCTATCCATGCGGGAACTGGGCAAGCAGATCTCGACCTCCCTGACAGCGTCTATGAGTCTGTTAACGAGGAAAATGGTATTCCCTTCATTCGCCGCATCAAAGCTCATCTAACTCTAGCCGATCCTACTAGCTTGCCTGCTCCCACCGCAGCCACTCCCAGTAACGCAGCCTTGTTCCGAAGGAGGGGACCCGGAGTCCTGCTCAGTGGCCTCCTGTCCAGTCTCCCCCACCGCAGCCACTCCCAGTAACGCAGCCTTATTCCAGAGGAGGGGACTCGGAGTCATGCTCAGTCGCCCGAAACGTCGTCCGTCCCGCGTTAAGCCCTCCAAGACACTCTCCGAGGAGCCCTCTAAGGATCATCTAGCTCTAGCCGATCCTACCAGCTTACCTGCTCCCACCGCAGCCACTCCCAGTAACGCAGCCTTGTTCCGGAGGAGGTGGCTCGGAATCTGGCTCAGTCGCCCGAAGCCTCGTCCGCCCCCCGCGTAGAGCCCTCCAAGACACTCTCCGAGGAGCCCTCTAAGGAGCCTTAAACGGAACCCCTTAAAAAGTATCCGCTACGCCCAACCCAGCACGTAGATAGGTACTGTCTACGTCTAGTTCGGATTGTTCTTATGACACAACATTACAAAACTATGTAAGATTTATTATCCCGGCTCGAATAGTTGCCTCCAGCTGCGTTCAAACGATAACCAATTCTAGTCCAAGCTTTCTTCTACAGAGGAACCAAGTCAGGGCGGAGGCAAAGGCGGCTGCTACCTTTAGTTAACGACACTTGGGAGGACTTACGCTGGATGACGGTGAATACAATGGGGTATGCCTTGCCTTTGAGGTAATTGTATCATGACGTTTCTTGCTATGTGTTTGTCCCATTGAGGTAACCATCTACAATATCATCACATGATGTGGTTGTGTGCCTTGCATGCACGCTCACCCATTTTGACATCGAGGTCTTGAGCGTCCTCCCTATTCCTGCTCTGCGCTGGCAAGCTCGTAGCCACGGGACTTTTTAGGCATCATGATTTTCCTTGTAGTTTGAGACAGGTGCTCTAAGGCAATACATATCCGCCATCGATCAGGATATCGCTTCCCGTCATGTAGGTAGATGCATCGCTAGCGAGGTACAAGTAAAGTCCCTTAATCTCTTTCACGTGCCCCTGTCTCCCAAATGCCGACATGCGATAAGCCTCGTTGATGGCCAGAGGGCTTGCACCCATCTTGGTATCAAAGAACCCAGGAGAAACAATGTTGACGCGAGCAAAGTCTCGCCATTCTCGAGCGAGTGACTTGCCAAAGTGCGTAATGAAAGCCTTGGTGGCATTGTAAACCGGTTGATCCGTGGGGACGTTTACGATGTGAGCGCTCATGCTAGAGGTGATGATGAAGTTGCCGAAACCTTGACGCTTAAAGATCTCGCCGGCGTACTTTGCTGTGAATACGACGCCGTCCACTAGACGCGAGTTAGTTGAAGTCAAGAGCTGGCAGAGACTCACTTACTGTTGACAGATAGCTGCTTCTTGTATTCGTCAATCGTCTGCTCCAGAATCGGCTTTGAGATTGCCATTCCTTATAGTATTCATCATTAGCCTCAGGGCGCCGCGAATAACCTATCATGGGTACTCACCCGCGTTGGCGACAAAAACATCAATCTTTCCAAAGTCTTTCAGCACAGTTTGGAGAGTCTCCTGAACTTGGGTGACATCCGAAACTGGCAATGTTGTTAGTGTTCGCTAGAATAGCCAGGGACTCATGGTGCTTACCGTCGACCTTGTAAGCAGCCGCTTTAACTCCATGCTGATTTACCAAGTCCTGTGCCCTATCGACGGCGGCGGTGTTTCTGCAGATGTTAGAGTTGATGCGTTGCAATGAGGCTCAGCGGGTACATACGAGTTATACCACAGGGCGACATTTCCGCCAGCTTCAGCCATAGCTGTAGCCACAGCCAGACCAATTCCGTCAGCAGCACCCGTGATAACGACGACCTTGCCGTTGAGTCGGAGTTGCTCAACAACGTTGGACGGGGTTTCTGGGAAGGGCTTGGGGAATCCCTCCCGGACCTTGGCGCAATCTTCGAATGTCATGGACATGGTGGCGGTTCAAGTCAAATCAGTAACTCAGTAACAAATCGTATGGTTTCTTTGGGTGATTTTAATTGAGTAGGCGAGGGTTGAGGACTCTCTGGTTATATGCTGGGGCTGAGGTCGTGTCATCTGACCCACGTCGGAGCTCTCTGCTCCGATACCTCTGTTGATCTACGCACATAGCCCCAATACTCCTCTCCCTCCACTTTCATCAACACCTGAAGAGGAAAGTCCATCGGGCGACAGTCAGCCGCTTTTACATCGTCCTTGCGCTTGCATCAGCAAACAACAGCCCCGGCCCAATACCAGCACCTTCGCAAAGCCCCACTCAACCGCTGACCCCCCGAAACCGACCGGGCATGAGTCCCACGGACCGGGATCGGCCACGGCTCCAAGTCAGCCGAGCCTGCGTCCACTGTCAGAGACGCAAAACGCGCTGTGTAGGGAGCAACAACGGCCAGAGGGCTTGTACTTACTGCCTGAACACTCGGAAAACGTGTAGTTTTGACCAACGCCCGGATCGAACCCCGCTCACTCGCAAAAACCTTGATGATGCTGAGAGGCGCTGCATGCAATTGAGGTCGCTTCTAGAGAAATTCAATCCTGGCTTGGTTATTGACGCCGAGCTCGCAACATTCGGTAGTAGTTCTGATGTTGTACAAGATTCACCCAATGATGTTGAGGATGGCGCGGCTCGGGAAGATTATGAGTGGAATGAGGCCTCATCGCACGTCTCACCTGGTTCCTCAGCTATGCACAAGGATGGCATGGCAATTCTACCAAGCCTCAATGCTGGATACCTCGGTAAGCTCTTTCCGTCGCGCATCCGATTTGAGCTGATCTTTTTCGCATCAAGGCCGAAGTTCAGGGTCCGAGATTCTTCAAGAGGTTACGGCCTTACTCCCGCCATCCACGATTCTATCACCCAGTGGCAGTGATGAATCCCACCCGCTTCCCGCTCAGCCTACTGCGAGAGGAATTGGCCCTGACCCTCCACAGCTTGCATCTTTGGCAGTCATCAACACGTTGATTGATGGGTATTTTCGCCTGTACAACGCCTCTTACCCGATTCTCCACGAGCCAACATTCCGAAGCGAAGTCGCCAACCGAGACAGGGTGTGTGCCAACCCGACCTGGCGTATAATATACTATATGGCTCTGGCCATTGGGAGCTGGCTGCTGGACAACAACACAACTCCCGAGCAATGCCCGTTTTACTCTGCTGCTAGATCACGTATCTCGATGCAGGTATTTGAGGCCGGTACTATCAGAACTGTTCAGGGTTTGCTTCTGATGGGCAACTATCTTCAGAAGCGAGACAGACCGAATACTGGATACAGTCTCATCGGCCTTGCCCAAAGGATCGCATTCGGGATTGGTTTGCACCGGGAGAGGCCGTCGGCGGAGGACAAGGTCGTGTTCGAGCGGCATCGACAACTGTTCTGGGTCGTTTACTGTTTTGATAGTGGTTTCAGCATCACCACTGGCCGCCCGATGGCAGTTCTTGAGGGGTTTATAGATCAAGCTCTACCTAGGAACATTGACGACCAAGTGAGTCATCATCTTGCGAATATGTTGCTAGAATGCTAACACGGCTGGCCTAGGACTGTGATAATTCATCCGTTGTGCCGGCTCCTGTCAACTACCCTACCACTTACTCCGCCCTTATTGCTCAAGCTCAGCTAGTCAGGATCGCAAACGGGATTCACCACGAGTTCCTCTCCGCAAAGACGGCCAACCAAAAAATGGAGTACCAACTGGCTGAGATCATGGCCCAGAAGCTGGACGTGTGGAGAGGCAACCTCCCGACATACTTTACTAGCCCAGATGTCCCGGCCTGGTTTCTGGGCCCGCGGTCAATCGTTTTGTGGAAAGAGCAAAATTTGCGCATTTTGCTATGGAGGGGAACCAAAAAGGTTCATCCATATTTGCCGAGTCGCATGGATGCCAGGAGTCGCTGCCTTGACGCCGCGATGGAGACTATACAGTCCATCTCCTCCTTTGTCGCCTCCTATGAAAGTAGTCTGCACCCTGGAATCGTTTGGTATGGGACCTACTTTATCTTCCAGGCAATCCTGGTACTCGAAGCCAGTTGTCTTGGCCGAGATGGCCAACCTGACCAAGATTTGAGGGGGTGGGAGGCTTCAATATCTGCCGCCACCCAATGTCTTGAGTCACTTGCCCGAGGGAATAGCTCTGCTGCTCTCTGTCTCGAGTTCATTGAGAGGATTCATCGTTCAGTGGGATCAAAGGCCGGAGAAATGCCTGGTACCCAGATGGATTCTACGCAGCAAGCCACGGATGGTATCCTCACCTATGACTATCTTTTTGATCCGACGGCCTGGACATCGGAAATGGACAGTATCGCCACTGATCCGGTTTTACGAGAGCTCATTGGCGAGGCCTTTTTGGATTTTGACGGTGTACCTGGTGTGACCTTGGGCCCTGACTTGGACTCTTGACTCGGCCGTATTTCCGCAGCCAAAACAGATGTAGAAGCCATTTCCCCATGGCATACGATCTTCTGGCTCAGCTGACCCATCGAGAGCCGGGCCGCAGCTATAATAAAGAGCACATTATCAACACATTACAACATCATGGCCCGATGTTAAAAATAGTGCCCCATGGTATACATCATGCTAGAGTAAGGTTCATTAAAGGAGCTGCAAGTTTGGTGTTGCAGACTTGAGCAAATACCTTGGGGGACAGAACTCGTTCACACGGAGCCTGAAGCGACTTTGCAAGTTGTTACCCCGGCTTCGGAAGAGGGTTTTCATCGTCCCTTCGGGCGAAATTTTGTATCAGGCTTCTGAGCATGACGAAGCTTGCATAATCTTGTTTCAGGTCACAGCGTGTGCTTGAAATCTTGCTTTAGGGTAGATTTGTTCCATCCAAGATGTCAGGCTTCCTGGGCGTCAAACGCAGAGAACCCCTGTCGGTGATATTCCGCGACGCGTTTTGTTTTTATGACAGCTCATATTGCCAACCCCAGCCGCAGCATTACACGTGGCCAGGATGTTGTCATACTTTTGCTTTCCTCTAACCGTTAGAATGGAACATCCCATTCATCGAGCGCGGCTCAAACGCAGCTTTTGGCCTCCAGTGATTGACGATGGCTCAGCGGGGTTTAAGCATGTCGGCCCCTCTTTACCAACCTCTCGATACAGCGAAAGCCGAGATTAGGCTCATTGAGATTCTGTCGGAAGGTTTCAGCTTGACCACCTTCTCTCTCGACAACGCTCCGAAGTATGCAGCACTCTCATATGTATGGGGTGACCCTGAGAACCAAGAAACGATCGTACTCCAAGGGCGAAACGTCCGCGTGGGAAGAAACCTTGCCTTGTTCCTCGCCCGGATTCGGCGCGGCCAGCCAGGCAACCAGGATCACTCTTTGCGTAATCGACCATATGGCTACTCCCTGCCAACCAAGTGGCAGATATCTGCCGCCATACGATCCCAGGAGCCAGACGGAAAAATCAACTACTTTTGGGCGGATGCGATATGCATCAACCAGCAAAACATCGAGGAGCGTTCCCAGCAGGTGCAACTGATGGGCCGGGTTTTTGGCTCCGCCGAGGCTGTTTACTCTTGGGTTGGTCCGAGGGACTACTCGCTGGCCTTCGAATCCATTAGGAAAATTTCTCGCCTAAGCCAACCAAAAGTTGCAAGTGACCCGGGCGCAGGCTACGAGCTGCAAACCAAATCTTTGTGGTGGCATCCTAGTCTTTGGCGTGAGACCGACAAGTCGCACAAATTCGGATATCACAACAAAGCCTGGATTTCCATCAGCGACCTTCTCACGGATCAGTACTGGGAACGCGTTTGGATATTCCAAGAGGTCGTTCTTGCTCGGCAGATGTACCTCGTGAGCTCTGGCGATAGAACATTGAATTGGGATGAGCTTTGGATCGCAGCTTCGAGTTTTGAAGGCTTATTAAAAAGACTCAAACTGGGCCAAGAGAAGAAGCCTTTCTACTTCTCCGATAAGGTCTGGCAGTTTCTGAAGATGTTTCCAAATTGGTCTAACATGGTGCTGATAAAGAACGGAAAGCGTGTCGGCGATATGATAGAAATGGTGGGACGCTCTGTGGCACCCGAAATAGTTGCGGCTGATGAAGGACTGTGGCACATCATCGAAAGTTCAAAATGGGACCTCTCTCTCCACACTGTGAGATTCACTGCTACAGACCCTCGAGACCAGGTTTACGGCGGCCTCGCTATTACTCGCCTCCCAATCGTGCCAGACTACACCAAGACTGTTTCGGATGTCTACGTGGAGTATGCGGCTCTTTGGATCAAAATGCACTGCCTTTTCCGGCGCAAGTCATACTCACCAACGCAGCGATCCCCACTTGCGTTCTTGGCGCTCGCTGGGATTCACAACTCTGCCCTCTTTCACGATATCCCCAGTTGGGCCCCCAATCTCCTAGTAGGGAGGCGCGACAAACCCTACGATTGTGGTATATTTGGCGACGACTACGACGAGGGGTTCCGAAGAGATCTCGTGAACGACCCATACGTGGTTCCGGATACACAAAGTCTTTTGGCATGGGGTTTCAAACTTGAGCGCATTTCTACCGTTACCTCGAGCACGGTTGATTCGGGCCCTTATGACAACCTTGCGAGATTTGGACTATTTGCCTCCAACTTTGTTTCACGACATCCGCAATACGTTTCGGGTATTCCGTCCTTCCAGGCCATCGGTCGATTACTATCCCGACAAGATGACGCAGCTACTACGCGGGAGACGGTGATCTATCTTTGTCATCTCTTAAGAGTTATGGCGTCTGCCAACCTGTCCAATGAAACTCAGAGATTTTCGGACCCTACGCTGCCAGAGATGGATCATACACGTCTATTCCAAAATTGGGGATCCCAAATGTTTGAGGCTTCTTTTCCTGGAACAAGCCTGGAGCAGCTGGGCCTTGACCACGATGTTGTATTTGAAACACGTCGAAGCGCACCCATGCTTCCGCACAATCACCAACTGCTTTCCATGTTGTTAGAAGTCGAAAAATCGACCTATTTCGAAACAATCAGTGGCTACATCGGAATCGGAACTGCACAAGTAGCTGAGGGTGATTATCTCTGTGTATTTCAAGGCGCTGGTTCTCCATTGGTGGTGCGCAAGACTACGGATGGCCATTATCAGTTTAGGGGAACTGTCTTCGTGGTGGATCTGGACCCCAGCCGATTTATTAAGACAAACGGCACACAATCTCAATGGTTTGAGCTGCGGTAGGAAAATGGAACCTTTTACCATCCGATAACAAAACTAGGTAGATCGTCAAAACATGCCCATCATGGACAAAACGTCAGGTGAGAGACATCAAGTCTCAGTCCCATGGGTCTAGGACAAGCTTATGCCCACTAACTTCCCCGCGGTCCATGAGATCGAGCGCGTGTTGAGTGTTAAAAAGCCCCCCATTGACCCGCTGCGACGGAGTGGGCACGATGGCTCCAGACTCAAGCCCCTGGGGCACCAAGGTATCATAGTACCACTTCTTGAACTCTTCATGCCCCGGATTATTAAAGATCCATCCGTATGACTCAAATCTGCGTTCCACGTTGTCCGGGATTGGATTTGTGCCTGGGAACACGGGAATGAGAGTGTTGTAAGATCCTCCGCCGACATTACTGAGGTACTTGGTAATGATATTGGTGACTGGTGGAACGCCGATGGTGTCAAGTATGCGATGATAGGGACCGTGAGCTTGCAGGTCCTGGATAATCTTTTCGGGAGGGTTGGTGTGATTGATAACCGCAGCCGGACCCAAGGAATTGACATATGCATGGTTTTTGGGCGAGGAAGTGGTGACTACTTCATAACCAGCAGTCGTAGCATATCGTATCGCAAGGCCACCACACGAGCTTGAACCCCCATAGACGAGGATCCTCTCACCTCTAGGAGGCTTGGGTTTGTCCAGACTAGGTCGTTCCAGACCAAGAAAGTGAGAGCATGCTGCTGTGATCGTAGCAAGATTGAGAACAACCTTGGCTCCTGACTCTAAGAACTCGCTTGATGGCAGCTTCGAGGTGGTGTCGGCACATGCAAGCGCATACTGCTGGAAAGAGCCAAATCTTGGATCATTTGCTTTGCCGTGGGGGCGAGCAACGGCTACACTGTCGCCCTTGGAGAACTTCTCAACATCAGGGCCGATACTCTCAACGACGCCAGAGAATGAGAGACCGAGGATATTGGGATATTTCAAAGGGTGAACTTCAATCCTGATGTCATTTGTCAGCCAGTGTTACTCTCTACAAGAGTTTGCTTACTTCTGTTGCTTGGATTCAATTGGACTGAAAGCAATGAACCGTACTTTGACAAGAATCTCCCCGGGCCCAGGGGTTGGCGTCTTCGCAGGGCCAAGCTCCAAAGGAGCGTGCTTGTGCTTAATCCAAGCTGCGGTATGTGTTGCCATGTTGTCTTGGCAGGGCTGAACGGGAACAAATCGTATTCCGTGTAACAAGTAACCTTGCCTAACCTATCGGACTATATTTACTCTGTACTGATAAAAACCGAACGATTGGAAGGTTCGCGACTTGCGCTTACACCCGAAGCCGCGACGAGGCTGAGCATGTAAGCCCGAAGGTGACTGGGGATTACCGGGAATCCCCTCGGGGATCTCGGTGACATTTTTCGGCGCGGCAAAGCCGTGAAACCTCCGGTTAATCCGACGTGAGCTTAGACCTTGGGGTGGAGGAATAAGTTGAAATAAGTGAGGCTCATAATGCCAGCAGAAAACCAACTTAGCTGCTCAGCACAATACATCCTATCGTTTCAGCTAGACACTGAACATCACTCATTCATAATGCAAATCAACGACCAAACCACAACACAGCTAAACGGCACTCACGCCAATGGAACTCACTCAAATGGGGTGAAGCCAAACGGCACATCCAATGGCACACATCAGAACGGCACAAACCCAATTACCAAAGAGCGTCTTGAGGATTCCATCAAGAGAGGAATCGACGTCAAGGTCATGCGCTACCCAGAGACTGGCATTAACGTCCTCATCGCTGGAGCCGGTCTCGGAGGTATCACTTGTGCCCTTGAGTGCTGGCGCAAGGGTCACAATGTCCGAGTCATTGACAGAAGCCCCGGCCCTGTCTGGACAGGCGACAATGTCCAGATTCAACCTTCTGCCATTCTACTTCTCCGTCATTGGCCTGACATGGGCTATGAGATTGAGGATAACCAGTATGACGTTGCCATGTCTTACTACAAGCAGACTGGCGAACGCATCTGGGGCCCTGCACCACCCATGTTCAACGACCCCGAGCATCTTGCTGGTCGAAGGGGATTTCCTTCTGTCAATGCTCATAGCCGAATCAAGCTCTACCGTGCATTTCTTCGACAAGCTGAGCGTATTGGCTTGAAGGTTGAATGGGGTTGCAAGGTCGTCGAGTACTGGGAGGACCTTGAGCAGGGTGCCGGAGGAGTCGTCTTGGAGAATGGCGAGAAGCGAACTGCCGATATTGTTGTCGCCGCTGATGGTCTTCGGACAAAGTCCAACACTATTGTTCCAGGCATGCCCAAGGAGCTGAAGACTAGTGGCAAAGCCATCTACAGAGCTGGATACCCCGTCGAGCACGCTTTGAAGGATCCCACCGTGCGGGAGATGTGGAACTTCGACCCTCACAGCCAGCCCATCTGGCAGTTCTGGCTTGGGTAGGTTTCCTGCGGCGAACACAAAGAATAGCGACTAACTGATGACAGCAACGGTGCTCATGCGATGATTGCTCTTACCCACGATCTTGCTTTCTGGAGCTTCATCCACTCGGTAAGTTCACCTTCTTCCTGTCTTACACATCCAATGCCTGACATGACCGTCCAGCACGCCGAGTCTGCTACCGAGTCATGGGTCCCAGATATTGACCCAGCTGAGGTCATCGAGGTCATGGAGAAGAACGCAGCCGTCCACCCAGCCATCGCAGCCTTCATCAGGACAGCACCCAAGGGATCTGTCGTGAACTGGCAGCTCAAGTTCAGAGATCCCCACGAGCAGTGGACTTCTCCTGGCGGCCGTGTTGTCCAGCTTGGCGACGCAGCACACGCCTTCCTCCCAACATCTGGAAACGGCGCCACCCAAGCTATTGAAGATGGTGTTACTCTGGCCACCTGTCTCCAACTCGCTGGTAAGGCCCAAGCTGCCAACGCAACCAAGGCCTACAACAAGCTTCGCTACCAAAGAGTCTCGTGTGGCCAAAAGATGGGCTTCGTCAACCAACAGCTCAAGCAGCACACAGACTGGGACGCCATCGCCAAGAACCCAGCCCTCGTGCGCTCGCGCTACCCCAAGTGGGTGTGGTCGCACGACCCTGAGGCGTACGCCTACGAAAAGTTCGCCGAGGCCCTGCACCACGTGTTGAGTGACGGCGAGGTGCCGCTGAACAACACGAACTATCCCAAGGGGCACAAGTTTAGGAAGTGGACTATGCAGGAGGTTCAGGAACAGATTCAGGCTGGGCAGAGTCTGGAGGAGCTTCAAGATGGAGACTGGGCTTAGATAGCGAGTGTGAGAGCAGACTGAATAGGTATCGGGAATTCATCTCTTTTATAGCAATTAGGTGTCACAATTTATTCTGTCCATTTTCTACAAGCTTTTCCCTGTCCTATTCTACGTTTTTCGTAACCATCTGTTTGTTACTTGTTTCTTACATCCTGTCACATCCGTTCGGTGAGATAAGCGGCTGGCATTGGTGTAGAAAGGGTATGATCTCACGATTGATGGGTCGGATGACAGGTAGCGCCAAGAAGTCGTGGAACATACTTGGGTTCGGCAAACAAGAACTTCACAATATTATTCCAGGGCCACAGTGGAAAGCTTGGCAAGAGTAACGACGTAAGTTCATAATCAGCTACATATCTCATAATACTAATCGTCTAAGCATGCCCATTCAGACCATTCACACCGTTCGTCACCTCCTCATTGACGCCACTCAAGGTTGCCTCAATGACTGAGAGCTCACTCCCAGCTGGCCGCTCGATAGCTCGGATGGCCAGCCCCGCCTTGGCTAAAAGAGCCGTCCACTCCTCAGTCTCTCGCTCCTTGGCATTGAATGCCTGGATCATGGTGAGATCCTTCTGCCTCAATGCCGCTTCAAATGTCCTTGAGCCAGAGCCCGGCTTTGGAAGGACCATGTCCATAATGAGAAGTCGACTCGATGGTCCCATCGCTTCTACAATGCCTCGCAGAATCTTGATAGCGTCGGCGTCCGGCCAGTCATGGATGATGGTTCGCAGAAGGTAAACATCTGCTCCCTTGACTGGTTGGGCAGTGAAGAAGTCGTAATCGAGAATCTCGATCCGACTCCTCACATCTTCCGGCAGCTCAGGAATGCGAGCCCTGGCATTCTTGACTGGGCCAGGAAGATCCTCGACCACCAACTTGAGTTCTGGGTATGTCGTGGCAAGCATGGTGGCGGTAGAACCGCTGCTTCCACCAACCTAGAAATTGTTAGAACATCCCGGCATGAGAATGTGAAGCACGTATGGACTTACATCAACGACCTTGGCCTCTCCCAGAGCCTTCCAGTCAAAAGCCTCCAGCAAATGCTCCACATTCGATCCAGTATGAGACACCGCTCGACTCTTCATAAAAGCATCAAAGCCCTCGTTGAGATCGGGCCGAGACTTCAGATGCTGGAAGAAAGTCAGGTCAGTGTCATGCACGAGATTATAGGCAGTCTCGTTCTTCGCCGTCGTGGTCCCCCATTTCTCGGTTGCCTGTGCCAATTTCTCCATAATCGGGACAGTCTGATTGAACATGTGCAGAAGCTGAACCCGCATGTGAGGATTCTCAACAAACGAGGCGGAGAGCGCATTGTGCGAAAGTCTACCATCCCTGTCCTCGCGGAGCAGCCCGGCAGTCATGGCCATGCGGGCTACAGACCGAAGCGTCGAGATTGGCACACCAGCCTTGGCTGAAACATCGGCATATGAAATCGAAGCCAGAGGGAGTGGGATTTGAGAGAGTACATCAAAGTGACAGAGCCAGCCGATGCAGTGATATTGCTGCTGTTGTACAACCAACTCTGTGAGAAAGCTGTTGGGATCATGAACAAGGTGCTTGATTTGAGCTGCATGCTCAATGACAGCGTCTCTTTCAGTCTTGTGCATTTTGGTGTGTGTGGAAATTAGTGGGTAGTAGATGCAGTGTGGTTGAAATTACCGTATCAGTGAAGGCCAAGGACTGCTGCTTATGAGGGAACGCAGCTAACAGCTTTTTACGATAGGAAAGACTATTGCCGATTCCCTTTACGAATCTTACAGGTGTCCGGCAGTCTTACGGGACTTGTTGGTGTTGCCGGTGAAAGCCGGGGGTTGCTGACCTCAGACGGTGCAAGATTCGCCGATCATGTTCCCGGAGGAAACCCGTGGTTTTCGGACGCCGTGCTCCATGCGGCTGCGCCTTGCAGCTCGGTACAAGCCCGACAGATTATGGATTCAGCTTGAGCCTCATTGTTTACTCTTCTTTGTAGAGGTGATGGAGAGGCTGAGGTCGGAGATATGCCTGCTTTGTCAGGGACCGGGGACAGCTTGATAATCACCGTGAGGATGATACTGTTTGAAGCAAGGCTCCGGGACCCGAGTGAGGCATTGCTGACGGCGATGGTATCTGCGGCAAGATAACGGCCGGGATGATTGACATGTGGAAGTCTGCAAGATATGGACGGATCGAGAGGCAGCTGAAAGTTGAAGGACGGATAAATAGGAGCTTCTTCATCGATGAAGCAGAATTTGAGACAAGCCATCAAACAATCCAACCCTTCAACCACTCTTTTCCAAACAACCAAGATTCAACACCTTCGTCATGACCGACAACCTGAAGCTCTATCTCTTCGGAGACCAAACCTTTGACATCAAGCCCCATCTTCAGAAGCTCTTTCAGCAGCGAGACCACCTCTTCCTCCAAGACTTTCTAACAAAAGCCTACAATGCCATCCGCGTCGAGATGTACAGGTTGCCGTTCAAGGTCAGAAATGATCTGCCGCGGTTTACCTGTCAGGAGGATCTGCTGAGGTGGGATGAGAGTGGGAAGAGGTGCATTGCTTTGGATATGGCGATGACTACTCTTTACCACCTTGGCACATTCATCAGGTAAGTAGCTACTTGCTGGAAACAGATTGACAACTGACATTTTGAAGCCAAGCCGGAATCTCTTCCTACGACGCTCAGAGCTCCAGAGTCGTTGGTCTCTGCACAGGAGCCTTCGCCGCTGCCGCCATCAGCTGTAGTAGCTTCACAGCCGATCTCATCCCCATGGCTGTCTACTCAGTCATCGCTGCCTTCAGAACAGGCATGCTCGTGACTGATGTTGCAAAGAGGGTTGATCAGTCGCAGGATCTTGACCAGAGTTGGGCACTACTCGTTCCTGGATCCAAGTCTGCTGCGGCTGTTGAGAAATTCTGCGAGGAGAGCGTGAGTTTTCCCATCTACCATCACAC